AACATGTTATACTATTATTTATTTTTTTAACTTGTGACATCCATACAATCTTTGACTTTGTATTTTTCTAGTTTTAAATATTGAAAATGAATTAAATTGACCCTAATAAAATAAATTAAAATAGCTTTAAACTGGCAATAATAGCACGGAGCTGTAACATAGCTGATATTTCACTAATTTGAGTAAAATTAATAAAATCTTTTTTACTTTTCACTTTTATTAATTTCTTTATTAATCCTCTTAAGTGTAAAACTAGGATACATTTTTTTTTTTCCCCCTCTGTGCATCAATTAAGAAATACAAGCTCCACTCACACAAACATGCACATGCACAGCTCTACCTTACAGTCACATTGTACTTTATTTGGGGTAATTAGACCCTATCTACAATCTGCTCCCTCATTGCACAGCTGACACAGAGACCAAACTAACCTCAGCCTCATTTTCTAACCGTGTAGGAATCCTCAGATAGAGCGTTAGGAGCCCAGATACAGATCTAAAAAGCATCGGTCCGGCCTATCGTCATGACTTCTGTTTCCATTTGGGAGATGTGGCGTCATAGCCCAGGGGAAATGGCAGCGGTGGTGGGGGTACATTAAGACAGATGGACGAGCTCCTATTTGTTGAGCAGCCATGTTGTTTTGGTAGCGGCCGTGTCAGTGATTGGCTGTGCCACTGCGCTGGAGCCTGCGATTGAAAATAAAAAGAGAAAAATAGACTCGCTGACTGATGGCCGCTCCACTGAGGGGCAGTTTTTTTTATACTCATGAGGTACAAATGTACAAAAGCTTCTTCCTGCGGGCTGCACAATCCACAGCGGCCCTGTTTTTATCATGTATTAAAATGGGCGCCCAAAATTAGCTTTAGCCAATTTAGCAAGTAAAGAAAATCATCACGGTAATCCTCCAATAGGAAGACATTTTCTGGTTGAAATGACCAGTAAAAACATTTAAGTCAGCTGTGTAGTGATACACACCAGCTGAGCAGGGGACTCATATTTCCTACTGCAGCTCAGTGTCACAATTGTGTTAGTGTGTGAACACAGATTGTGATAGAAAGCTCAATTACAGCAATTATAGCCGTAAAACCTCAAACCTATGGCTTTTTGTGTATGATTGATTTTAAATTCCTCAATAAAAATTCAATTTTAAATCTGGATATTCAGTAAGACGACACCCTGTAGCATGGATGAGGCATGTGAGGAACATTTAATTAGTAGCCTATTGTTACGGTAAAGCATTAGCAGTAGTTGAAGCTCAAATGTCAGTGACCGAAACTGGGAAAATTTCGACCAATCAAGCCTCAAAATTACTGTTTTAATGGAAGTTTTTGCATGAGAAAACACAACCAAACTCATAACAGCAACAGCACAGCGGCTGTAACAGTTTAGTATGTACAGAGTGTATGGTTACACAGCTCACATCCGCACATGTATAATATAAACTTGTGTGTGTCAGAGGCAATTGGTGAGGGGTGGGGGGCAGACAATGTCTGTGTCTTAGTACATGCACAATCCTGTCTTGGAGGCAAAATATCTGCCTGTGTGTGTGTGTGTGTGAACGCGAAGCACCTGCTGCGTTGCTGCAGGAAGCACCTGTCAGTGGTCGTCTCCTCAGTGCAGCCTCTGTCGACATGAGGGTTTGATCCTAAAACTCCCCAAACACACACACTTACACAGACACTAACAGACAACTTAAGCCTGCAGGCCGCTCTGCTGCAGCGGGGGAGCCTGTTATCTGCGGCTTTTGTTCACTTTAAACTGACAACACACACTTTTTACCGAGGCGGCGTGCACGAGTGCAGGGCCTCCATCTTCTCCAGCAGTGTGTGTTTGTGAGTGTGTGGTATTACGTTTACAACCTGCTGAGGGTACACTTTACGAGAGGTGACTCCTCTTGCACTGCAGCCAGAGCCAAAGTTCAACTAGAGCTCTTGCAAACACACATACACTCTTTATTTTTATCCTCTCATTTCCTTTTTCTCACACTTCAAATTTGACTTCTCAAAGCTTGTACATCTCCTCCTCACACACTCCAAGTTGTTGTTTCATGCCCTGAGAGCTCTAGTCCAAGTTCAGCAAGTTTTACCGTCTCTAACACACACACACACACACACACACACACACACGGCTTCTGTTAACCTGAGAGGCAGAGGGTCAATCCCTGTGATCCGCAGCCTGCATGCCTTCCATACAGACACGCCGCCGACACAGCAACCTGACTCCCAGCTAGATTAGGACTAATCAAGCATGGCACAGCTCCGGGCACCAACACCATGACACACACATGCAGACACACATTTATATTCACTGCACCGCAAACATGCAGCAGCATTTGCTGTTTTAAATTTCCTACATACATTGTTGCCGAAAGTACAGAGAAATGATCACTGCCACCATCAGTTGTCCCTATTAAACCTTTTCCATATGTTCCTGTTTCTCTTCGTTCTCTTAAAATAAGAAATGTCTGCAGAGTTAAATTTTTCTTCAATAAGCTCAACCTCTGACATATCATTTAAAATTATTTCAGCAATAGTTGTGTCGATATATATTGATTTTTCTCCCATAGTCCAGACGAGATTCATCCCTATGACGTAAAGAATATCTACATTATAATTGTCGCATATTGGTGTTCGCATCTGTTAAATTGTAGATGAAATGTACATGAATCAGAACCAGATTGTTAATACAGCAGAAAATGCAATTATTGATCAAAATCCATAAAATAAAAATGTACTTATATACAGTCGGCTTTGTCTGAGGAGGGCCAGTAAGGTTGTTTGAATATGCTTGATTTGAAAAATCCAAAACAAGTCTATAGTTACAAAAGTCTGTTAAACTGTAAATAAAAATATATATGCCAATGTCATGATTCATGGGATAATATTATCAGACCAGTACTTTTACAAGAATCAATTCTCACAATGTGAGAATGTAAATGCAGCATCGTAGCGTGAACGATTGGCGTTGTTTAAGACTCGTGATGGCGTTCTTCTCATTAGCTTGAGAAACTTATTAGCTCCTCTTTGGTTTTATGTAAAATGTTGGAAACTGAAGATCACACGTGGTCTGAAAACAAAGTTATTCGTTTTTAAAAATGATCTAAAAAAATTGGGTTACACCTTTAACATTTAAATTGTGAAGTTTTAATGTTCGTTTGTTACATTTACCTTCAAACTAGCTTTATACAAATGACTCTACCACAATATGGAGCGGAGAGTTTCCACATATATAACATCACTGTATGATCTTTGGAGACAGTGTGCATGTGGAACAAAGACTTTATGGAACAAGTGCTGTCACATGTCCAGAACCCGACTCCTCCTGTAAAAATGTTCCCACCAGCTCCAGGTGTCGACCAGTCGCCCGGGTCCAGTCCTTGGTCACAAGCGTCTGGGACGTCTCAGGCCTTCCTCGGCTTTGTAGTCTGAACCTCATTTTGTCTTTGTAGTCGTCAAGCGGAACTTTATTTTGGCAGCCACCGTGTTAGAGGGGACAGCTGATTTATGACACAGGGGGCAACAGGGTGATCCCACCATTTTCCTTCAGTTAGGGACTTGTTCTGGATGTTGTTATGGCGTCCACACACAGTCCCCAGTCTATTGGAGAGCTGGAGTCGGGGTCCAGGATTAGTGATCAAAAGAGTTGAAGGGGGGCTTTGGGGTAAAAGGTTGGGGGGGGGTAACACTAGCCCGGTCTGCCCAGGTGGTGTGGTTGAAAAGAGGCTGCCATCTGTGGTGTGGATGGGTCGAACGTGGGCTGTATGTGTGTGTTGGCTTCCAACGTGGTGTTTGTGTGTGTGAATGACTTTTATGGGGCGTACACTTCGGATGAACTCCGTCTAGTTGGTTTTGAACCGTAACCGATTGGATTTCAGGCTCGAAAAGGTGACCCCTGACCTTTTGACAACATCTGCACCCCTGATTTTTCCCAAAACCACATTTTAAACTTCAGATTACTTCCCTGTGCCACCCGCCTATAAAACACCACTGTAACACACTTTTATCCACTAAAATGTTAAATTATGATCTTCAGTTTGACCACTTTGACCTTTTCTGGTTCTACAGCCTCTGGGATAATCTACTCAGTACATAAATACTTTCTAGGGGGTCCTGGGTACATATTAGACATACAGTATATTACTTAGATTGTTCTTTATGTTATGTGTCAGGTGCACAATGAGAAGCTAACTCTAATCTTATTTTACGCCCAGTTGATTCATTTGCTTTACTTCAAGGTTTTTTTACAAGCTCCTTATTTGTGTTTCTTGGTACCTAGGATCTTTTGTGTATTTTATTTTTTCTCAGCTATATTGTAAATGAGGTCTTTGCCTCAATGTATTCATGAGTTAAAATAAAAAGATTCAATATATGAATCAAATAGTCGGCACAATCTCTTGATCAAATGTACCGGTGTACAGATTTCAGTTTTATTCACTTCAAATTAATTTGTACAATTTAATTGTACGAAATGTACATTGTGAGAGATTTCTTGTCTCAACAGCTGCTTCCAAGTCATGAATGAACCTTGAACTTCCGTTTTTAAGCTGAAACAGACAAGAAATCTAAGAATAGAGGAACATTTGTATGTTTGAAAACTACATAACTGGACGCCTCTGTCGGTTGTTGAAAACAACAGATGTTCTGAAAGCTCCTAAATTAACCTTGTGGTGAGTTGTTTAAGTATTACACTATAACCTACTATTATATCACATTGTATGTTCAAGTGTAAATGCTGAGGTCAAAAGAAAAATTGACTTAACTGGATTAAAAACATTCCAAGAGCGATTAAAGACTGACCATGTTGAAGTAGCATGGTATCAAGTGTGGAATGAGTTTGTGTTGCCTAACAAATGCTACTGTACTTAATAAAACAATGCTTATATTTAAATGTTTTATATGTAATCATTGTTTATATGCTGTACCGGATTTAATTAAAAACAGAAAATGTTACAACTTTGGTCTCAAAAGTTGCAAAAGGCGACAAAATGTGAACAACAACAGTCATAAGTCATTGTTTTTAATCAATAAATACCTCTTTTTGTCTTACAGACCTTTACACACAGTATATGTTAATTTCCTGCCAGCCGTGACACTGATGGTGGTCTCACATGTGGGTGGTCTCATCTTCAGCGTCTGTTGCATGTTGCAGAGAGGTCTCGGCTTCAGGGAGGTTGTTGCACTTCAGGTACCAGAAAACCACTTGGACCTAAAGACACACACAGATACGACATAAACACAAAGCAGCAGATGTTTGTGAAGTATTGTTTAACCTGTACGCTGTGGCTGGGTAACTGAAAACTATAATCATTGTAATCGATTTCACACTTTAATACCTTTTACTCTGAATAACTCATTAAAAGTCAAACTAATCATGCAGTAAAGTTAATTATTTTACATGTTTTCATTATAATATATTGTCATATGAAGAGTTATGTATCCAAAATACACAATAATTTTAACTTTTATGACATATTCAATTATTTGAAAGGCAGAAGCTTGATTGAACAGGATAAATCTAATCGGGGGTAGATTTTGTTCTGCGTTTGGCACAACAGATAAGGAGAGGAACTGAATAATTGATCAGTTAACTGAATAAAAATATAAAAAACAACTGCAAATAAGTTTTTAAAAAGTTTAAATATTTGTGGTGTTTGATCAACATATGACCTCAGTTTTTCTAAATCCATTTGAAGACTTCAATTTTGGCAGAAAAACGCGTCAAACCACTTTATTCAGCTCTACTTTTTGGTGCTTTATTCCCACCTGTACCACCACCTCCTGAGAGATATCCACAGTGGGGCCGTCGTGACCCAGTCCGACCACTGGGGGGCGTAAGAGGCTTGGACCAAACACCGTAGCCAGGTTCATCAGAGACATCTTGTTGATGTCTTGTTTCTCAGAGACTCTGAAGAAAAATGGATTAAAAATAAATATGTGGTGCAGTGAAGTGGAAGCAGCATCACATACTGAAACCACAGAGAGCTAATTAAGATTGCTGCTATAATCTACTGTAATGCTCAACTGAGACTTCCCATCATAAAAAAAGGCAGCTGGTGGGATTTTACAGGAACTAAATCCCTTTATTTGTTGACAGATAATGAATTAAAGGTTTGTGTTGTGTTTTGTGCTGCTGTCTGGTTGTTGTCGGACCGTTGCAGGTGGTGCAGGATGTACAGGAAGGTGTGGCGGTTGGGGTCAGGACAGGACTGCAGCAGGGACAACATGGAGACAAGCCGGGCGTTGATGTCCTGGATGTCTACAGGAGGGAGAAAAACATTCATGTGAAGATCAGAGCACTTGTCTGAGAGACCAATGGGGCTGAATTTAGGGTTAGTTTATTAAAATAATACCAATAGTTGTTGTAAATGATTTCCTACTGTAAATTCAGGGTCAAATAAGCTGGACATTATTTATGTAAATAACTGAACACCTCAAGGGTGCAATTGCCTCAAACTTTGAATTAAACAAACAGCAGTTTAATCCCTGCAGGTTACAGGGAGGCATATGGTTTGTCACCCATCTTACCCAGCGTCCTGGCCAGGCTCTGAAACAGCTCAGTGGGTATAAGAGGCTCCGGCAGCTCTCGGAAGTACAGTTTGAGAACACCAGAGACGGCATTAATTTCGACACTTCTCAGCCTGGTTACAGCTTCACGCAGATCTGAGTGGAACAGACACATGATTATAATCAGTTTTACTGTATCTTATTCTAGCATACACACTTCCTTCCTTATTAGTGTCATGAAACGCCTTGTCACGGTACTGAGCAAGTGATAACTCATGCGTCTGACTTTCACAATTGTGGTATGAACAAGTTTACATACAGACTAAAATATTTATATATATATATATATATATATATCTCAACTAGATGGATTAGTGTGAAATTGAGAAAATTATCCTTCATCAGTTCAACATTTCTGCCCAATACTTTAGTTCATGACAACCGCAACACTGATACATTCAGATCCGCCTTAGTGGTACATTGTGTTTAGTGCTAATTAAAGGTTAGCATGTTTACATGCCCAAGTACAGCCGCACAGAGCTGCAGACTTAGTGAAACTTTCAGTGAATAAATAGGATTTAAAAAAAAAAAAAAAGACTGAGAGGAAGCCTCTTTTGCAGGAACACTGATTACATTTGAATGTTTTTACACACACATTCACACCTAGAAGTTGCCCAGTACAACCACAGTCTGACCTGCTGGCCTCTGAGCAGCTCCACTGGAGCAGTTGGGAGTTAAGGGCCTCGCTCAAGGGCACATCAGTGGCGGTAATGATGGAGGGGCAAACACTGCTTTTTCACTTTAACCAGTCACCAGCGTGCTTCTCAAACCTTTAGGCCATCTACAATCTTCAGGAACAGTCTTTGTCTGACCATGGTGATCCAGTACTAGGTTTACAGAAACACTACTTTGTATAATATGACATAAAGTTTGTACAAACACCAGAAACTGGATAAAAATGAAAGTATGAAAACTCCAGACAGTGGGGAATAAAGCATGGTGTGTTGTCACGTATGTGATGATGCATTTATATTAAATCTCACGCTGGTCTTCTCCTTTATGTACAACTGCTGTTTCAAGCGATTTTAAGTGTGTGAAATGGTATTTCTGGCCTCTCTGAATCACTGTTGCAACATAACAGCACATGCCAGAAGAAAACGGATGTTTTGGTGTGTGCTTTCTTACTGCTGTTGAACACAGTCTTGAGCACGCCGATGTCACTGGCGGTTCCCGAAACCCTGTAAATGCCCACCTCGTTCATGCCTCTCCTCTCCACCTCCTCCACGCAGCAGCGCACCACATGGGGGACGAGAACTCCCTCCTGTCTGACAGAGAATTGAAAGAAAGAAACACCTCAGATGTTTCATTTCATTTAATTTCAGATTCCACTCTTGCTTCACTTCTACTTCTCTTCAGCACACTTTCCCACAAATCAAACCGCACACTGTGCACAAAATGGCCTACAAGGGAAATAAAACTGTGGACCGAACGGCAGCTTTCAGTTTAAACGCCCCCAGACAGGATCAGTGAAAGCACTTCTTTCACTGGCAGCGACTTACTGAGCCGCAGTTCCAATGGGGACACAGAAGACCGGTTGTTGTTGTTGGGCCATGGAGCTGGGTGGGTCTAGTGGGTGATGGGAGTACTTCAGGGAGAGAGTCACCTCCACCTGGCCAAGGTGTAGAGTCTGTCTCCTCCAACGCTTATTCAGGGTTTTAGAGTCCAACTAAAAGACAAAACACAAAATATTAGAAAAACAGACAAACTTTATGACTTTATAAAAGCTCAAATGAACACGTTTAGCAACCTGATAAAGTTCAGTATTCGTTCTCCTTTTAGCTCCATTTTGGTCTCCACCATCAAGTTCTACAGCTATTTGTGAACTTTATCTGTTACCCGGCATTTGATAGGTAGCATTAACAGAGTTTATCAGAGCTTTTTTTGACTGAAAACAGCTTCCTGCTGATGAGAGCGGTGACGAATGAATCAAAACCGTAAAGTTGCAGGTTGTGAAACCAAAACAATGAGCTGAAAGACGCTCACCACACGCCTTTCACATTGCGCTAATTCATTTGACCCATTTCTGAATATTGATCAGAGCATCTTTAATATTTGTAGATTTCTCTGTTTTCCATTGTTATTGGTGCACTTATGTGTTTACCACCAGGCTTCAAAGCAGTTTTTTTCCCCAGCATGATAATAAAGCTGAAGCTCGCTTTCGTATTCATACCGTCACAGAAGCTTTGCCCAGCACAGTATCATCCTGTCCATCAGACTGACTGACACAGAGCACCCTCAGGTTCTGTGCCCCGTCCACCTGGAGAGACAGCTCCTGTTTGACAGAAAGAAGGCGGCGTTAACACCAGGAATAACACCAGTGTCCTAAAGCTACAACAGGAGCATTCATGTCTTGTTCTAAGCCTTTTGATCCTGGCTACCAGTTGGATTTAGAGATTTTAAGATCATGTTTAAAGCAGGGCACGGTCTGGCCGCAGTGCTCACTTTTTAATCCTCTGAGTTGAACTGAAGCCTGACATGTCGGATGCTGTCTAGACACGAAGAAGACATTTACCACCGTGGACTGTCTAATAAATAATCTGCTTTTCATATCAGCTTTAGCTCCCTTTTATTCAAGTTTAAAAGACCAATATACATTTGCAGCAGTACTGATTTCCCAGATCTCAGCTGATAGGGAAGAAGCCTGAGAATCAGTTGCTAACCGCATAATATAATCAATATTTACTTGGAGTAACAAATCTCAGAAGTGCCTTCACAATGAAAAACCACCTCTTTGATATTAAACAAATGTCTCTTCAATAAGGAAATGGGTATAAAGTAGAATGACCAGGTGTCTCACTGTATGTGGGACCGCACAGCATTTGTATCTCACACAATGTCCCACATTTTGATTGGCTCTAGTTTTCTTTTCTAAAATCTGTTTTTTTTACAATGGCTGTAAAGAAAGCAGGGATGGTTGTCATCACTGGGCTGTGGGTTAACTGCAGGTTAACTTGTTCTGTCTTTGCTACGCTGCACCGGACAGGGGAAACAGCGAGTCGCCACAAAGTCACAGGCTGTTTGTGACAGAAACTACCACAAAGAAAAAGGAAACGTACGACTGGTTGCAAACTACTACAAAAGACAATAAGAACTAAACGTTGGCTTCTGTCTATGCTGGTTGTGTTTACTTGCTGTAAGAGGGGGAAAGTTAAATGCACACAGTCTATTGTGCGCTACAGAGTCAACCAGAGGGCAAAGCTTAGAGATGTTCTGAGCTAAAGGGGCAGAAGAAAAGTGTTTATTTCTAGGGATCTGGTTACCCTGTTATAAAAAGGGCTATTAATGAAAATAAAGCAATAAAATAAAGCCTGCAGGTAGTTGGTAATTGTTAGGCAAGCGAAACTCCTGGCACTAATGGCACTACAATGATATTATATTAATGAAAATAAAGCAGGCACTACAATGATGCAAGTAATAGTTGAAAGGGGTTCTTTAAGATTTCACTCAGATGAAGTTTCACAACACTTTCACTCAAACACAGCAAAGAAACCTCAAAAAGGGCCTAAAGACCAGAGTTTGTGGTTGATAATATCTGCTGAAGTCTGCACTAAGCTGAGTATGGATCAGAATGCTCTGAGCGTGGAGGTGCACCACATCTCTTATGACCTTTGAAAGGGCGTCGTCACACCCTGATTGGCCAAGAGGGGAACGCACCAATCTGCTCTCAATCATTATTTAGGAGTCAGTCCTCACACCCTGTGCAACAGCTGATCCGAATAACCCTCCAATCAACAAGGAAGTCTGACTTTACTCAATTAGGGGAAAATAGCTAATTAAATGACACCATGTATGAAAGTATGAGGGACAGCTAGACATTCACTTATTCTGTTTAAAAGATCTTTATTCTAACCTGGTCCCAGTGTGGGTTGAGGCTGTGGACTGACGAACGTGTCTGGGTTTGTTTCTCGTAAAATGCGTTGCCATCCACTTCCACACAAACATACACACCTAAAAAAGAGAAGCAGACAATTAGTGACTTTATAAGCTCTAGTTCATTGTTCAGATAGAGGATCTGCTCACCTCAGGAACCAATAACTAAGTGGTTATTTCAGGAAAAACTAAAAGTTAAACATACAGGCCGGTTGCTGCAGGCCGCAGGCAGAGTGGATCGCCACAGTCAGAGTCCCACATAAAGACTCCTCGTCCTCTACTGGTGAGAGACAAAGGCAAACATATCCTGAAACCCATTGAATTTAAATCTTAAATATTCTTTTATAAAGTTATTTGATGAAGAAAGTAGTCTTCTGAGTACTTTTGCAGAGTGCTTGCTGTTTTCATTTATATCAGCCGCCGCACAAGTAATCAAGAATTTTTCCACTCTAAAATCTGTATCAGCTGCACAAATACCATATTGGTTGAGCTCCAATTTCTGATGCAGAATGTGATTGTGATGTGTGATCTGTGGCGAGGAAAAGAAGACAGAGGCGGATAGAGGTGGTTTTTGTACCGGGGTTTGAGCTGTGTAGTGGAGGCTGCTGGGTCATTCTCAGTTTCCCACACGCACAGGTGAGGGTGAGCAGGTCAGGAGGGACGGTTTCTATGTCTGACAAACAACAAATAGCAAACAGAATCAGCTTACAGAACACAGTGATTCAAGAAAAAAACACTAGGCTCGAGGCCTGTTAAAAAGAGGATCCTTATTAATGCTAATGCTCCTATTTCTGTTGGACAACGGACTAAAATCTGTTCCTCGGGCTGCTGAAGCCCCAAGACCCAAAAAATGGCTTCTACTTTAATTGTTCACATTTTTTTATACAATTTAATGCAATTATTATATGTTTTTGAACTGTTTTAATATAGTTGCTCCTTCCATTAAAAGGAAATCATACCAAAAAAAACGCCTTTAATATTCACAGGCTATAATCCACAAGTACATTTTTCTATATTATGAAGCAATTTTTAAACCAGATGACCCAACAAAATGGTATTGTGTTAACAAATCATAACTAAGGCTGCAACTAATGGTTATTTTCATTATTCATTAATCCTTAAATAATTATTAATCTCATTATTTTCTTAATTAACTGATTTATCATTTACAGGATCATCAAGAGGATGCCTCATAATTCAGATGCTGGAACCTTAGAATGTTTAATTGTTTATAAGAATTGGTGCCAATCGACTGATCAACTGAAGGAGCAGATATAGATGAGAAAAAAAGATCAACAACTGGTTGAGCCAACATGTTTATGTTGTGGCTGTAAGACAAGAAAATATGTCTGCTTCTGAGCATAACGGTCCAAACGAAGCGCTGCAGTCCTTCGTAATGTGACATTAGAGGAAGGTGTTTGGTTCCACAAGACATTTAAAGTTTGTTTGACGCCTTCAGTGTGCAGGCTGTTGACCAAGTCACAGCTAGTGTATATTTTCACACCTACAGCCCACTCAACGCTCATTTGACTCAATAACCAGCGTGGTGTTGAAGCCTTTTAGTCTTATTAGTCAGCAAGTTGTTTGTGGAATCAAATTAAAACTAAAAAAAAACAAATAGCTGACTATAAGGAGAATCTCCTCAGTAATATTCTGCTGCAAGAAAATTGTTTTTATCTTCTGCAGATTTTAAACTTAATTAAATATGTATTCTGCAGCTTGCAGTCCAAAAAACATGTTTGTGTAAAGGTTTCTGTGACATCTGATGAAGATGTATGTCTAGCATTTGGAGTACATGTAGTGAACATGCTTGTGGCCAAAAGCTGTGGGCTTACTGTCTGTGGTGAGTTTGTGGATGGCTTCCCTCCATTCTTCAAGTTCATACAGGGAGGAGAGGAGGAAACTGTGAGTCTGCAGTGAAACAGGTTTTTTTTTATTTCAGTGGGTTATTATTCTTGACATATTCTGTGCTGACAATATAATGTGTGTGTGTGTGTGTGTGTGTGTGTGTGTGTGTGTGTGTGTGTGTACCTTGCCACTGGGGCTGTGCAGGTCCAGTCTGTAAACAGGGGAGTGTACCATCAGCATCAACTCCATTTGCTCCAGTTTCTTCCTGTGGCGAGCTGCCAGAGCTGCCATGGCCTTGGACCCCTTCTTTACACAAACACATTTTTTTTATATTTAAAAAACACACACTGGTCACACTCTCCTCTCTGCATTTGTGTCTCTTTCACACAAACATACTGCTTTGTGTTGCTGTATCTGTTGTCGGAGGAAATACATCTTCGCTCTCATGGTGTGTACGCGAATCTGTGTGTCTGAACGTTCCTGCTCCGTAACCCAGCGAAGTTTGAGACCTGCGAGGGGCAGATACCAGCAGAACCTGTACTGGTCGTGCTTCCTGGAAGAAAACCCAAACAAAAAACATTCATCATTCAGTCAGCAACTATGACAGCTTTTGTGACTCATAAACAACTACGAGCAAAAGGAAACACATGATGCATGTACATCCAGTGTTTGTTACTGCTAGCCTCTCAAAATGTAGACCACATTTCCCACAAACCCTGTGGCGTTCTCTTGCTACACTCACCCTCTGCTTGCATGTTTGAATCTGGTGCACAGCAGGAGGTCCGTGTAAAGGAAGAGATGACGCAGGCTGCGTTCCCCCTCACTCGCATCCACCACAAAGCCATCACGCATCAGCTGACGTCTCTGGAGTAACACGCAAACACACATGTACGTTTCATATACATATACTGCCACAAGCGCGGGCTTCAGCAAGGATGGGCACACATGCAAACGTGCAATTAAACAGTTTACGTGTACATCTCGGCCAGATTTTGTGCATCGTTAAGCCTCACCATTCCGTGACTGAGCGTGACCTCTCGTTTGCTCTGTGAACTCTCGTTGACACCAGACAGGAAGCTGCGAGACAATCTCAGAGCTTCCTGTAAGGATGAGTAATCTCCGTGCTCCACTGGTGTTGTCTTCAGGACATCCTACAATATCACAGACAAGGTGCTTAATCAGAAAATGCTAAGTGGGTGGAGGAAGTGGGGTATAAAAAGATCGTACTCCAGGGTAAGTCCTGGGAGAATGATGAGCCAATCAGAGTAGCAGCTATAGAGGTGAAGTTTCAGGAATTGATCAATTATCTCACACGCAGCACTAGTGTGGTCTTGGTTACTCTGTCCAGAGGTTTGTATAGTAGAGCTGTAAAAACAAAAAGACGGCAATCAGACACAGTCAGCCAACCGGTTATTATGACTACAGAAATTTAGAGCATGTACCTTCAAATGTGTATGTGGTCCGAGTTTTGTCTGAGCCGTTATTATTAGACATCATGCTCTGCAGAGGCGAGAGATAAAGTGAGACGGGTGAGGAAAACCTTGTACACAACTTTGTTACAATAAATGCTCGTCTGAAAGTTTGCAGTACCTCGGCCAAGGTTCGGAACCGAGGATCTGACTGTGTGCACTTGTGAACAACTTCAACAGCTTTCTCATAGTTTCCAATGAAACCACCGTACAGACCGATCTGGTTCACCTGCAGAGGCAAAACAACAGACTGACGAATGGAGGAAGGAAACACTACTAATTCTTCAATATTCAATAATTTGTTTGTTTTATTTTATATTCATTTTTGTCCAATGTCTACTTTCTATCTTATTTACCTTCATGACCACTAATGAACTTTGTATCACATGTAAAATCTATTAAAGGGCTGTAACAAACTGATATACATGATACTGTCAAACATCGTAGAATAAAATAATTTCTCTAACCTAACAAGCTTTAAACACAACAATGACGTAATATGACTGTATAAAGTAGTTGTGGTGAACATCATGAAGTCGTGTTTTTGCCTACTGATGAATGCAATGTCCAGCTTTCACTCCACTTTTAGCTCTGTTTGAGTCTTCACCAGGATTACACTAGCCACTAGATCCTCCTACAGGTTACACACTGGACCTTTAAAGCTACTTAATGGATGGGTACATTTAGATTTTAAGGGGTTAAAGGCACAAAGAACAAACCTGGCACATTTCCTCAGGTTAGAAATTAAAAAAAAAAAAAAGGGAAGTAACATGATAGTTACATCATTGTCAATAAGCTCATCTCTTGGGTTATTATAACATTAACCACATTTCTTTCATTTATCCACATTGAAAGGCTTCCCTCTGTGTCAATCTGTGTGTTTCCACCCTTTCCTTCAGAAACAAGCACTAAAAGTTGACACAATAGAGGACTTACCATTTTGAGAAACAGATCTCCCACCATCAACTCAAAGCCTGTGTGACTCGTCTCTCTCTCCCCACCAGTGCTGGATTCAGTCTGGCACTGCGCACTGAGCCGGGCCTTCAGGCCAGAGTAGAAGCTCTGGTGCAAGTCTCTGAGTTCGGGCACCTGGTAGAAAACAGTCTGGACCTGACAACTGGACAGGACTGGCTGGGAGGTCCCGGCTGAGGCTCGCAGAGCCTTCATGGGCTAGAGAAAAATGAAGTGAAATAACTGATCTGTACATGCAGAGAGGCTGAAGGCCACCCGGTGTAGGCGAGAAGAACTAGCTGGTGTGTAACAAAAAAAAATTAAAAAGGCGAGGGAAAATTAGAACGTGTGAGCAGACGTTGACATTTACAACACCCCCAGCTTCACTCGCATGAATTTCAGCAGCAACTTTGACACATATGTGTACACTCATACCACTGCTAAATAAAAGCAAGCTTATACAGCATGATTGTATACACAGCCACATAACGAAGCATACTGCTGAGAGAGAACTGTGCACACAACACCCAGCGTTCCCAGACTTTCTGATTCACTTCTCACATCCACTTTTTTTTTTTGAAGTTAAATGAGTCACAACGTCTATGAATGCAGAAATAGAGGGTTGCTGTTAATAGCAGGGAAAAAAGACAGAAGAAATTCACGAAGGAAGCTCCCAGACAGGCACTCGTTATTGGGCCATCACCAAATCTATTTCTGCTCTTAAAGCGGGGTTAGGAATAGATTCAAGGCAGGAGTAAATTAAAATTAAATAACATGCTAATGATTGCAATGAGATCAACATTTTGTATTTTTTAATGAGAAATAATTTGACTTTCTAGGAAACAGACTCACAGAGAGTTAAATAGGAAGCCGCACTCTCATTGGTTAATATGAAGCCAGCAGCTAGTTAGCTTAGCTTAGCATACAGACTTGAAAAGAGGGGAAACATCTAGCCTGGTTCTGTCCAAACCCTCTAAAACTTATTAACATGTTATACTGTTTGTTTAATATGTAAAAAAACAAAAGTGAAAAAAGAATATAAGTTACTAATTAGCATTAGCTAGAGTTAGCCAGCAGGGACCAGTTGCCAGGCAACCAGCAGAGACTCCAGGAAGTTACCAACAGTCTGGTACATGTTTTCACCATAAAACTGTCAAAATGTTTTTCTTAATACGGATTAAACAAACTAGATATAATGTGTTAATTAGTCAGCTTTAGAGGTGTGTGTACGTGGATTTTGTTAGCTTTGGACAGACCCAAGATAGCTGTTCACCCCTGTTTACAGTCTTCACGTCAAGCCGCAGACATTAGATCAATCTTTAGAGAAAAAAAAAAGGGGAACATCATCTATGATATAGAACAATCCATTTGTGGTTTGACAAGGAAGCTGAACAGTGATCTGCAGTGGATGTGAGCACTGGATATAATCTTGTACTATGACACAACGCTAACCACAGGCCGAAAAACACGCATGTGACTGCTGCTCATACTCGATATACATTAAGCACACACACACAAAACGAAGCACCGATCTCCTGTATGTTCATGAAGAGTCTTTGGAGAGTGAGCTGAAGTCACTAAGGGGTACTATGATTCTCCTTTAAGCTATATTATTAAAAGAAAGCATGTGTAATTTTTATGTGGCGACAGCAGAACAGCAAAGGGGAAGTTCAGCAGTAATAATGAATTAATAGTAAACTCTTTCTGAGATATGGTTAACATTTTGATGCTAAAATAAGAGGTGAGAATTTATTTTCATGTGTTTATTTGTGTGTGTGTGTGTGTGTGTGTGTGTGTGTGTGTGTGTGTGTGTGTGTGTGTGTGTGTGTGTGTGTGTGTGTGTGTGTGTGTTACCATCAGCAGGGCCTCCAGCTCTCGGAGATAAACCTCCTCACTCTCCAGGATGCCTTTCAGGACCACAAGCCTCCTCTCCAACATTTCCTCCGGGCTGCACGACGTCTGAATCACAGACATTCAACGTGTAGTTGGAGATACACCCAAGTCAGTCTCAGGATCAATTACATTAAAATTCACTGAGTCAGCGATGATGCAACTGGTGCAATTTATAATAATATATAGTACAGATCTTATAGATTTAACATGGTTATATTCAATTGTTTGAATATAGTTCAACTTCTCTGTGTCACTAAATAGGATCACACACATCCTCCTGTGTAGACCACATAATATGTGAAACATTAACATATGTGGTGTTATCAAACTGTTTTTAACGGTCACTTCTATATTCTTCTACTTTGATGAAAATGTGCACTGTTTCCGGAAAACAGAAGAGTTACTTCTTCAATACTTTTTCTACAAACTGGGGCTTAATATGACCAGAATAAAATGAGGAAGTAAAGCCAATGTCAACAAAACACAACATTTATTTCTTTTTTCAGTTGTAGTCCCTCCCTGTCTTTAATAACTCACTAAAATATCAGCTGATGGAGTCCCTACTAACAGCTTTTTGAAGCGTTTTAGTGTGTGTCTTTACTTAAAGTCCACCACTGAAACCCCCAAGTATTTCTGTATATTGTACAACTGATTTTACACAAATAAAAACAAGGAGTGTCGAGCCCATTACTCACAGGGGTGTCAGGGAAATCTAAGCTCTCGGAGTGGAGAGGAGAAAGGTAACAGGACACTGCCTCCTCCTGGAACACATCCTCCTCCAGGACATCAGCCTCTGCTTCAACTACAACTAACACACAAACACACACACACACACACACACACACACACACACACACACACACACACACAATGCATGATATCCTGCCGTATGTGGTATTAATATCCAACAGGTTCCCATATCTGCTTCCTCCTTAAATGTGTAAACTTGGTGTTTGTAAATGAACAAAAAATATAGCTGCTTTCTCTGACTTTAAACACACTTTTAGAAGAGATTATGGTGCCTTTTCAACAGGTAAATGAGTAAATGAGTAGCTCGTCAGATTGGTTTCTTTTTTCAGATCATCTAATGCAGAATTTTAGCTGATTAAGTTTTTCCACAAAGCTTTGAAAATCCACTCTTTTTACATAACAATACAAAGCCTCTTCCCTCACCTGGTACATGCTCTGTCTCCAGATAATTCACAGCCTCCTGGTAGACGTCCATCATCGGAGCTCAGTGCTCTTCTCCTCACAGTGCGAGGCTGAGCTCTGGAGCATGTGAACATGCTCAGCTGGCGGCAAAGCTTCCTCTTTCTGTTAAAGATGCGCAAAAGGGGAAAATACAAGCTTCCTGTGCGCGTGAAACACAGTTAAAGCCGATGAGAACTGGCACCTGCCACTTTAATCCATCCCTACAGTTGCACTCCACTTCCTCTAAATGATTTCAACACACTGGCTGCAGAGTATTTACCATCAAAACCTCAACCCTGAGTTCTTTCAGCTGCTGTACAACAATACCACATCTTCATTTTGACCACAGTTTACATACAGATCAGGGGAGTTGATAGCGTTTACCAGGAGCTACTGAGAAGCTAATTCAATTTAAAAGTAAATATAAATAATGTATAGCATAATATACAATATTAACTTGTGGAAATCAAATGAATAGTACTAGTGGAACATGTAGGTGTTATATTGATGTCTAAACTGACATTGTGTGAAGCATTTAGCAGCCTTAAGTAAACAGACAGCCCCAAAAATCAGAGGTTTACTTAAAAACTGTTCTATAAGACTAAAAGCCTCCTTTTATTGTCCAACGCTGCCATCTACAGTAGAACAGATGTTAATACAGCGTCCTTTATGATTCTTTTATTTAACTTTAATCTGTTGCTATTCACCACTGTGTTCATTCTTCTTCACTGACTGCACTGACATGAGAAATGTAACACCTCCACACAGCTGAGACGCTCAGATACTGTGGCAACACTTTGCTGGTTGTGGTTTGTGGTGTCACGGTGAAGGTCCTGACTCCCCTTTAACAGCAATGGAAATGTGTGGCATTGTTTTAAAGTTTTAAAGGGCTTCTATTTTATATTAGGATATTTTGGTGGTGGTTTTATTTAGTAGTTTTATTGCTATTTTTAAACCTTCAATGATAAATAAACCTTTTTAAAATGTGTATATTGAACAAATAGCTGCTTATTTACACATCCAGAAGTATTATCCTGCCAACAGGTGTTTTATGTTTGTGGTTTGTATCCAGTTCTAGTTCTAGATAGATAGATAGATAGATAGATAGATAGATAGATAGATAGATAGATAGATAGATAGATAGATAGATAGATAGATAGATAGATAGATAGATAGATAGATAGATAGATAGATAGATAGATAGATATTCCTTTATTTGTCCCACAAATAAAATTCCAATATTACAGCAGCAAAGTGGATAGAGAAAAAAACAGTAAGAGTAGGGAAATAATAAATAAAAACACTATGTACAAGAGAAAAAAACAGTAACAATCCACAAACAACAGATACCACAAATATTAGCAGCAGCAGTTGCACATGGGCAATAGATTGCACAGTGAAACTATGATCAGATTCCTCCTGCAGGGGGCGCTGCATTCCCATTACCGTCATAAGTGAGGTAGTTCCTAGAAAAAACTACTCTCAGTGGGAAATTTTTTTTCTAATGTTCAGCGGGAAACAACATGACTTCTCTCATAACATATTATCCCTAACAGACTGGAAGAAGTACATTACAACACTGTGCATAATATTTACCCTATCGACAAATCTGTGTGAATATTTGTGGATACTGGGAACAATGAAAAAATGAAGATTAAACAATTACAACTGGATTCTGGAAAAGTACTTTATTATCACTCAAACCAATCATTCAATTAAACTAGAAAACGTATCACTATTAGTGCTTACTTCTAAAGTTACTCTTTTATTATTCTTTATTCTTTTGGTGTTTTTTAAATGTTTTATGTATTATACTTGACGTCTGTCCTGCTGTCTAGTTGAATTTCCTGCCCTGTTGAAAATGGAGCCATACCTGTTGTCCTTTTTTTCATTATGATGCCTTACTGTTTCTTGTCCTTGTGTCATATTATAAGTGACAATAAAGATTAACATAAAAGATATGGGGGTAGGTGTGTAGTTTACACAGAAGTGGGAAGATGTGGAGGCTTGTCTCCAGCCCTCACTTTCACAACTCTTCCATAAGACTGAGCAATTTCCAGAGAAACAAAATCGAAACTTATGGGATGAAAAAAAGAGGAATTTCCTGCCCTTTTAGCTCTGCAGCAGAAGTTAACCAAGGATAGAGCCTCTGATAAGCACGAGGAAAGAGGGAGTTGACAGGAAATGCATGACTGACCGGGTTTTGGGAAGCCATAACCCAATAAAAAGATTACCAGTGACCCACAAACCAAGATAAAACATCAAGTGCTGTACAGATCGAGGTAATAAAACAGAGGCAATATGCCAAAGAACAATATGTCAAAAAATATGAAAACTTCAAGGGCGATTTAACATTATCAATGAAAACAGTGAACTATAAACACAAAATAATCATAATTACAATAATAACTAGTAGTACAATAAACTAAAGGAACTCATGTTTCCGCTGCACCAACTGAAGCCAATATATGGAATGATTTTAAATACATAAATTACTTCTACATCATCTCTCAGTAGACTGAACGTTGCAGTAACTTGGAAATGTTTCTCTGCTGAGAAGAAAAACAGGAACCAAAAGGTCACAATAAAGTAACACACCCAGATTTTTGGCTCCCAGTTTTATCTCACTATGATTAGAAAAATAAACAGAAGGAACAGAATCTCTTATTTGTCTTTACTTAAAGGACCAGTTTGTTGGACTTAGTGGCATAAAGCAGGGAAGTTGCTAACTAACTAACTAACTAACTAACTGAACACCGCTCATGTCTGTGAAGTGCGTATGAGAAAATATGGAAAACTCTAAAGGCCCTATGTATGTTGGTTTGTCCGTTCTGGGATTCTGTAGCAATATGGCGGACCCCAGGGAAGGCGACCGGGTGTCTGTAGATATAAAAGACTCTTTTTAAGGTAACACAAACAGGTGATTGTACACTAATGAAAACATACTACTGCACATCTCTGCCAGTAGATCCTCCTAAATGTTGCACACTGGACCTTTAATTGAGGACAATTTTGAGACATAAACAGAAGACGGATCCGGCGTCACATAATTGTAAGTGATACTGACGTGTGTACAGTGCTGATAGTAGCCCAAACATTAGAAATTCCTGAGGAAAAATGGCTCTATAAACTTCACGTGTTCACGCATTATTTGCCTATCTGACATTTTCCCATCAGTGTGTCCTGCAGACTGTGTGGTACGCTGTGTATTTTCCCTTTAATTAGAACAAAATCACCCACAAACCGAAACTAGAGCAGTGACCCACTTGTATTAAATGGTAAATGGACCTGTACTTGTATAGCGCCTTTCTAGTTTTCCGACCACTCAAAGCACTTTTACACTACATGCCACATTCACCCTTTCACACACACATTCACTCAGTGATGGCAAAGTCCATCGAACAGAAACTAACATTCATACACATTCACACACGCACGGCATCGGGAGCAATTTGGGGTTCAGTATCTTGCTCAAGGATACTTCGACATGTGGCACCAGGGGCTGGAGATCGAACCCACAACCTTCTGATATAGGAACGACCCGCTCTGCCTCTGAGCCACAGCCGCCCCGAATAGAGTAGAGAGTAACCAAAAAATGATCCTATAAATATTGCGTTTAAGGACATGCTTGCACATTGATAAACCACATAAAGCACATTTAGTATAAAAGCTCATCAAGTGCTGTTTGTTTGCATGCAGCTCTTGCAGCCCATCAGACCACTGCAAAGCCCCCTTTAGCAATTTGTTGTTATCTTGATGTGGCTAAAAACTCTCATATCACACAATCAGTTGAATTTCCTCAGCTTTCTGTAAACTCGTATGTAAGTACCAGAAAATGAATAAAATACCAACTTTAAGCTGAAAAACCACAAACTCTACTGTATCTGTAACTGTATCAGGCAGTTAGTTGCATCAACTGAATAAAGCAAACATCACATCTTTTTTTTGTGGCAGTGCTCCACCTTTTTTGTTAGACACTATCATGAGAGTGTGCACATGTTCAGTCTTGTCTGAGGCATTTTAAAGTTCATGTGTTTTTAATGATTAATCGTCCTGGGACATTTGTCTCACGGCACCCTTCTCTATCCTCCCACATCTAACTACATTCATGTTCCCTTCACCCACTGCAGCTGCAACCCATTATGAGACAGCGAGAGGAATACAATCTCGCTCCACTTACATGTTTACTACTAGATACTCTCACAACCTTTTCTCATAGCGCTCTAACAATGTGAACATATTCTATTCCTATATCTCTTAATACAGTTTACAGATGAAATAATAAATGTTGTATCTATTGTTTCACAGAACATTCTCCCAGGGTGCATTTGTCCACTACAAGCATCAAGGCTGAGTGTTCACAATCTGATTTCCTGTTCAGCCGAAGACCGTCAACTCGCCTTGTGAAGTGTTTTGTTTGAGTTGAATTCAGTGTGTGCTTTTAGCCAAAAAAATCTCAAGTCCTAAATGTTTATTCTGGCACCACGAGGTCAGCAGTGTGTGAGAAAAAACTAAAAAAGTTCCCCTATTCTCTTCCTTCCTCTCCATCTGTTACAGCTGCAACTCTCTTCAGTGATCCGAAAGCAAAAACTACATCAGGGATGAATATTAAATAAACTCCCCTCACCGATGGCACGAAAGAAAAGCTCTGCTGTCAGCATCATTAGCGTCAGTATAGCCAACATCCGGCGCAGTAGTCAAAAGGACCAAGACCAGGACTAGTCCAGACTGGGTCCAAATGAGAGAGACAGAAAAACAAGCATGTTTTTACTGATTTAGCAGATTTTGACTCAAACCAGTACCTGTTTCCTCAACAAGCGCACTTCATCAGTGGTTGTGTTTTGGAGGAGGGAGTTCAGACAAAAAAAGTATATTGTTGGACCCAAGTCTGAGTGCAAATACAGTCGAAGTCCAAGACAAAAGTAAACATATCTGGAGTCTGGATTTGATTGCTACAGCACTGAAACCATCACCACAAAGAGACACAGTCAGACAGAGAGATAACGTTTTAGTGTCATCACACACAGAAACAAAATTCTCTTTTGCAACTTTAATCAGGTGATCAGATCAGATCAAAGTTAACAAGAGTCAGAATAAGGTAGTTCTGTGAGGTTGTACTTTGGCCCAGCTAAATCCTACCATTCTAACAATGACAATGCTAACATGCTCATGACAATGTTCACCATCTTAGTTTAGGGTGTTAGTATTGGCTAAATTAAAATGTTGACCTAATAATGCTAAAAATAATCTGATATTTCAAGATGAACTAAAGCGGCCGACTGACCAACAATGCCAATCGTTAGAGCTACATTGCTAGCAAAAATACCAAAGATTTTAATAGCCAATAAACAGAATAAAGTCAATAGTGGTGTGAACAGACAAATAAATGTATAACTTGTATAATGTGTGATTACACTGAAGATTCAATCCCTCCCCCATTTACAGCGATATTAGCGTCTGTCAGTGGCTGGAAATGTTGTTGAAATGTTTGGCCTGAAGCTAAAGATCCCCACTCTACTGCTTTACTTCCTGAAGTCTGCAAGTCCCCCCCCCCCGTTGGGTTTAAGCACGCAAGTTAGAATGGCGTGGGTCTGTCAGGAACAGGTAAACCACACTGAACACAACAACAAAGGGCGACAGTAACAAGGAACATTTGTTCAACATACATCTGCAATATCCGTTAGGCTGTTTCAACTTGTGGCGTCTTTTTTTCAGTTCCCTTTTTGTTACATCACATATGTTTTTAAGACTGATACCCTTTTAATATTAACTAATGCAATTCATAGTTTCTCTGTTATGTTAAAAGCTCACACATTAGTGAGCCAGCCTCTCCTACTTTATCTGGCAATTTCTTACTGACATTGGATTTAACTACTAGATGAAACGCTTTCAAAGCTAATTTTCTGTCTGCAAATAAACATGTCATATCAGGTCTTTAGCCATGTGGGTTTTAAATGTACTTAGTCTAACTCTCCCCAGTCAATCACTTTTCTGAAGGTTGTGGAGAGCATTATTCTTGAACTGATGAGTTGACCTTAGTCCCTTTATCTTTTTATAATGTCTGAGTCTAAATTATCTTATTGATTTATTTATATAATCATCCAACATTACATTCATTACACTTCATATAATGTATTAATAATGTGCATCATCACTGACAAATCGATTTTTTAAATTTGCAGTTAAATGAGTCAATCACTTACATTTTGGATGATAAGATTCTCTCAAACAGAGTTTAAAGTCTTAAATCTCTTGAATCTTAATCTGCCAATCAATAGTTCCTGTAATGTGAATGCAGGCGTCAGACCAGGACATGACTCAGTAACAGTCACAATCAAATCCTTTAAACTTTGCATGTACTGAAACGTTTCTTCTTTCACATCAAGAGACAGAAGAAGTGAGAAACCAAAAAACAGAATAATGTAGTTTTGTTAAGATTTGTTTAAGATGTATCATTGTTGAACACGTGTTATTGTTCATTGGTCTTTGAAGATAATCATGTGTATATAAATAGTTTGTCTTTACACACAGATTTAAGGAATCAGATTATGAGAAAAACTTATATATATATACTTTTTTCTTCTTTATTTTTATTGGTCCACAGTGAAGGAAATGTCTTACAAGCACTGTACACCATATGCACATACTGTGTACATATCATGCACATTATTAAAACATCAGACATGTTACCATTTAACTCTAGTTTTTAAACTCAATCTAAGGTGTAAGGCTGTGATGTTAATGAAAAAGAACAGCTAAATGTAGGCATTACAAAGCACAGATATATACAAAATATAAATGCTAACTGCTAAAACTTTGTGTTGGCTGAATGTTTTAAACTAACTACCCTCACGACCAAAACGGTTGCATCCTAGCCCCTCATGACCTGTGTGGTGATCACTGAGGTGGCTCCCGGGAGGTTTTTCCTGATCTTCAGCTCACGATTAATCTGGCACCAGACGCACGGGTAACACCACAGCACCTTGCAGCAGTCGTCGCAGCCAGAGCCCTGACGGAGGAAGGAGGGAGAACAGATAACAGTTCAAATGAATGATCTCTGATGGAAATATCAAGTCTCTTTAGCTGCTAAATGCTCTTCTATGTTCACCAGCTAGATGCTAACTTTCACTGTCTGCCCATTTGGTGCTGAGACGGAAGTGTGCAGAAGTGAGAATGGCAACGAGGTTGGTAAGAGTGGGTGAGAGTGAGCCAAACAACTGTGGTGGTTGAAAATATTCAACTCAGCTGGTATTTGAATACATTTCCATTTCCTCCTTTTCCTGTAGTTGTGGCATAAAGTAGTTCCAGTATTCTATTCATTGGATATTACAACTTTTTTTGTATTCAAACTGAAAAAACAAAACTATGTATTGAATTGTGACCTTTGTACTGTAAACTGTATCACTGGTGTCATGACATTGGTATCTAATACCAGTCATTATATTCAATATACAACTGCTATTTTAGGTAATCACAAGCAATCCATTGTTAACCAAACTCACATAAAGGATGAGATTTCAAAAGGCTTCAGGGCAAGGCCGTATGAACTATTGTATAAAATGATATTTGTTTGTGTCAAACAATGACAACTGTACATAATTGTTTGCGTAGCTTTAGCAATGTTTGAACGCTCTGAATGCAACGGCCTGATTACACACCAGCTATTGTGCACATTATGTACAGCCGAACCTTCCTCATCTACAAAAAAAGTGATTTACAAACAAGCCAGAGCCTTTATTTCCCTACACCAGAATGACAGTGGGTTCAGTCAGACCTTCTTCCAGCGCTGGCACTAACACGAAGTGTGGAGATGTGTGGCTGTGTGAGACTAAGCCAATATAATGGCTTAAAGTCAGGTTTGCTGTCTTCATTTGCTATAGTTTATCTATAATATAACAAACACAACAGACTTCTCAAAACTTTCTTACATTTTTTATGTTTGTTTCTTTCCTGTCTGTTTGATATCTTTATTGAAACATGCTGTATTAATACATCTTTACCTATTTCTCTACAACTGCATGACACCAGTTGACTGAAGAGTATTTAAATGTATATGCAAAATGCACTGTGTATAGTACTTAACTAAAAAGTGTTCCCTCTCCAAGCAGCACTCCAACACCTAAAACTATATTCACTGGGAACGGAAACTACAGATTTTGTTACTGAGTCCTTTGCAGGAACTTCCTTCCTTCCACTTGACAACCGATACTTTGACCACCAAGTCAATCTTTAATCAAACTTTCTATAGTACGATAGGTACTGGGGATGCAAGTCTTCCACACCTGAGGGGACAGCATATCAGCCCACAAATATTCTAGTGTGAAGTTAACGCTATAAATAGAAGCGCAGCTGTGCAGGTGTTTTGCTTGCAATGGTTTGGTGCACAGTGAAGCCTTTGTCGACTCTCTCCGCTGTCTGTCCCTCCACTGTGCTGGAGCTCAGCCACACCCGGAAATTAATAATAATAATAATATAATCGATGTACAGACGATGAAAATAAACATTTACCAGAATACAGAAAATTAAGTTAAATCAAGCAAAGGCTGCACAGACAATAAACACTGCAGGACACTGTAAAGGTGAGAGAAATTCCCTGGAGACAGAGACAAGACCAGATCGCTCCCAGCAGATACTCAATATTAAATGTGGACCGGGTGTAAAAGACTTGATCAGGGCTGTGGTTTCGAATTAGGGTTAGGGTTTTCAGGTGATCGGGAGATTTGGAGATCGGGAGATCGGGAATCGTGGGATTTCACTGGTATCGGGATCAACTACGTTTGGTTTTGTGACAGCCCTAAACACAACTAGAAACAGTAAACTGCAAGGCTCTTCGCTATGTTTCTTCTGCTACGTTGAGTCTCTCCGTGTACCTAAATGTACTTTGATGCACCTGTAACCACACCCAACCATGATGTCACAGGGCCCTGGAGTACACCTGTACATCACTGCAACAAAGTTAAACCACTAGAGGTGAGAAAAAAACTTGATTTTCAGTTAAGTTATTCTCTGAGAATCCATATTGTATCCCCCACTCTACCCACATATCCCCCCGAAGCCTTACAGGGATGTTGTGACGCTCTCTCACGGATGAGCGGAGTATGCAGGACACCACACCACAGACGTCCAGGAGGGGCATGCAGCAGCACCAGCCGTGATCACTGGCTGTCTGACACTGCATGCAGGGGAAGCAGAAGAGCGCACAGCAACCTTGAGGACAGAAGAGAGGAGGAATATATGAACTTTATTAAGACATTACATAACATTAACCTCTTGGGATGTGCTGAATTTCGCAAAAATGTCTGATGATACTGATATTTCCCAGAATACACCTACCGACCACGTGTCCCCAACCTTTCAGTTCTTCAAAATCAATTTAAAGGGGAACCACTTTTACACATTTTCAAACTGTCTGTTAGTGGTGGGAAGTGATGAAGATATACTACTCATCCTGTGAAAACAGTTGGAGGTTTGGTCGAGGGAGTGGAGGAGTGGGGGGTTGGGGGGGTGTTAGAGCAGTTATGTATATGCTATTTCCATGCATTAAATGAATATAGCAATAACAAATTAGTAACAAATTAATTACGTTTTTACGGTTATTCCTTTTAGGGCCACCAACAACCTTCACCTGAGAGGCAGCAAAGTATTTGTTACAGTTAACCAGCATGTGGTTTATGAGGAAGATATTAAATTGCTGGAGAACTACTTTAAGTTACTCAGTCTTACTATTGTCCCACAGAAAGGCAGAAGCTCATATTAATGTATTTCCAGTGTAAATCAATATTTTGTACCATTAATGAATTAAAAACAACAGAGTTAAGGCTTCCAGTCTCCAACTTTTTTATGTTTCCAAGAGTTAACTTAGAGCTTCTGCTTTTCTGTTCCCAAAGTGCTGAGACTGATAAAAAAAATTGGATGTTTTCTTAATAGACAGTTAAAGGAATTTATCCAGGAGGGAGTTTCTGGTGGGGGTCTTATCTTCACTTCCAGAGCGGAAAAAAACTATTAAAAATAAATAAATAAATAAATAACAACTTTATTAAAATGTGAACATCTACCAGCCACTGACAGATACAGGTTCACTTCATAGTAAATCATTACTTTGTGTCTGAAATCTACAAGCCACTTTAATACTTAACCAGCGTTTGACACACTACTTCCTTAATGGAAGCTGAAGTTGCAGAATCTGTTGACATTGTTTTATAATGTGATATTCCTCTTTTAGCTGGGAAAGCTGTAGTCCTTTACTGGATCACTGAGTGTAGTTGCACAGCAGTGAAAATGCCAAAATGTTTAGATTTCAAACAGCAATGATGATATTACCCATCCCACCAATGTTTCTAAGATTGATGGAACATTTTAGTTCACACAGTAGGTCGGAAATGACGTATGTGGTGATGAATGACACAAACTGGTGAGCAGTATAATTTCCTGGGTTGACTTACAGGTACCCATATCGCTGCAGCAATCACACAGGCCGGTGCTCCATGTCCCGGGGCCTTGGGCAGTGGTCATCACTGTCACCATCTGGCCTGGCTGCTGGTGTATGGCCATGCTTGGAAGAAGATAACACAGAAATGGTCAAACTAGGACAGGGCAGAGGGAATTGCTCCACACACAGCAACTGCTGGATTATGATCCAGGCTTTTTCAAGGCTTCAGTAAGCGAAGGAAGAAGTTGAAAGACTGGTTTGAAGTTACACTGTTCACAGTTTTGCTATAAAGAAAAGGTGATTGACACTTTTATTTAATTTAATTAAGTTAAGATCATTTAAAAGTGGTTGTGAATGTCCTGGTATTAACACCATCCTTGTGCAAACTTCTACAAAGTCTGTATCTTGATCTCAGGCAGTGTATCACTAACTCTTGTTGGTAGCACTTTGAGGCTTTTAAAAGCACACATTTTGCACCCTGTGTGTGTACCATCAGTTTTTACAAGGCATCCTTTTAGTGTGTTTGTTTGTTTTCAGTGTTGCAAATGAGCAGGACTGCCTTTATATTTTTAAACTATTCCTACATCCAATGTCAATAATTGACATATTAATCCTAACTTGTATGTTGTTGTTTTTTATCTATTAGCCATCAACTGTATTTAAGCTTTTATCTTAAAATGCCTTTTAGTATTTTAACAAAAACTGTGTCTAATAGCACAAACAGGGTATCTTATTTGACCTGTCCTAACATTACCTCCTCAGCTTTTACATTTCTTAAAAGACACTATGGGTTTTTGTATAATGTAGATTTATATCACCTAGGGATGTAACGATTACCGGTGTAACGGTAAACCACGATAAAAATGTTGACGATAACAATTACCGTTTTCATTTCAAATATCATTTTCATCACGGTTGATTACCACGGTGTGGAAACCGTGTGTTTAATTCTTCCCAGCGTGATTCGAGTTTCCTGAAGACAACGTGGGTGCCGTTTTCCCCGACACTGTACGGTCGTGGGTCCTTACACATGAAGACAGCCACAGACTCCGTTATCTTCTGTGCGCGGGAAGAGTTTGGCGGCAGTTTTCAAAGGAAGGATCTGTTGAGTTGCGTCTGTTTTGAATCCACAGGTTTAGCAGCGGGTTGCTGCAGAGCATCTGCATGGTGTCTGCTTAATTGGTTGTGCAAATTTGTTATGTTATTGCAGTATTTTAGTACTGCATGGCACAGCTTACACACTACCTTACTTTTGTCTATTTCCTGTGTTCCGGGTTTACACTGAAATCCAAAATGACTCCAAACATCTGCTTTTAAAGTTGAAGGCTGCTGCTACCTGCTTCTGTTGCTATGTTGTTGTTGTGTGGTCGAGTGCTGCCTCTGTCCGTACAACGCAAATTACACAAAGGTGTTGCTCACCACGCCCCCACTGTCCAGGGGCTTGAATCGATTCAGAGGATTTAATGAATCGATATTGAATTGGGAAAAAATATAATGTAATGCATTGATGAATCCATATTTTTACCCACCCCTAATAAGAATGCTGATTGACAGTTGATTGAAGATAGTTTGTCACATTTTGATGCTTTTGATAAGGTTTTCTAATATAATAAACACTGTTACACTTTTTGAAACTATTTCAGCTTGTGTAGGCCTATCAGTGCTTTCTGAACATATTGAACACACTTTCAAAAAATACCGCGATAATACCGAAAAAAATTTCATACCTTTACATCCCTAATATCACCTAGCTAGATAACATCCATAAGCTCGCTAACATTCATCTTACCACTTAAATTAGATAACAAACTTAAATGTTTTAGTCCTTAAAATTGTGAGAAATTGTTTAAATCTACTTGGGAAAGCCAGAATAAAGCAGTAAATTAAAACCTAATTTATTAGTTCTTCATTATAATATCACTTCACTTACAGTAAAAGTTTTTTACTAAAAGAAATTAAAGAAATTGTTTATCAGTAAACTCATCCTTTTCCTGTTCCTTTGTGCTTTAAGATGTGAATGCTGTCAAAAGCTGTCAAAGCTCTTTGTATCTGTTTATTTAAGCTCACAAAAAGCTCAACATCGGTCAAAATATTAATAACTGTCGATTAATTTAGACTAATTAATACAAATTTAAAAATCCTTACCTTTTCTTTTGGTTCCGTGAGCTTTAAATAACTTTCTCTCTGAACTTCTTCTACACGTGTACGAGCAGTAAGATGCGTGGAGCCTCTTACACTGGAAAGAGAAACTCAACCTCCCCCCACCCACACACAAACACACATACACACACACACACACACACACACACACACAACACACACACACACACACACACACACACACACACACACACACACACACACACACACACACACACACCAATCAACCGGAACCGACGATTGCAAAAGGATGTCCATAAACATTGCTTTGCATGAACTCTGTGATGCAAACTAGGACTTTGCATGAGCAATAAAAGTTTTATTATAAGAGCACAAACTTTATACATGTTAGTGCTGATAAAGCAGTACAATATATAATGTGAAGCAATGCGACAGGTAATTAACTATATATATATATATATATACATACACAGATATATACTTATATGTGAGTATATATAGTTAAACATGGATAATGAGACTGTATATATGGTTCTGGCTCTGACTGGATGCTACGTGCTTTCGGACTTCTGCCAATACATTTGCATAACGGACTTTGAGTTGCGTCAACAACATGCTTTTAAACATAATCTCTGCAATCTAAATAGCCTGTCATATTAAAAAAATGAAGTCTAGCATTCAGTTTTCCTCCATTTATTGTGAATTGTGAATATTCAGCATTTCGTTATTTAATTAAAGCCCTCCATCGTTGTTGGTGCACTTTTTTAGAAGAGACATCCATAATGAATGGAGATATTAATCTGTTATGTTCATTTACTTATTATAGTACCTGCTGTGGTGGTGTAACTCTTGAATGGGCTCAGGGAGGAGATGTCTGTATTTCACTCACAGTGTATTATACTATAACACTCATTATGAAGGATATGGAGGATTATTATTACAGTTTATATCATATAGTCTACTGGCGATCTATTAAGGATGTCTGATGTTTCATACCTTTCCAACTAAATGACAAATGACTCTGTGGAGCTGGAGGCACATGAGGGCAGCACAACCACACCACCTGCAGGGCTGTGGCGATAATTACACATCAGAAAAAATACACACTGAAATGAAACTATTGGTCTTTTACTGGGGATAAAATATAGTTTGGCCAGAAGATAGCGCCAGAGGAAAGGCCATGGTATACATGTATTACCTTACAGGTGTACTCTGTCCAGGCCCAGGGGTCCAGAGGATCAGGCATGTGGCTAACTTCTCTTAAAAGCCCTGCACACTCATGGAAACCCCACATTTAATAATTTTGCCTGATTAGGACCGTGTAAACACACACTCCTTCCCTCATATTTCCCTCTGCAGTTCACAGTGTTCCAACAGCAGCTTGTTGGAGGAGGACACCTTTTACTTATTGGTCGATTGAGTCCTGTGACCTCAGCCAATAGTTACAGCCTGAGCAGATGTCTAGTCAGTATGAGTGGATGCAGCTGTGTGGGTGTGCACAGGCTTTAACATTTTCCACTGGAGAGTCCATCTGGAAAACATTTCTGAACACGTAACAACAACAGAAATTAACCTTCTGTCTATCCCTATGGGTGTAATACTATTTTCTCTATATTTTCCAGTTATTGGCCCGACTGTATCAGCTATTGTTAGTTGCTCTTGTGTACAGGAAGTGTCCCTTCCTATTTTAAGCATGCTACTATCCTCTAAACGCCCAGCACTGCAGACTTTGAGCCATTTTCAGTCAGGGTTTCAGAAACAGCACTTCCTAAAACCACTCTTCTGATGGTTTCTAACAATATTCTCATGTCTTCCGTTGCTGTTCTGTCAACGTGACCTCAGTTCTGCACTTGACACTGTACAACATTTTATTCTGAGGTTACGTGATTGGGTGGGCACATCAGGCACAATGTTAGACTGACAGACATTGTCTCTATTGGAGACTGATTCCTGTCCCACAGGGCTCGGTTCTGGGGGCCCTGTTATTCTCTATCTCTATTTGCTGCCCTTGAGACAGACCATGAACAGATTTAACACTGCATACCATGTATATGCAGATAATATCCAACTGTACTTATCATTCAAATCTTTTTTTACTTACTTACTTAAGACTTACACATTTACTGTCTTGATGCCAGTCATGACGGGTTGATGCCAACTCTCCAGAGAAGCTGCAATTGTGCCACTTTTACTCCCCAGAGTGGCACATTGGCACACCCTGGCACCTCTTTGTGCTCACAGCAGAAGGTGGCAGCAATGTGAAACATTCAGTATAAATGCTGTCAGGCATCCTGTTGCTTCAGTGTTGGTTCAAGTGGCACACTTTCAGATGCAATCTGTAAACATCATATGTATGAGTTAAGGCAGAGGATGAATTAACTGTAAATGTGACACATGATTGGTGGACACTTATAGATTTGTTCACATTTAAAAAAAATCAATTTTCTTTTTAATTTGAACAACAAAAAAATAAATAAAATTATATTCTAAAACTATTATCAAACAGTCAAAAAGTAGGGATAAAGAATAAAAACGTTATTCAAGAGAGGACTCCATGATGGGACCTACTTTGTGTGTGTGTGTGTGTGTGTGTGTGTGTGTGTGTGTGTGTGAGAGAGAGAGAGAGAGAGAGAGAGACAGAGAGAGAGAGAGAGAGAGAGAGAGAGAGAGAGAGAGAGAGAGAGGGGGAAGTGAGTGGTTGGTCGTATTGAGTCAGTATTCAGTGAGACAGCAGTGAGAGAGGATCATGCGGCGGACAAACTTTCTCTCCCATCAGCCCCACTGCTACCATCCTCATCTTCACCACCAACCTATAAATCCAACCAAACCCAGTTGAGGAAGAATGCCAGCGAACAACACCACGTGGTCAACAACAGAGGTGGAGAGGGGCTACACCTGCGTGCGTTTTTACGTGTCCACCGTGTCCTTCTCGGTGCTCCTCTTCTTCAACCTCATCATCAACTCGACCATAGTCCGCGTGAAGCAGCTCCGGAGTCATGCCCGCTTCGTGCTGGTTTTCCACCTGCTGCTGTCCGCCCTGGTCCACCTGGGGATGAGCAGCATCTTCCACTACCAGATCCACCTGCGCGCGAAGCCGGTGCGCTCCGCGTGCCTGGCTATGATCACCATCCTGATCAGCAGCGCCTCCAACATCCTCCTGACGCTCACGCTGATGGCTTTGGACCGCTACTGCGCCGTGTGCCATCCGATGCGTTACGCATCCAAATGCACCGCGGGGCACTGGCCCTGGCTGCTGGGTGTGCTCACCTGGTTCCTGGCTTTGGTGATTCCCCTCAGTCTGCTCCTCCAACGGGACTCCCAAACCCCCGTGGTGGATCGCGGGGAGTGCGGCTCGGATCAGCTGAAGAAAGGCGAGTTACAGAAAGTGCTGTTCATAGGTCTGTGCACGGTGCTCATCCTGTACAGCTACGTGAGGATACTGGTGGAGGGGAGGCGGTTAGGGGTGCTGAATCGGCGCAACCGGGCCGGGTGCAGGACGATCGCCCTGCACTGCAGCCAGCTGGCCGTGTACATCCTCCCCAACTTTGTGAACTTCGTGCTTACGATGATGTACAAACGGGAGCTGATTCAGCGAGAGACCAAAGAGCTGTCAGCCGTGGTTATATTCGCTTTCTTCAGCTTGGCGCAGTGCGTTGCGCCGGTTGTTTACGGCCTGCGCAAAGAGGAACTTCTGGAGCAGTTGAGTCACAGGTTCCCCTGCTGCTCCAGATACCTAAAGAGTGTCCTCGGCTGGACTGTGCACGTCAACTGGGCACAAACCTACCACAAAACACGGTATGTCCCACTGGATGCACCCATTAACATTTGTTTTATCCATACAGCCATAAAGTTGTATAATGACTTACTATTGAGAGCAACCTTTGTGTTACCTCGCTGTGTGTCATTAATAGTCAACTCATTAATAACTGATGACTTGTTTCTCACTTTCTAATGAATCATAAAGTCTGCAGCTACTCAGATTCATCAATAACTTTATTAATGACTCTGTGTAGCTGCAGAGTTCATGATATTGACCTTCAGACAAAAGATAAATAAATAATCTCCAATATGTTACTTAGTCGTTGGTGAGAGAGCTTTTACAATAAGTTTATATATGTTAATAAGCATTTAATAGATGACAGCCTTTCCAGGAGGTCAGAGCTTAAAAGACAAGTGATAAACAACATTTATTATAACTCATGAATAAAACCATATACATATACATTTATAAACCATTTACATCCATTATGACATCAGAAAGTAGTGAGTGGGAAGTTGAAAACCATTGAGTTTTAAAACACTTGATAGGAAAACTACAAACTATTAATGGAAATTTCCACACCTGAAGTCAGCAGTAGTATACAGACTAGATGACAGCTGATTAGGATCTTGACTTTCTTCTTGTGTCAACTCAGCACAATTTACTGTTTGGTAAACCTCTATGTCTGTTATCCACAACCAAAACACACCTCCACACATCGTTTACATAGAAACACTGCTGAAATTACAGCGCTACCAAATAATCTTTCATGACCAGTTTATGTTAAAGGTGTAGTTCAACATTTATTTACACTCATCTTTCTTGCCAACAGTTAACTGAGAAGTCGGTGCTTAGCTTAGCTTAGCATAAAGACTGGAAACAGGGGGAAACAGCTAGCCTGGCTCTGTCCAAAGGTAACAAATCCTACCAGCACATCTGAAGCTCACTTATTAAGATTGGTTTTACGGGTGGTTATGTGCTGGACTATTTCTTGACTGGGAGCAGTGACTTCCCTGGAGTCTCTGACGGTTGCCTAGCAACCTCTCCCCTGTACAGATGTAATAAGATTGATCAATTGGCAAGCTCTAAAAGGTGCTGATAGGTGGATTTTGTTACCTTCAGAAAGATCCAGGCTAGCGCTTTCCCATGTTTCCAGTATTTATGCTAAGCTAAGCTACCCAGCTACTGTCTGTAGCCTAGCTTTAACTAAAACTCAAAAACATTATGAAATTTTAGTCCAGACACCAAAGTAGGTCTCTCTGAGAGTTTGTGCCACATATTCACTTCATGTTCTACGGCCTTACTTACCTGTTATAGGGTCCTTTAAAATAACAAACCTTTAATAGTCAGAAAGATCATATTATGTAAAACATTCAACAAGTGCAACATGTAAAAAAAGTGAATTCTGAGGAAAGATGATTAATAGCAAGATTGGGTCACTTGACTGAAACAAAAGTGTGAGATGGTTTATTTGCATATTGTTAAATATTGCAGTGACTAACTGCCACTACTATGACTAAATTAGTTATTAAAACAGACATTTGTTGCGTGACTTCAGGGTGCAACCACAGCTGATCATGAAACACTTTTTGAGTGTTTTGGGAATTTTAAGAGTTCACCAGAGCACCACAAAAGGAGCGGGTGAAGTCATTGCTGAATTTACAGTTTTATTTCAGGTTCTTTTTCTTTTTCCCCTCAGGGAGCGAACAATGACAGCTCAGACGATCATCTCCCTAGAGCTCCCGCAAGTCCCAGAAAAGGAGGAAACAAGGCCAATGTCAATCACGAGTTCCTCACATGACTTAGACTTAGACTCATGTCAAAGCGATACGGACAATGCCTGATGGGAAAAAGCGGGTAAATGACAGGATACTGACGGCCACAGGAACATTTGGATAAGTGGCTGGTGTTCTCAGCTCACACCTGAAAGGAACTAAAGAGCCTCGGACGTAATAATCCAGATCTATAAAGCTGTCTTCCTCAGAGGACGTCAACACCTGGTTGTGCATCATTGTCGGGACATCAGTGTGTTTCTATTCTGCTCTATTTAAAGTCAGAGGAGCAAACAGTGAAGCTGCTCAATGGATTTAAGCCTCAAGTGTTGAGGTCACACGCACACTTTAACAGCCCTGCATCATTTGGGATTAAATTCGCTGGGATGGAGGATTTACTTAAACATATCGTCTGGTGAATGTTGTTTCCATGTGTTCTCAAACTTGTGGATATTAAAAAATGTGAGTTTAATGGTCTTGATCCATTTGAATGTTTCCAGCACCCTTGAGATTAGGAGAGGGAACAAATATACGAAGACAGTAACCAACATTCAATGTGCTCAACTCTCTTGTCGGGGGTTAGATGAGAGGATTGATATCTCTCTTGTATCTGTTCAATAAAAGGTGCGGATGTAGATAAGAGTTGTTTTGAGTATTAATACTGAAAGGAAGTCTTTAGATGCTTAACTTCAGTAAAAGCACAAATTCCACACTGTAAAAATACTCTGTTACAAGTAAAATAATAATAAATTATATATATATATATATATATATATAACTGTATTTAAGTATAAACAGGAAAATGTATTTAATGTAAAAAGTAAAAGTACTAGTGCAGAGGATTGTACCCTGTGATCAATAGTCAAAAGTAAATTAAAATGTTGGCTGAGTCCTTACCGCCGTGGCCCAAGTGCGATTCCAACCTGCAGCCCTTTGCTGCATGTCGTCCCTGATCTCTCTCTCCTCTTTTCTATCTCCATCTGTCCTATCAAAATAAAGGCATAAGTAGTAAATTCAAATTCTTAAAAAAATAACACGTTGGAACCATCAAATGTTTGGCATCCTTGCATCAAAAATGAACTCTGAACTGTCATCAAAATAGTAAATATTCTGTCAATCCACTAATCAATTAATCAGCTAGATGGTTGATTATTCAGCTTAGTTGATTAGTTTCAACTTAACAAAACATCCTACTCTATGAGCTTTCTGTACATTTTGTATGTAAAGATCTTAATCTGCAAAGTTACTAGTAACTAAAGCTGTTAAATAATTGATTCCCTTCTGAAATGTAGTCGAGTAGAAAGTAAAGTACACCTCAAAACTGTATTTAACTGCAGTAAGTTCATTCCACTGCCGTAGTTTGGGCACATGAACGTGCAGCCATCATCTTGTTAGTTCAGAAAATTCCCACATTTGTTATTGACTCCCTCCAGGATTTTGCAGGATTTGTTTATGAGGGGCGGTTGCTATGATGCATGATTTTCCAGATTTGCTGAAAAGTTGCTCAGAATTCACGGGATTGGTTGAATTTGCGTTTATTGTTGCAACATTGAAACTTCCTGCATAGACTTAGCATTAAAAGTTTTTAAGTAATCAACAGAAAATAATAAAAATGAATGCCCAATGATTGGCAAATTATTTGGTGGTAAATATATTCAGGAATAGCCCATTAATAATGTATTCATTTCATAAATCAGGACATTCTCCTCTACATTACATAAACTGCTTGTAGTAATAAAAAATAATCATATGATATGTCAACGTATCAGTTAATCAATATCAGTTAACCTGGCCTCGACAAAGTTAACAGAGGTTGTTAGCCTAAAGAAGTGGGAAACTGCTAGCTTGTCAGAACATTTAGAAACAATCACTTAATACCTCTAAAGCTATTTAGAAGTTAACTTCTGAGATTATTTTTGTGCCTTTTATTAAAACAGGATCAGCTCCATCAAACGAACCCCGGCCACTACGGCAGGGACTCAGCCCCAGCTTCACATTTAATGAACACTCATAAACAGGGAGTGATATTATTCTCTGCAAGTCAGTAAACACACTTCCCCGAAATGTTAAAATATTTCTTTTTAGGTCATTTAGCTTAAGCTTTGGAATGGGCAACAGACCTAAACCACCTGAACTTTCTCAAAACAAAGCAGACTTTTGAATACCATCTCTCAATATTTACCCCCACTAAAAAAAAAAGTAAACTATATTATCTCGGGGGGGGTCTTCTAGGTAAGTAAGGGTGTTGGTTTGATCGACCTGTAGCACAGTTGCTGCTGAGCTCCTCAGATAGCTTTGAGTCAGACGGAGCCACTAGGGAAATTCTCAACACTTTAACCGCAGCGACACTCGTGAAGCAATGGTAGAACCCTTATCATGTCTCGGTCTCACACCAACACTTGTCAAGTCAGTTGTGTATCTGATGGCAGGAAGAGGTTCCTGTTTTTATTTCAGAGCATTTATGCAGAAGCCATCTGGTGGTAAAGCCCTTACTGGCATTCCTGTGCAGTGCGCTCGGTCTGGAAGCCGGGGCTGCAGAAGTGAAAGCCAAGTTGCAAGATTCTATGAATACCAAAGAAATAGGAAGTGAGTTTACCGGGCTAAATACTGTTTCAATGGGAATTTTTTACTTTTTTGCTGAGCTTCAATATTTGTTTGTTTTTTTCAAGGTTACATAAGCTTGTACAGGAAAATACCAGTAAAAGGTCAATGTTTGGTTTGTTGAAGACCACATTCACATATATGTTGGAATTTAAAGAGGTAATGGTCGTATTGCAAGTCTATTCAGGTAAACTCTTACAAAAGGTATGTTTAAAGACGGAATAAATTAAACATTCGTCTCACTGGTAAAACCAAAAGACAGATAAATGCATAGACAGATGAACATATCATTTATTTATTATTCCCAATAGCGCTGTTAAACCAAAAAGCTCAAAGTACATCTGCACAAACACTGCAACTCCACCAAAACGATCGTCTCACACCTTTATCATCTCAATGGCAGTAGTGTTTGTCCCAATACAAGTTAATGTGAAGGCAAGAATGCAGATCTAATTTAAGTTTTATGAATGCTTTTAACAAACTCTGATACAGTCCATTTATTGTACAAATCTCCAGGTACGCAGACTACATTTACAGTTAATGATCCCTGCTACCTTAAGCTAAGCTAAGAAAAAGGAAAAAACTTGCACTTTGGAGGTTAAGTGTTTGTCAAGAGTAAAGTTGACTTTTTTTCTTAAATCATGTGAAAGCTCTTGTGTGTTTGACTCAAATCACAACAACAACTTCAAACAGCATCTGTGGACCGGTTTGTAAGGCAAAGGTTTTCTTCCTGACATTAATGTTTCTGTGATGAACACCTTGTGAGCTTAATTTACATGCATACAGGCATTAAAGTACATTAACATCACACTGTTATATACATTTGAATACAATGTAGATGTCTACAGACTAAGGAGGAAAAACATCAATTTAAAATACTTTTTCTGTATAAATTACAGAATCACCTAAAACCGATTTGTTGCATTGTTGTTCTATTTATCTGTCAAATCCAACACTATAACTTCATGTTGCAACAGATTAAACGATAATTCAGTCCCATCAGTCATGAAGGCCAAGTAAATATAAAAGCTCCATTCACACATTTCAGACATTCAGTCAGCTGGTTTACAGGCAGGTGGTAGTAGGGCTGAATGATGATGTACAAATATTCAGATTTTCTGTCGTACTGACCAATTTAAAAAAACTCTATTTCATTTAGAGTAAAACTCCAGCTCAAATTAGGACCTCTAGCCCAAAATCTAAAAGGTCTTGAGTCAGAACGAAATAAATAAGTTACTAAAAAACAGATTTGCAAAGATCTCAAAAGGCATTCATGACAGAACAACAGGTTTCAAACTGTGATTTCTGTGTAAAAACTATGAATCAATCAGCCCCAGTTTCTAAGAACTCGAAGTACCTGAAAGCTCGATTTACACAGAGCAGATAAAAGAGCAACTGATGTGTGATGGAGCCATAATGGTGGTAAAGTTGATCAAGTGTGAGAGCACACATGACCTAGAACCTGGTTAGAGATGCAGAAGAGTTAAAAAAAACAAAAACAAACAAACGATATGGGGAGTGTGGTGAGTTTAGAAACCCAGCGGGTGGGGGGCCACCACTCCTCCGTTCTGCACCAAAGCTGCAGAGATGGCCCGCATGTTCTTGTACAGCTGTCTGGACTCGCTCGAGCGCAGAGCCTTGATGTCTTGCATGATCCTCTCATGGGCCTGAGGTAAGTGAATGGAGACATTAAATAAAGTTTAAAAAGGTCCCATCTCACAATAATTCATCAAGATGCTTCTGAGTGAGAGACAAACATTGACAGTGTGGAATAAAGTCATAAAAAAAAGAAAAGAAAACTAGTGAGTAGTGCTGAGTGGATATTCATGGCACCAATACATTCAAGGAGTAAAGTGAGTAAACATTTTGGAAAAGTCGATATTGATTTAGTAAAATGCAATAAGCTTGTCATCCAGGTGAGACAGAACAATGTCAATTCTACAACCTAACGTTAGTTTAGTAGAAACTCTTGCCCAAAGTTAGGTGAGAAAATTGCTTTCATTTTCATTTCCAAAAACTGGAAACGAGATGCATCATATGGATTTTTTTTTATTTTAAAAAGAAGTTTGCAACATGTAGTTTTTACACACATGAGGGTAAGAAAGGAGTAGATGTAGTGAGCAAAGATGGATGATCAGGATTTGATCCATAAAGACAAACAATCGTAATGAAATGGCATTTAAAAAGCTCCATCATTTTTCAGGTCAGGTTGAGGTATTTTTACATTGTATTCTAATTTCATGTTGTCGAATACAACCCTAACTAATGAATTGCATATGTCCGGCAATCCTATCCACTTTATTAAAGATTTTTCTTTCTGAATCTTTCCTCCTCCATCGAATGATGTCTAGTATCATTACATTCAAGTAATATATATTAATACTGAGCTTTTAGGTGTTTGTGATATTTAATTTTTCCCCCTCTTTCACCAAACACACCTATTAGCAGGTTATTTGTCCGTTCTGCTACTTAATAACACTCACAATCAATTACAATAATACTGATGAATGTTGAGGAAACACCCTCAATCAGAATACAAGCAAATTATAAAGCTTTTATTTGTGTTTTTAATAATGTCCTATACAATATTGAATCTTAATTATAGTAATCTTAATCCTGGCTTTGACATGGATCTTACCTCCACACACCAAGTCTCACAGAGCACCTTCTCATGCTGAGCTGAGGCAGAGCCCTGACTCAGAGAGCGTGAAGCCCTGCAGAGAGAGAGGGAGAGGGGGGGAGAAGAAATGTCAGTTTAGTGTGCGTAGGAGTATGAGGAATAAAGGTAGACCATAAAGAAAGTAAGTAGGAGTGTGCACCAAGAGAGGGGGTGAAAGACTGAAACCTTGGCAGAGAAAGACAGAGTGGCTGATAAAGAAAAGACAAATCGATGTTTGAATGTCTGCGTACCTGGACAGGACGACCACCATGGCGTAGAGGTCAATGGCACAGTCTGCAACTCTCCTCTGGACAAACTGTTCCTCTGCAACAGGAAACGGCTCAGTGATACGAGGATTCAAACAATTGGATATGATCGTAACACTTCGGTAAACAACTCGTAATTATTCTCTTTAAGCAAATTAGTTGCAATATTATTTTATAATAAATTTGACACTAAAGGACTCAAAAAGAAGTCCAAAATGACTCAGAAACAGCCAGAACTGTACCAGGTGGGGATTTTCATCCACGGTTTTCTCTCACGTTCACACACACACAAACACTTACCAATGATCTTCTTGCCGTGTTTGATCAGCAGCTCCTCAACGACCGCTCCAAACTGTTCAATGGCTTTAATCGTCTATAAATTTAAAAAAAAAACACAACACACATAGGTCATAGAGAAATGAAGTCCAACATGTAAATCAGTAATTAAAGGCAACAAATCAGGAAAAATCCCATATTATCCCATTAGCAAACAACAAACACAATCCAGGTACCACTTAAAAGCCTAAAATGGAAACTGTACCAGTTCACCGCTCTGTGCCAGCTCAGGATGTACAGTTCCCTGCAGCGTCAGGCCTGTGCTCAAACCTGCCTTCCTACAAAAGACAACATAAGACGAACAGTTGTTATAGCAACATGGCAGAGGAAGTAGAAATATAACATCTGTGTCTACGCTGGATCTAAAAACAGCCACACTGTCTGTCTGTTCTTCCGGATAATAGTGAGATGAATAACAAATGAGGCTTAAATACAATCTGTGTCACACATTCATTAGAGCTGTTCTCTATTAAAACTTGGACCACCGTCAGGGGAAAAATCCACCCATTTCACTTTTATAGCTGTTATAAATGAAGTTGTAGTGTTTATCTTAGATCCTGCCAGCTAATTTTTGCAAGAATAGCTAATAACTAAAAAAAAAAAGGTGCTGTAGAACTTCACTGAACTCAACCTGCCTGTATCTGGGACTCTGCTTTCATGTGAAGTTTTACAGTATATCAAGAAAGGTATTGTAGTCAATAGCACACAGTTTTGACTAAATCCCAGCGATTCTACAGTTCAGAAGTCAGCGAATTCAGCAATGAAGTGTTTAATAGCGGTGTTGGAGATGTGGGGAGGACAAAGGGGACACAGAAATGGACAAATTAGCTGCATTAGAGTGCTGGTAAGAGGAACCATTTGTCTGCACTGTAATAGCACTCAAACAGAGCCTGCCTAAAAGCACTTACTAAACTGCATTACGAAGTTTTTAATCACTTGAAAGTGAAGAGTGCAGGAAACTGTGACTGTGTGGTGATTGTGTGTGTGTGTGTGTGTGTGTGTGTGTTGGCATTCATCACGTTCTGGGGACAACAAACTGTTTACACAGTCACGTCATGGGGACCTCTAACAGTATGGGGACGAAAAATGAGGTCCCCTAAAGGGAAACTCTTTTAAATGAATGCAGGAGTCTATCTGAAGGTGCCTGTGTGGTTTTTAGCTTTGGCCCATTGGGCATGTTTTCCAGTTAGTGTGTGTGTGTGAACGGGGCACGCTTGCGCCCCCTTACTGTATGAGCTGGTAAGGCAGTCACCGTTCCACACACACAGATCTTCCAAATATGGTATGTTACCGCCCACTTCCTGGTCCCCATTAAGAAGGATTTTAGGAGCAAACACAATTTTCAGTGTTTAAAGGGAGCATCGCAAAGGCTCTTCAATTAAAGATGTTTGTCACATAAAAAGAGGAACTACAACACCACAAGGTAAGCAATATTATCTTATTTACTTACTTGCTATAATCATTATTTGTATAGATGACCATTTTAAACCACTAATGAGGTTAATTAGTGTTAATTAGTTAGTAGGATAGCTAGTTAGCTTTAATCAGCAACAGAAGGCTAGTGTAACTAGCAAATTTACAATGTTTTACTAACAATGTTTTTAGCTTTCCCTGAAAGCTACTGTTAGTTGTTACATGATGGATGGATTATGTGCATTTCAAGGAGTTTATACCAACTAAAAAAAGTGAAATATTTTTCAGTGTTTAACAGAAATTTAAAATACATTTCCAGGTAATGAATTTAGTAATATATTGAGGTGTAACTTAATCCTAGGTATATATAGGTGAGATATATTATAGAAAATTTGTAAAGAGATGTTTTGATGATTTAAAGCAAGCTGTCCATGTTAAGAGAAAGTACATCTGGACAGGTACTTTTGGGACCTGAGCTTGACAAGGCTGCAATTTGATGTTTGTATCTTTAAAGTGACTAGTGAAGTGATTCCACATGCCTCCTCTACATAAATGGGTCCTGATTGATTTTACTACCTGAAAAAGTAAACTTAGCTTACTCATAATTATTAATATTATTTTATTATTAAAAATGAATAATTTAGAATAGGGCATGGCAAGAAGGGAAGGCATCTGACACTGAGCCAACAGGAAAGGACGAGTATGGGGAAAAAAGTTATAGGGCTAAGCCTCTGAACACCCACACAGTTTTTTCAGTTTATCTTGTTGATTATTAGTCTTCTTGGGACTGTATGGGTGTGTATACTGTGATTGATTGACATCTTCCTGAGTCTTCTGTCAGCTTTGTTACACCTGTGAGGGCAGGACAAAATATACCTTCACCATTCGTATTGGAGATTCAGATTTGTGACCTCATGGAGTTTCATCAAAGCTTAAGCCCACCCTAAACCTGAGCAGAGGTCTAATCAGCCATAATAACTGAAAACACCTGTGTGGGTGTTCACTTAGAGCCTCTAATTGTATTGTAATAGAACTGAAGCCAAAGCTGTCTCATTAAACATTTCTCTGCAGTTTTAAATGCCACCAAGGTCAGTCCTCTTAAGGATGCCCTTCAGCATGTTCACTTTATATACATATTGAAAATGATTTTGAGACATTTAATTGCAAAACTTCAGGATGCATTAGATAAGCTTAGGTCAATAAAGCTGCCATCAAATGCACTAATAATTGGCAACATGTGTTTTTAGGACTTATTGCCACAGACTAATTAACATTCGTAATGTCCTGTTTTTTTTGAAAATGTATTACTTTGTCTTACAGGACGTGGTGTATTTGCCCTATCTTCATTCTCCAAAGGAGATTTTGTACTGGAATACAGAGGAGACATGATAGATGATGCAGAATCCCAAAGGAGAAGGTGCATTTATCACTCATCATGTGTTGCATTCATGCTTCATTCAAGTGGAGAGGGAGAACATGGTGGTAAGAATTTACATTACAACTAAACTATACTCCTTATGCTAAACCATAATAATCTCCTTACACTTAGCTCATAGTTAAAATGAAGGCACTGATTGTGTTGTATACAGTTGAAACCAGAAGTTTACATACACTATAAAAAGACACATACGCTTTTTTTTCTCACTGTCGGACATGAAATCAGACAATCACTTTTCCTGTTTTAGGTCTGTTAGGATTACCAAAATTATTTCTATTTGCTAAATGCCAGAATAATGAGAGAAGGATTTTTTTAGACAATTTTTTATTACTTTCTTCAAAGTCAAAAGTTTACATACACTAAGAATACTATGCCTTTAAACAATTTGGGAAAGCCCAGATGATGATGTCATGTCTTTGGAAGCTTCTGTTTATTGACAACATTTGAGTTAATTAGAGACACACCTGTGGATGTATTTTAAGGCACACCTGAAACACACTGCTTCTTTGTGTAATATCATGGGAAAGTCAAAAGAAATCAGCCAAGATATCAGGAAGAGAATTGTGGACTTGCACAAGTCTGGTTCATCCTTCGGTGTAATTTCCAGATGCCTGAAGGTGCCACGTTCATCTGTTCAAACAATTATACGCAAGTATAAACACCATGGGAATGTCCAGCCATCATACCGCTCAGGAGACGGGTTCTGTGTCCCAGAGTTGAACGTGCTTTGGTCCGATGTGTATATCAACCAACAGATGATGCTGCCATCCCTCTATTTCACAGTTGGGATGGTGTTCTCAGGCTTGCAAGTTTCCCCCTTTTTCCTCCAAACTTAACGATGGTCATTATGGCCAAACAGTTTGATTTTAGTTTAGTCAGACCACAGGACATGTCTCCAAAAATTAAGGTCTTTGTCCCTGTGTGCATTTGCAAACTGTAATCTGGCTTTCCTATATGTCTTTTGGAGTAATGGCTTCTTCCTGACAGAGTGACCATTCAGCCCATGTCGGTACAGTACTAGTTTCACTGTGGATAAAGACACACTCTTACCAGCTTCAGCCAGCATCTTCACAAGGTCTTTTGCTTTTGTTCTTGGGTTGATATGCACATTTCGGACCAAAGCACGTTCAACTCTGGGACACAGAACCCGTCTCTGTCCTGAGTGGTATGATGGCTGGACACTGCCATGGTGTTTATACTTGCGTATAATTATTTGAACAGATGAACGTGGCACCTTCAGGCATCTGGAAATTGCACCCAAGGATGAACCAGACTTGTGCAAGTCCACAATTCTCTTCCTGATATCTTGGCTGATTTCTTTAGACTTTCCCATGATGTTACACAAAGAAGCAGTGCGTTTCAGGTGTGCCTTACAATACATCCACAGGTGTGTCTCTAAATTAACTCAAATGTTGTCAATAAACCTATCAGAAGCTTCCAAAGACATGACATCATCATCTGGGCTTTCCCAAATTGTTTAAAGACATAGTAATCTTAGTGTATGTAAACTTCTGACTTTGAAGAAAGTAATAAAAAAATTGTCTAAAAAAATCCTTCTCTCATTATCCTGGCATTTAGCAAATAGAAATAATTTTGGTAATCCTAACGGACCTAAAACAGGAAAAGTGATTGTCTGATTTCATGTCAGACAGTGAGGAAAAAAAAGCATATGTGTCTTTTTATACAGTGTATGTAAACTTCTGGTTTCAACTGTACATATGTTATGATGGTAATCTATTGTGAATCAGAAGTCCCTAGCAGTTGTATGTAATGCATCTAGAAAGCTGATGGTAATGGGATATTCAGGACAGATTTTAATGGTTGATGGAGGAAGAGGAAATATTGAATTTCATGATTTTGTCTTTGAAGTTTCGTGCCTGTTGGCTTGAATTTAACTTTAGAAATTTGTCATTAAGAACATGCATTAGTGGAATTAAATATTATGCAGTGATAACATCAGACTTAAACTTGTTTCATATTTTGAAATGTTTGCAGATGACCATGAATGCAGCTGATGCTGTCATTCCTGGGGAAAGCTCCCACCATGCTGTCTTGTTAGAGACGCAGATGAGGAGTCCACGAGACACTAATCGACAGGTACACTAATGTTTAGCACTTAAACTTTACTCCTAGAATATTTCTAACTCACTGTTTGTTGCTTTTTATGCCCTTTAAGCAGGTAAATAAGCTGTTTTTTTAAATGCATCTAGAAACATAATGGTAATGGGATATTCAGGACAGATTTTAATGTTCATAGGGATGTTACTTTTTATAAAATATCACTCTATTCTGGGACATTCACGACGTCCCCATAGCACACCTTACATCAGTGTATGAATAGAAACTGTGTGTTAAGTATCTGACAACCTAGAGACTTGGCCTAGCATTGGTCCCCATAAGGAACCACGACATGGTGTGTGATATGTCCCCACTAAGCTTGTTTTATTCAATATGTGTGAAAACAGGCAGAGGTTGATGGAGGAAGAGGAAATATTGAATTTGATGATTTTGTCTTTGAAGTTTTGTGCCTGTTGGCATGAATTTAACTTTAGAAATTTGTCATTAAGAACATGCATTAGTGTAACTAAATATTATGCAGTGATAACATCAGACTTAAACTTGTTTTTCATATTTTGAAATGTTTGCAGATGTCCATGATTGCAGCTGATGCTGTCATTCCTGTGGAAAGCTCCCACCATGCTGTCTTGTTAGAGACGCAGATGGCTGAAACTTTGAGTCCATGAGACACTAATCGACAGGTACATTCATGTTTAGCACTTAAACTTTACTCCTAGAATATTTCTAACTCACCGTTTGTTGCCTTTTCTACCTTTTAAGCAGGTAAATAAGCTGTTTTTTGAAATGCATCTAGAAACATAATGGTAATGGGATATTCAGGACAAATTTGAACGTTTATAGGGATGTTACTTTTGATAAAATATCACTCTATTCTGGGACATTCACGACGTCCCCATAGCACACCTTACATCAGTGTATGAATAGAAACTGTGTGTTAAGTATCTGACAACCTAGAGACTTGGCCTAGCATTGGTCCCCATAAGGAACCACGACATGGTGTGTGATATGTCCCCATTAAGCTTGTTTTATTCAATATGTGTGAAAACAGGCAGAGGTTGATGGAGGAAGAGGAAATATTGAATTTGATGATTTTGTCTTTGAAGTTTCATGCCTGTTGGCTTGAATTTAACTTTAGAAATTTGTCATTAAGAACATGCAGTAGTGTAAATAAATATTATGCAGCGATAACAGACTTAAACTTGTTTTTCATATTTTGAAATGTTTGCAGATGACCATGAATGCAGCTGATGCTGTCATTCCTGAGGAAAGCTCCCACCATGCTGTCTTGTTAGAGACGCAGATGACTGAAACTTTGAGTCCACGAGACACTAATCGACAGGTACATTCATGTTTAGCACTTAAACTTTACTCCTAGAATATTTCTCACTCACCGTTTGTTGCTTTTTATGCCCTTTAAGCAGGTAAATAAGCTGTTTTTTTAAATGCATCTAGAAACATAATGGTAATGGGATATTCAGGACAGATTTTAATGTTCATAGGGATGTTCTTTTTGATAAAATATCACTCTATTCTGGGACATTCACGACGTCCCCATAGCACACCTTACATCAGTGTATGAATAGAAACTGTGTGTTAAGTATCTGACAACCTAGAGACTTGGTCAAGCATTGGTCCCCTTAAGGAACCACGACATGGTGTGTGATATGTCCCCACTAAGCTTGTTTTATTCAATATGTGTGAAATCAGGCAGAGGTTGATGGAGGAAGAGGAAATATTGAATTTGATGATTTTGTCTTTGAAGTTTTGTGCCTGTTGGCTTGAATTTAACTTTAGAAATTTGTCATTAAGAACATGCAGTAGTGTAAATAAATACTAAGCAGCGATTACATCAAATTGAACACTTGTTTTTCATATTTATGTTTACAATTACAATATTTTAGATGTAGTTATATTTTAAGGCTGTCTTTCATACGTTAAAAAAAGTCAATGTTTTGCCTAAACTTACAAATCGCAAATGTTGTAAATTTGATTTGTCCTAATTATTCAGATTCATTTTCAAGGTATATTTTTGTGACAGCACAAACGGTGTGTTTGCAGACAAAGGAATATTATCTATGTTCAGAAGTATAAACTTTCACCAAGTCAGACTTCAGTTTCAAAATATTTTCTTGTGTTTAGACTTTTGCTGTTTTTAGGACCATTTGTTAACATCACTACTCCAAATATTTAAGTGTGTGAGAAAAGTATAATATAACATTTGCAATTAAGTGGTTGATTAACACTGTAGGAATTTTAAACAATTTTAATTGTATTGTCATAATATAGTGCACTGGGATTGTGTTCAGTTCCAAGGATATATGTCTAAGTAACTTCTTTTTTGTCCTTAGATGAAAGGCACAGATGTTGAAGATTCAAATGAAGTATCCGACTCTATACAAGTTTGTATTGTTGCTTTCAGTTTTGTCTTGAGAGAACGCAAATGAGCAGGACTCAATAAAAAGTTTAAATGTATAATTTAAATGAGAGTTTGACTTCCTGAACTAAGGAAATTAATTTTTACTATGAAGTAATGCAGCAAACAACACAGACAAACATGAATACTAGTTTTAGGGTTGTTGAGTATTCTGTGACTGAGAAGTACAATATTCCACAGTTTCTGGGTAGTTGACTGTGGTTAAAAATAAGAACCATGTGAGACGTAAACGAAGAATAACCCTTACAGTGAAATTAAGGTTGAAAAGTTTGATGGGTGAGACAACAATTTCGTAATTCACTACTAAATTCTTGGTACTTAAGTGACCCCTGATATCAAGATTAAGTTAGAACAATGTCTCTAGTATAAATGATATGTAAATCATTTGATTCCCATTTTATTTGTATAACAAATTGTATGTTTACCCTGTTTTCACTATAAATAAAAACTAAAAAAGTATATTGGTTCTGGAATAAATAATGTGATTGTGTTATGTACAGTACTTTTGTGCAGTTTGGTTTACAATGTGGAATTGTGATTCACAACAGTATCCAACCCTATTTAAGAATCCTCTTATATTACCACAAACCACGAGCACAGTAGTTCTTAAAGCTTAAAATACACATTTTCTTTAGTGAAAATATCATAATGACACACTTTCTGCATTTATTTTGGTTCTGCTAAAGTAGATTATATCATTTGCATTATTGTGGTTTAATTCTAGTATTTGGTCTGATGCCTGTGGATAGCAGCTTGCTAACTTTATGAAAAATCTATTATTAAAGACATAACCTGGTTGGTAGAGGACAGCTCCATTGCAGCTTCATAGCAGTTTACAGTACGAAGGAATCACAAAGTGGTTATATTATGCACTGCCATTGTTGCAGTGAACCTTTTGATCAAAAGAAGACAGGTAAAATGCAATAATCTGAGGTTTATATCACTTAAGCTTGTTGTTCTACCATGGTCCCCAGTAATCAATTGGAAATCTGTGTAAATTATGCAAATTATATTTAAATGAGGTCCCCCACAAACATGTTTACTGGATTTTACATAGGTCCCCAGTTAGCATGACGAAAACCTTACTTCATCAATTCAGATATTTGAAGTCGTGTATGAGCTAACCAACCAATGGTGAGTGTGCCTGATTTTTTTCATACCTCTAGAACCTCTAGAAAGGGTGGTCCCCGCAAGTGATGATCAAAAATTTGGTCCCCATTGCAAATGGTAACCAGTATGTGTGTGTGTGTGTGTATGTGTATGTGTGGGTGTGTATGCCATTTTTAAACAGTCCACAGCTCTTTGAAAGAGGAAATAAATATAAAATACAGCCAAATGCTGGAAATTTTATATTTTTAGTCATAGAAAGGAAAACTTTGCAAAAATTTGCAGTTTCTGCTCGGACGTCTGCTGCAAATACACTGAAGTCAATGAAATTGCATCATGTAATGTGAATTCTGCAAGGGAAGTCCCCCTCTCCCACCTTCAGCTATAGCAGTTTAACATTTCCTGTCTCCCAAACAGGAGGAAGCAGACAGTATGTGTGTGTGTGTGTGTGTGTGTGTGTGTGTGTGTGTGTGTGTGTGTGTGTGTGCGCTGAATGACTTCTCCCATACCCCGCCCCAGTCCAGTGCCCTATAAGTACCCGGCATTGCAGTAGGTGCCAAATATAGACTCGACAGAGACTGCTCCCTGCACAACTGAGAGCAACTTTAGAAACGATTAACATGGAAAAAATGAAAAAATGTAAAATGATAAATAAACAAAACATTAGACAGATTGAATTTGTCCAGAAATCTTGTGTCAAACAAGTTGTGTGTGTGTGTGTGTGTGTGTGTGTGTGTGTGTGTGTGGGGCAACCTTTTGGCTCTCTTGGTCATTTCTCCTGCGAGCAATCCAGCGTTGCCAATGGGGTTCTTCAGGGCCTTCTGCAAGCTCTTCAACTGGTTACCAGCATTCTGGTGGGAAGCAGAGAGGGACACACATGATTCATCACTGACAACTTTATATAGCGTTGACCAAAGTGCTGTACAAAGTAGAAGCACTGAAATAGTAGTTAAAAAAAGGCCTATTTGTTAATCAGTGTGAGAAGTGAGAGCAGTTTTAGTTTATTTTACGATACGTATCTAGATTTCCTTTCTCTCTGTGCTGCTCTCAACAGTTTAAAGTGCATGAGACTGCATGATTCAGCAACATTTTAATCAGAATCGGACGATAGATTGGTGTGTTGTTTTTGGTCACCGTCAGATGTAATAAGAATACACCCACATCCTGATGAAACAGATAATCTGAGGTTTTTTAGGTTTTTCATTTGATTGGTTTTAGGGGGTTAAGATGTCTTCAAAGTGTATTTCCCCTCGTTCGGTAGCCGTTTCCAGATCAGCATTTTTACATCCGCTGCTGTTTTAGTTTCTCTACGTGTCATTTTGTAGTATTCATTATTATTCTAATGTCAATCTGTTGTCAGTTTATCTGGTTTTCCAACTAGGGATGGGACAATATACAATATCAGATAAATAAAACACTCAGATATGTTTATTGTGGTCAATAAGGTAAATTGATTCCAGGATGTTTTAGTGCCATTTTAAGTATATTTTGGTGATTATCAGGATTATATCATAAACCACACTTATTTTGACCAGGATAGTCTTGACATGTAATTTTCATAATTTCCCATCTCCAACAACCTATTGGGTTTTTATATAAGTGGGTAGGTAAAAATGGTTGGGTGATTTGCTGTAATTTTGGGATCCTCTTTGCACCATTTGTAAGGCTGACTTTAAGTTATAGGCACTGTTATAATGAATTCCTCTCCTCTAATCAGTGGTGATAGACGAGACGCACCTACTGCAGCTTTACTTTAAATTGACAAAGCTCTGAGTGTTAGGACACACAGGCTCAACACAGATCCCCGGTGTAAAATAAATATGAGGAAGTTGCTTCTCGATCACCCATTTTTAACTCTACGAGACGGTACAGCACATAGGAAGTAAAGGCAAGCAAGTATAACTTCCTCTCTACAGAACATCTGTACTTCTCCACTCAGACATTATCAGATCAACACAACTGAACCAAAGAAAACAAAATACAACAAGGAGGTGTTATTTTACCTGAAAGCCATTGAGGGCAACAAAGAGCCTCAGGATGTCGTTGGTGCCCTCAAAGATTCGGAAAATTCTCAGATCCCTCATTACTCTCTCCACTCCAGAGTCCTGCGGAGAAACATACAGAAAGATGATGACCTTATACTTGCACTCTATAGTAAAGCTGAACGGCTATTTTCTCAACCAAATCCGACCAGGAATAAAGCTGCAACGTTCACATACCCTATAATTTGTCTGCTAAGAAAAGAATTGAACTTTTCTGAGAATCACTCAACGATATTCACTTTTGATTAAGCCACTTGTTTGTATCACTAATGTTGAGAAACCAACCTGGGGAAATGAGCTGTGTAATTTAACATATCTTGCACACAGAAGACATTTGTATCTCAGTTTCTCGCAGAGATCAAATTAGGTAGTGAAAACACCTGCTGCAAACAGGAATAAAGACTGTCACAATTCATTTCTGTGCTTTTCAATTCTGCGTGTGAAAGTCACAGTTTATATTTTAGGCTGCACAGACAGAAGGCAGAAATGAAAATGTACAGGACACACTTCTGACTTGGCTTCCTCGGTGAAATGAAACCTTGAGTCAAAATGTGCACTGTGGGCAGAACTAATCAAAGTCTGTTGTGCCAGTGTTTTTCCCCCGCTCTCTTTCTTTTAGACTGTTCACATGCCCAGCAACTAATTTCACAATAACATGTAGAAACGTGAAAGAAGTGGATGAAATTTCATCTGCACAATGAATCAATACAACATAAAGGTATGTTTGTGACACTTAAAATGCTCAAACTATGTTAAGGTTTTTAGGCAACTTCTGTGGGAATTGTAGTTCTTTAGCTAGATTGCATTAAATTATTTGGGTTATTTTTTTTCCACCACATGAAAGTGCTTTAACCATTTGCACCAGAACTGCCACCTCTGCAGCTCGAGTTTTAAAGCGTTGTTCCATGACCAGACACACTTTCCACTGTATTGAGAGTCTGATATGGCAGCACGTCTACAGAGAGGTGGCCTACAGCATCGTCTGGTTTATTTTAAGCAGAGCAACATTAATGTTTACTTCGTTCGCCCCTGTATCCTCAACCAGCTTGTACCGGTGTACTCTTGTGAATTTATGGTTGTTGTTTTGGTTTTTTTTCACTTTAGAAACCATGAATGTGGTATCAGTATTCTCTGATCATGAGAGTCTCACATGTACAAACTATGTGACTCAATACCACAATGGCATGTGTACGTGACAAGTCTGAGAGACAAAAGGTGCTGCCTTAGCTACACCAATAAATGTGTAGAAGTTGTATGGAGGTATGCTGGTTGATTATGTCACCACAGATGAGATCATTATATAATGCTATTTATCTATGCAGGGCAATGCAGAAATAAGCAGTTATGTCAATATGATGAGTTCAAGTCAGTGATAACTGCAAACAGAGGATTACTAATGTGTCAATATACAGAAGATACACAGAGAAAACAGTTCCTTGTCCAATCAGTAGTACAACGAAATAAAAAGGAAACTAAAGTCACTTTTGAGAATTCTTGTTTGACTTTCCACTGCAACCATGAAGACTGGGCAAATAGACTTATATCAGATTAACTGCTTTGCTTGAGATTCAAGCTTCCACCCAACAAAATAACACACCATTGTTATGTTCTTTATAGTTTACGGATTCCTGGCTGTAATGCATGAATAGATGTTTCAGATGTGGAACTGAAAACACAAGAATGACTGTCTACCGTTTTACAGTAAATTATTTTGGCTTTAAGACATTACTGCATTATATAAAATGGCAAAGTTAAGTTTTGTTTGTAAAACCTTAGTCACAATATTGATACGGCTGGCATATAGTGCCTGCTGATTGTGTGAAGGAATGTGGTACACAAGTTGTAGCAGCCTTTATGTTTGTGTATGACCAGTGTGCAGTGCAACCTCTGTGCTAATAGTTAGGTTGGCAAAAATACACACTTCTAGGAGGCCATCAAGTATGCCCCAGAAACTATTTAGACCTTGATTGTTGTTTTCAAAACGCTAGAGAAGTTGCTAAAGTCCCTTCCACAGATGCACTGCAACCCTGAGTTTACCTAGACATTATCTGGAGGAGCTTTATATGAGAACGTAAATTTTCAGACAATAAATGGACTTTACCCTGCCAGCTCACAGCGAGAGACTTGCAACTTGTGCAACACCTGTAACTTCCTATAAACAAAACACTGATATGTCTACCCAGGTGCCACCCCTCACCTAAACCAAACTGAGTATTTCCAGTAGGGAAGAATGAGCCTGACAGCCAGTGTCCTGTTGAGTGAGTGTGTGAAAGGGCAACTCTAGACATTGCCCACTGTACGGCGTTTGTATGAGAAAATGTATCACGTTTCCAAAATGGTTCCAGGGTTTGTGGAAATGTTTCTGCAGTGAATACGCCTATTTGACCCAGGAACAATTTAGACCCTATTGTGGTCAAAACACTAGTGAAGGTTTTTCAATTCCTAAAATGGTTCCCCAGTTCTTGGAAAAGTGCACTGAGAACCGACTATTCTATACCCAAGGGAAAGGAAATTTTTGGTGCCAGGGAATAAGGCCCAGGAACTATTTAGACACGTTTGTCAGATTGAAATGTCAAGTTTCTGTGATTCTAAAATAGTTTTTGGAAAAGCTCCGCCAGTGAAAAAATGATGGGCTCTTCTATACCCAAAGGAAGCACTTTTTGGAGGAAGGACATATGGTGCATGCAATTCTGACCTTGCTTGTTCCAGTCAAAACCCAGGTAAGGTTCCTGACTAAATAGTTCCTCGGTAGGTTTCCTAAGTGCTAAAATTGAGCAGGGTACTCACTCATCCCTGCTTTTTGATAATTTACACTGTGAAATACTAGTATCATTAACCTGTTGTGTGTATATGGCGGTGTCTGTTTTCAACCTGCTATGAAAAGCTGGAAATAAAAAAAATTCTAGGTAAAAATGATTAAATCCTAGCAGACAATATTACAAACTGTTAAAACATGCAGCTTATGGGTGGACCTGGGTTTGTATGCAACAGGATGTAGACTGAACTCTCACCTTCATGAAACCCATGCCGCCCATAACTTGAATACACTCGTCCGTCACCGTCCATGCTGCTTCCTGTCACAATTAAAAAAAAAAAAATACAGAAGAAAATTTGTTTTTTCTCCATCTACCACAAGTCACAGTATTCAGTCTTCCATAGAATGAGGAACTTCATAATTAAGAAAGATGTGCTGAGTTCCTCAAAACTCATTTATGTAAGAAGTAGTTAAATACCAAACATACAAAATGTTAGCAGCTCTGGTTTGCATGTTAAACCAATGAGATGTTTGCTATGTTTAAAATCTTACAGAGGCAAAGATCTTGCTGATGGCGGCTTCTATCTGGAATTCAGTTGCTCCACTGTCCATGTTGCCACTAAGCATGTAGGCCATTGACTGCAAAAAGACAGAAGTAGTAACGTTAGTATGACTTTAGAACATCTGTGCTGCAGGAAATTTGCAGCACCAATACACAATAATGCTGTATCAAAGTAGTTTAATTTGTTGAGAATTTGTGCTCAAAACATCTTCGCTAGCGACATTAACAAAGGCTTTGTTAGGCAGGAAACCAAGTTTAAAATCGGCAGCTTTAAACACATGCACATAAACCAGCAAGATGGCACAACACACAGTATATGGTGTATAAAGTGTAGATTACACTTCACAGAGGTGTTTGATGTCACACAGGAAATAAGCCCTATGATATCGCAGTGTCAAAACAGCCAAGATAAATGTTAATCCGACTGTGAGAAAATGTAGTGTTACATTGTCCGACCTCAGTGACATAATGCAGCATAGTCATGTGAGCCATCTTCTCCTGGATGGCTCCGTAGGTGTGGATCTTGTTCCCGAACTGAGTTCTGTTGGCTGCATGATCCACCTGATGAAAAGAGGAAAAAGACAGTCACTATCACACCTTGATTGATTCACAGTTACAGGCTGTATATTGTCACACCATCAAACAGACATTTGGGCTAAGTATGAATTTTTTCTGCACTTCCTCAAACTTCAAGACTGAAATGTTACTTTTATACATTTTTTTGGGGTGTTGAAATGTTTTTGGTGTCTCGATTTTGTGCATAAAGAGGAAGTTTGACAATGTTGCCAGACAGCTCACGTGGAGGAAGATCAACCTTGTGGTGAGCTGTAAACCTGGTGACACCGAGGACAGAGCGTAGTATAAACACACAGATGCTCTGGTTGCAGATAAATGCCACAAGATTTGAATACAAGTAAACTAAACAACATGCTGAGGTAAAACAGTGATGTTATAAATAAGTGGACCCACTTTATGTTGTTTATACTTTGTGTCTCCTTATACATGAGCTTCACCCACTCACCTACTAAAATACTGAAGACATTTTACCAAAGGCTTCTGCTTTGTATGGCTATATGGACAATATTTCTGCAACTGCTTGGTCGATTTAGACAATATTTGAGTGGTTTTCGGGGTTACTGAGGATGCTGAATCCATTGGTGGTAACTGTTCATTACTGTGGATTAAGTTTCGGTGCATGGGTCGCCAGCTCTACCCACCGAGCTATCGAGGCGCCCCACCACTTCTGGTTTAGACTTCCATTTCGTATTCTGAAAATGTCAGAAATGGATTAAGCATCCTAAATAACTCCAAACACCACTCCTACATTGCCCAAATTAGCCAAGCAGTTGCTGAAATTTTGTCCATATATGCGATTGTGCTATTTAATGTTAATTATGTTAATTGTGTTAGCATCCAGCAGTTTCTTTCTGCAGGGGACCCAGACTTTATATTTCTGACATAAACCTTTGGGGTACTCAGCAATTCTGGGTTCATGTTTCTGGCAAGTAAACTATTTTAGAATTGATTAACTGAACTTTATACAAGGTCAAAGATGCCGTATATTAGATGGTTACAGCTGCTAAAATGTGAGAATTTGCTGCTTTTCTATGTTTTACATTACTGAAGTTGTTTAGGGTTTCACAAGACCAGCATTTTGAACTGAATTTGAGTAATTTTGTAAATGTTTTGCATTTTATAGCCTAATACTAACTTAATACCAATGTACTTTCTGTACTCCTGCAATACAGAAAGGCCTGTTTTCTGAGTTATGAGCAATTTAGTTACATGAACTAATTAAATAATTAATTTTGACTCCTTTTTTAAGAGTCACTTGTGTAGAAAGGTGTTTAATGCATTAACTGCTTTAAAGACTTAACAATGACGCCACTGATTATTGCACAGTAAACGTTGTGTTTTCATCAGAACAAAGGTTGATATTTTCTCTGATGATGAAACTATCAAACACACTGATTCATTTCTCAGCACGAGGCAGATCATTAAGTCCACTTCTGCTGTGTCATACATTAAACTACGGTTGGACAAGCAGTAGTTTGTCCAAGAGTATCAAGTTCAATACTAAGACTGTGCATAAGACATATACATATTCAGTGGAGACCATTTTGAATGCTTGAGAAAAAACAACAAACATGACCAGAGCGCATCTGAATCCACAGCATCTGTAACCTCAGCAGGAAGTTGCATAGCAGATACAGCATATAGTGAACTACAAGAAGGGGAATTTCCCGCAAACCCACAATGAAGGAAATACATGAAAGAGGGGGTGGAACATAGAGAATACAGATCAAAGGAAATGCAGCAGATGGGAAACACAGCTTTACATCTCTATATGTGTTATTGTGAGAGAGTTATAGCGTCTACATAATAGGAAACACACTTCACACCTACATTTATGGTGCTATAGGCGGTATACTTACAGCTTTGGTGATGACTGCCTTCATGGTGCCGGAGAGGGCGGCTGCCATGCCAAAGCGCCCATTATTGAGGATGTTCATGGCCACCTTGAAACCGCCGCCCACCTCTCCCAACACACAGTCGGCTGGCACGCGAACATTATCGAAGTAGACCTCGGCTGTGTTGGAAGCCTTGATGCCCATTTTCTTCTCTGGAGGGCCGCTGTGATTAACAAGATGCGGTGATGGTGAAAAGGTTACAAAAAAAGAAGAAAATTCCCCAAAAACATTACAGCAGTGCAAAGAGTTTAATGTGTATTCTTTCTGCTAGCTCCCTCCCTCTCAGCAAATTATAAAAATGCATCAGAGACCAGCAAAGGACAGTGACTTTAGGGGCCGTGGCCTCGACATCGACCACAGTGATTGACAGATTGATCACAGCAGTGTAGGAGAAACAGTCAGACTCTCTGTGTCCGTGCTGGAAACACAGAGAGTCCGCTGGAGCTTTAACAAGCACAGTGTGGTACCTGTGTTTTAGCTGAGCAAACGTAATAGAGACAAACTAAGGGCCTGTCCTCAGGAATACACGGCCTCACCCAATACGATGTCGTTTCGAAAAAAATCTCCGTAAACACGGCGTCGTTTCCAGAAATATCTGCGTCCACACAGATTTACTGACAACGACCCAAAACGCTGTAGTACATATGCCAGGCCTGTATGTGGCGCTGTGACGCCGCCACACCAATACACTAAAACTGGAAGAGAAGCCATGGAGCATGCGCTGTTTACAAACAAGTAGTAGTAGTCCACCATTGTTGTTGTTGTTATGACGTGTCTAGCGGCGGCGGCTGAGGTTAAAGGCTAGAGAGGCGGGGCTAATACGTCATCGTTTCGGAAAAAATCCTTTTCGCCGTCCTGACGACTCCGGGCAATCCAGCGTTTTCAGATTTTCCCACTCTGGGACCCGTTTCCAAAAAATACAGTTTTCACACCCCGAAAACGCTGTATCCATCTGGACGCAAGGCCGATACGATAAAGTATTTATCCGGAATCGAGAAAAACGTATTCTTGCGCACAGGCCCTAAGTAGGATAACCAAAGATTAGCATGAACTCCTGTGAATGATGTGTCTCCATCTGTATACATGTGAAACTGAGTGCAGCAGTTTCATAGACTCCCACTCAGAGCGGTGGCTGGGGGAGGTGGGCTGCCCTCCTCTGGTTAGAAGGTGTTAACACTGTTATATAAATGTTGTGACACATAGTCACCTCAAATGGTCGAAATTGTGTTCCATCACAGTATGGTTCAGTTTAAAGCTCAAAACACACCTTTTAGGCTGGAGTACCTCTTTAATGATAAACTGTCAGTAATGTAAAAAAAAAGGGGCATGCTCACTGTGTCACTCCTCCAAAGCTCCTCTCCACGATGAAGGCTGAGATTTTGTCCTTCATCTCTCCAGTCTTGGGATCCTTCATGGGGGTCTTGGCAAAGACTGTGAAGATCTCAGCCAGACCTCCATTGCTGACAAGAGAAAATAGGGCATTAGATTAGAAAAAGACAAAAAGCAAGTGGACAAACTATTACAATGCTGCCCTCTTGGGGTGACAGTAAAAGCTGATCACACATACTACTACTCCTCACCTGATCCAGATCTTGCTTCCACTGAGAGTGAAGTACTGTCCGCAGGGGGACTGTACAGCTGTGGTCTTGATGGAGGCGGCATCAGAGCCACTGGCTGGTTCAGTTAGGCAGAAGGCAGCTATATGCTCGCCTGGAGGGACGAACACACACAACAGAAATTAGTTCTACATAATGTTCCTTCATTATACGATGTCACATCTCAACACAATGAAACTGTGCTGTGGTATTCTCCCTTGACTACAGAGCTACAGGGGTACATTAAATGTCCCGCTCTTCTTACCTGTGGCAAGCTTAGGCAGGTACTTCTCCTTCTGGGCTGGATTCCCAAAAAGCAGAATGCCCTTGAATCCAATAGACTGGTGGGCTCCCAGAGTGATGCCAACACCCAGGTCATGAGCGCCAACGATCTCAACGAGCCGGGCATACTGTAAGATGGATAGATGCCATGCCATCACATCAGACTCACTGCACTCACCCTTTTACATAATGAACAACTACACACTATTTACTAATGTGTATGTGCTATAATAGAGTAAACATTCACCTGTGTGTTTGTGAGGCCGAGGCCGCCCAGGTCAGCTGGCACCTGCAGGCCAAAGGCACCCTGCTCCTTCAGGCCCTGCATGGTGTGATCTTCGACCTTCTCCAGAGCATCGTTCTTGGCAGGGTCATTCACCTCCTGCAGACAGGAAACAGAAACATGGAGGGTGAGTACGAGGGCTGGAGAAGTAGTTGTGAGCATAAGGTCAGACAAACTTATCTAAGAGCTCAAACAGGTTTTAAATTACCTCGAAAAACTTGCTGACAGGCCCCACAAGCTCTCGAAGAAACTGCTCCTGCTCTTCATTCATGACTACAGAAAAGACAATAGTGATTACAATATGTTTTTCAGTTCTACAGAGACTTTTTAATAAAATGTTGGACAATTTTTCAAACAGATATTGACATAAAATCCTCTTGATTTACCTGAGGGGTAAGGAAACACTTGGGCAGTCTGGATCTGTCCCTTGAAAATGTTGACAGCAAATGATTTTGATTCCTGTGGAAAATTAAATCAAACATAGTAAAGCTTGTGCTAACACAGAGTATCCAAATGTTTATTTAAAGATGGATTTTTTTTAGGTAGAAAAGAAACTAAATGTATGTTTACATTAACTGTTATGTATCCTTAAGGGCTAACAAATGTGTTGAATACATTTTCTTCCTCAGAAAACGTTTGTTTTATTGTTTCTTTAAACATTTTGCATTATTTACGTGCATCTTTAATAGCTTGCAGTCTTTTCCTTCTCTGCCCTTGTTGGTGCTTTGCTGCCTTTTTGACACACTACTGCCCCCTGACATTTGCAGGACTGTGATCATCCAGTAGGGGAACCCCATAAAACTGCTCCATAGTGTTACAAGGTGTCAAAAACTCCCCATGGTAGCTTTAATTTTTACACTATCTTTACTAGATTCATACAGTCCAACCCTACCGACCAAAGCAAATCTATAACTGTTCAAATACTTTTAAAAAGCTGTTTTAAAAACTCAGGAGAATAATAACATTATTTCAAATATAATAATTACATAATAGTTAGAGAATTAACATACAACAGCAACTGTCTTCTTTTCCACTTTAGTGGCAGTGTCATGGCTGACTGCTGCTGGCTTCTCAAGCACCGCCTAAAGAGAAAGAGCAAAGCAGAGATTAAAGACAACAGAGAATGAGCTGGCCAAAGGTTTATCAATTCTGTAAAAATAATAATAATAATAAAAACAACATGGGGATCTTAAACTGTCTCTGTAAGAAACTGAAGATTAAATTATATCTGGTGTAAAATTATATGCTGCTCAATAAACCACACGGCAGGGACAGAGGCAGAATTCTGTTGTGAATACATTCAGTGACCAGAATCCAGAGTTATGAGCCAAAGAAAGCATGAGTGAACGTTTTTCCATTTCCAGCCTGAGCACCAGCTTGGTAAAATGCCCAAAGGACTCAGCTCAAGCTCCAAATGGGTGAGAGGTCGTTCCAAGGGCATCAGTCAGCTGAGTCCCCAAACAGAAGTGCTGTGCATAGAGTATTTTATTTTAAATGGTGTAGTCCAATGTTTCCAATAACTTCTAGTTAAAATCAGCCAAACAACAATCTATGACACCAGTGTGCTTTATTATTGCCTTACGTTCAGCTGGGAAAACAAAAGTTAATTTCACTGTGTGTTGCTATATTGTACTTCATTTAATTATACAAATAATAAACTGGTACCTCAGAGTGAACTTGTTACATAACTGTGTTTATGAAAGTGAGTCAAATATAATATAAGTGAATATATTCCTTACTGAATGAAAACCATTTAAGTATGTAGTTTAAAATCATATCAAGGCAACAAATCGGTCTCTGAGCTCTACCTGTTAAAGCTCTTTATACAAATGAAGCCCACTGAGAAACAATTTATTACTTTGAATTAATTAATTCAGCTTTATTTTAGTCATAGCAAGATCAAGGCAGTTTTGACTGACAGCCTAAATGTATTTAAATGCCTACATTTATTAAAATATACTGAAATTAAATGTTTAAATCTGCATTCTTGTTTGTTGACACACAGCAAAACTAGATTTTCATGTTTGTGGTTTACTAAGAGAGAGAGACTGAGGAGGGGAAAGAAACTAAAAACATTTATTTCTATTCCTATTTTTCAACCTGCTGCACATAATCATAATTTTATGCTCAAGACATTCAAAATCTAGAAAAGTACAAAATGAAAAAGTGAGCAGCTGGAAATTCTGACATTTAAAATGAGTGTTTCCAATCAGAGTTGTTATATCACTATCATGTGTACAGCCACAGAGCGTCTGTCTCCACAACTAAATGAGTTGAAAACGTGTTTGTACTTGGAACAACACAAGAAAAAGCTGTCACGCCAACTCATTACTATATTATAAATTGGGCCAGGGAAAGACAAATGCTCCACTGCCTGCTCTCTCTGTGTCACCCACATTCATGGTGTCACCTTTAGGACTGAGTCATGTGACCACTGAACTTTCCCCTACTTCCAGTGGGAGGGGGGGGGTGTCAATGTTATGTCAGCCAGGCGCTGCATTATGTCAAACAGGGGACACAAAAACAAAGTAAAACCACAGCAAATGGCAAACAAACCTGCGATTTAACTCAGAATATCTCTTTTTATATGTAATAGTATCGTACCTGTGCAGCTTGTGTGGCGTAGAGACGGGAGTTGTGCACAGAAACCACACGCTGACCCCTGTAACCCAGAGAAGAGATGACAGGAGATTTTAACTATCTGTCCAGAGACGATACGTTTAATAAATACATTAAAAAAACACACATTACATACCCAGATATCACAGGAGGACCCCTGAGAATGGAGCCGCACAGGGCGGATGACTGGCTCACTTTACGAAGCAGCATGATTTCTAATTTTCTAATAAAAGATACAACATAAACATAATACACCGTTATTAACACGTTAATTACACACAGACAAACAATCAAACGCAGACAGACAGGAGGAAGGTTAGCGAACAGACAGACACGTAACGTTAGCTAACTACTGGTCGGGTGGCTAGCAGATACGTAACGACGTTTGTTTTGACAGATTTGATTCCTTCCGCACACAATAAAGTTAAATATTTGTATTCCTATTGTATCAAGAGCATTAACTGATACTATATATATATACCTGTATCGGTTATATTATGACTAGTGCCCTCCGTCCGTGCAGTTAGCCGACTGTTCCTCCAAATGACCCAACAATGTTGAACCTGAATCTTTTTTTCTCCGGTGCTCCGTTTGCCGGATGCCGTCCCTGCCGCCGCGGTGCATCCTGGGATGTGAAGTTCTCTTCCGAGATTTAGGTGTTTAAGCAGCAGAAACGAATAAAAACAATAGTAAGTCAGGGGTTGTATAATAAAATGAATTTAACTTGTATTTTTATTATTATTATGTTAATATTTATATATATATATATTTAGTTTCCCGTGTAATAACCACAGTTTGTCATTGATTTGGAGCACCTGGGTTATATAACATTTGTTTGTGTTCTAGTTGTGGAGGGTAGTAATATAATTCAGCATATATTGTGAGTTCTTGTGTACATGGAAGAGTTAAAAAATATTCACATTAAAAGTTTGAATTGAACTAGCGCCAAACTCCTTTTAAGAAATACTGCATTTTAACGATTAGTTACATGTCCGTAATAACAAGTAACTCTAGACACACAAGCTAAAGGGAGTAATATGGTGACAGTTTTCCTGTCAATTCGGCATCAATAAAAATCCATGAAGATAAATTGTATTCCGTACATGTTGTCGCCTCAACTCATTCAGCCTCAGTTGCAGCAGCGGTCTTTCAGTGGGAAAACAGCGTGGGAACGAGAGGCGGACCGTTTAAATAATGAAGATGTCTCACTAAAGTAAGTGCTGTCTGGTGGATCAGATAGACGCCGAATTGAAGACCGATTCATAACACTCTTAATTAACTGTCTATTATCCGCTTGTGACTGTATTTGATTAGTTTAATCGAAAAAAACTTACCAAGTACAGATTTGTGTATTGTTTACACATCGGATTACGCACACACAGATAAGATGCTTGCTCAAATCAACACAACCAAATATTTAGACGTAAAATTGCCTGAAGTCAAGAAAGCAAACTTCAGTAACAGGTAGGTGTTTGCTTGGGAAACAGGTTTGACTGATAGAAAAACCAAACAGTGATATTATTGACTCATTAAAAGTAGTTATTACTACAAAATATTCAATTACAAGCTAAAAGTTCTACATCCAAAATATAGGTGAAGGCACAGAGGTATGGGCTCTCATTAATCATTAACATGTAAACAGTAATGTTAGTGAGGTGGAGCTAATTTCAACTGTTCATGATATCATGTTTAATCTGTAACAACGCAACACATTTTATTAACTATCATGTTTAATCTGTAACAACGCAACACATTTTATTAACTGGTCATGTTTTGTGTGTAAAATCTAGTAAATAATGCCATATTCTAAAATAAGTATAAATGTAAATTAGTATACAATTTAAATACTCGCAACAGTACTTTAGATTAGATTTAGATTTAGATTAGTTTATGTGACAATATAATTGAGAAATCTGAGGACTTTTGGTGCTTTCATTAAATATTTATTTGAACTCTTAGTGAGTTGTGTGTATATGATGGTCCGGCTAAAGAAGTGAACCAAATAGTACGACTCAACTGCAGCCCTTGGATAATAAAAAGACAGTATTATTCTAACCATAACCCGGATAAGTACAATATGTGCTCTATGTTCACAAACTTGAATCCCCTCTTAAAATAATGAAGTCTGAACAGTATGTATGTATCAAATTTATTCTCAAATAAACAAACAAAAGGTGGCAAAACAAGGTGATGAAATCAAACAATGTGACAATGTCAATGTCATTCTTTTTGAAATGTTGAATCTTCATTTAGCACCTTAATAGTTCGGTTATACATGATTTATATAGTCACTCATACAAAAAATGAAATGGCTGAATAATGCGAGTCAGTAACATAAAAATAAGCATGAGGAGCTGGGGCGTTTGGATCGCAGTTACTTAAGATATGTAATCAAAAAGTACCGCTTTCATCGCATCTCGTCTTTTTTACCTATTAGTACCGTTAAGCCTCTACAGTCCCATACTGAGAACTCCTCGCAATAAGAGTTATTTGACGACTAGGCCTAGACAGTGATTACTAAACACACGTTCACCTGACATTTTTTGGACCTATTTTCTTTTCACATTAGAGCTTGCTGTTCTGTATTGTTGCACTTACATTAGGAGTAGTAGATATATACAGAGAAGTTCATTGTCAAACAATGCTGGAACAATAGGAGTTGTTTTATGTACCTGGAGTGTGAAAATGTCTCTAAAAAAACAAAATAAAAATGCAAAGAGTAAGGCACTCGATATACTCCTGTGCTGCCAACGAATCTGGCATGATGATCCAGATATGTATACAGGATTGTATCCTTTTCAAGTACACAGTGTACCTGGCACCCTCTAGTGTTAAACTGTGGTCTGTGCGCTTCCTGGATGGACAGCTCTGACAAGAGTGGCTGGTTTGGAAAGGTGCTCCCCTTCCGAAAATATTACAAATATATATATATATAAAATATATATTTCTGTTTTGAGGATTGACCAGAAACCAGAATGCTGAGCAGCTCTGATAGGCACTCAAAATACTGTACTGACAGTTTGCTTTTTGAGACAAAACTATGGAGATAAGAAAGTAGAATTGATCTTTCCAGATTTAGGTTTGGAAAACAGAATGTGATGCGCAGCAGATTTGAATGAGAGAAACTAGACTTTGCAGACACAGTCAGACCATATCCCACATTAACTGTGTTTTAATTTTGTCTTATTTTCTTTGTCAATGTTAAACCCTGTTCTCACCAAATTTGCAACAAGTGCCCTCAATCCAATAGGCCCTTGTGGGCTCCAAAAGCTACCACCAGATCCTCGTCAAAACAAGTGGGAACCGTACACTAACTTCACATGAATGGTTACTCAGCACCCAGACAGGAATACTACATGACATCCACAAAGAACTCGCTGGGGTTCCCCATGGCCAGGTGGAACGACTGGCGCGACGCAGTCAGCTCTGGGGGTACAGAGCCCAGGTCACGGGTGGGCGGGGCACCAGGGGGCCCCCCTGGAGTGGAGGAAGGGGGCGGGGGTAGAGCCGGGTGCATGGGGCCTGTGGGCATCTGCTGCGTGTGAGAAAGAGCGTGAGCAGTCGCCATGGCCGGGTGTGGGTGCTGGGGTACCATCATCACCATCATGGGGTTGTAAGGCAGGATACCTGGCGGGTAGGGAGACATGTGGGGCGGCTGGGGCATGCGGTGATGATGTGAGCGCTGGGAGGAGGCGTGGCTGTGCTCGCTGGGGGCGGCCGAACCGTGGCCACGCCTCAGGCTGCTGCGGGTGGAGTATTCTGATTCGCTGCCGCTGCCGGAGCGCGAGTCAGCTCCGCCACCTTCTCCGCCACCGCCAGAGGGGGATTTCTCCCCACCGCCCACGGTGCTGCCGGGACCTTTAGTGCTGCGGCGTCGCTCACCCTCGCTTCTCGTCGAACCGCTGCTTCGGCTCCCTGAGGGCAGAAAGAAAGCGGTAAGATAAACGGGTCTAAGCAGTTTTACTGTCCACTAAAACTTTAAGCAACAGAAGCAGAGACATCCTGTTCTTTTGTCCCTAATATGGGTCAAAAATCACTGGATCCTACAGTTCCCATCAAGTAACTCAAAGATGTCTTATTTCCGAGGCTGAGGTTAGGGTCCTTTAATGATGATCTAACGTCTGATTCAGTGTCTGTGCTCACCTTCGCTGTGCTGGCTGCCAGTGCTGCCGGGGGCGTAGCTGTAGCTGGTGAGCTCGTGGTACGGAGGTGGCTGGCTGGAGAAGGCATGTGTAGGGTACGGCTGATAGGGGAAGGTGTGCATCATGGGCCACGGGGAGGCCCCAGGGAGAGGCAGGGGGGCCAAGGTGTCCTGGTCTGAGGCCCCACTGGAGCCATCATTGTCATTCAGGGACAGGTTGGCCATGTCTGGGTGGAAGATAAGACAAGGAGATGAACAATGGGAGGAGTGAATTATCAATTTGTTAAGATAAGGCTAAACAAAGCTGAACAAATGATACTACAGTTACAAAATGTTCCTTACAGCAAATAGATTCTACACACAATCGTCTTTATCTTTGTATTATGTCTGTTACGCTTTGAAATTAATATATTTGACATGAATCTAACTACTATAAGCATTCTTGTATCCACATGGTGTGTTTTTTCTGGCAGGAAAGAGCTGGGTTTTGTTTCTATGACAACAATATCTTGGACCATTTCTAACAATTTCCTATTAGCTTAACAAACGTACTGCGGTTGTGTAAAACAAATGCGGAGACAGCAAGTGCAAATATCGCTTTTCTACATTCTACTCGTCGACATCATCTGATTTGCTGTCTCCACTGCGGCCAGCTGTCTGCTCGCTCTGTGTGTGTGTGTGTGTGTGTGTGTGTGTGTGTGTGTGTGTGTGTGGCAAAAATGACACCATATGGACCATATAAAACCAGAAAGTCATGGAAACTAAACCTGTAATAGCTGCTACGGCTCCTGGACAGTCTGTTTTGTTCTGCTTGTTATCAAGTGCTTTCTGCAGATTCTAAGTTTAGGGATGGCAGCACATTAAAGAAAATCCTTCCATAACTGAAATGTCACATGTTTGACCCCTGCAACCACCAGCGTGTCCACAAAAGGCATGTGTGCAAATGTGATTAAGCACAACATTCATGCAGCTTGATCTAAATCAGTCTTTTGATGTCAATGTTTTCGATTTACTCACAGTTCTCACAGTCGCTTAAATCTCCAAAGACATAGTAACATTGTTCGGAGAAGGTGATCTTGTTGACGGTGTGTCGGATGAAGCCCGCTTTCAGCAGGTTGCTGGCGTACTTTCTGGCTTCGCGTCGGTCCTGGAATCCCTCAATGTGGTGGAACAGCCACTCCACTACGTCTGAGCCTGGTGGTAGATGCGTGACATGTCAGATGAGATGCCCAGTATAAATCATAAAATGTACTATAAACATGAATACATATATTATATACACACATATTTAATCTCTATAAATGTGTCTATCTTCTATCTATCTATCTATCTATCTATCTATCTATCTATCTATCTATCTATCTATCTTTCTATCTATCTATCTTTCTATCTATCTACACAGAATTAAGGAGGAATAAAAGGATAGTAGATTGAGTTGTACTTAATACACACAGTGAAAACAAATGCAACAAATATTTCACATTCAAGATGTTTCAGTGCAAATCGGAGTTAAGTGTAAAAATCTAGGATCAAGAAAGAATTGGAACACAATCCGATGAGGAAAGCTGTACTTTATGGCTCAACCTGCATTATTCCTCTGCGGTGAGTTGCTGTTTAGTGTATCGTTCCCAGAACAGGATTTCAACACAATACTTTAATTATGTTGTGACAATAACGAGTTTGAGTGAAGTGTATCCAGACCATCTTCAGGGGGAATTTAGCCGCATTACGGGTTTAAAGACACTACAAACTACAGCCTAAAAAAAATAATTAATGTGAATAAACACCTCCCTCTGACATTCTCTAAACAACAGCACTAAAACTGGTGGATAGATCTTTACTATATTTTGATGAAATGCTAGTTTAATAGAGATTGAAAAAGAAACTACATTTCCATTCCAAAAAGCACAAAATGGGCATTTAGTTTACCTAATTACTCCTTGTGATTCAGTTGCAGGTGATTCCAATTTAACAGATGTTTTCTATCAAAACAGGCACTCAAGTTTGTACTTTAGGGGTTTTCTTCCTCCCACAAGTCACACGGTTTTAATTCTGAGAACATAATGCCTGCCCTGTAAAGTCCTGAGAGGCACAGAAAGTTCATGAAACTAATGTACTCTTTTTTTAAACCTCGTCTCTACTTCTTACCGAGGAAAGCGTTGGGGATGGTGATTTTGAGCCACATGCGGTCCCTGACCTCCAGACCTGACTCTGGTGAGGCCATGGCCTTGGCAACCGATGCCATGTCAGAGTGTAGTGATAAATTGAAATCATCGAAACCTGTAGAAAGACAGAACAGAATGTTAGGTAAGCTTGAAGAGGAAGAAGTATAGACATGCAAGGATAAATAAAAGAATGGCCGAGAGTTGAAATCTAAACTGGGTTGAAACTAAAAAGCCGAGGAGTCTAACTTTGAGGAGATCAAAGGCAGAAAGGCAGCAGACATCATTTATCACACCACATAACGACAGCGACAAAAGCACAAAGACAGATGTGAAAGATGATTCTTGAGCCAATGTCGTTAGGAGAGAAAGATGGAAGGAGACTGTAACAGGAAAAACACATACTTTACATCCTTCAGACATTGAAAATCAGTCTGACAAAGAAACTAGACGATTAAAAGTGGAGGACATAGTTTTATGAGATCGGGTTCCTACACATTTTCCATTTCAAAATTCCAGACATATCCTCAGATTTTTCAGATCACATTTGAGTCCAAATAGCTAGATGTTTATTATAAAATCAAACTGTTCACATGTATGTTACATTCTGACTATGTATGCTATTATTATTATTATATTATACTATGTATCATATTACATCTGTGCAGCCTTATTTATTCACTGTGTCCATGGAAATGACAATAACGCAGCCATAAAGGGTTCCTTACACAGAAAAGATAACTACATCACTGCAGAAAGCATAAATATTCAGAAAAGTATTTTTAGAAATTCAAAATTTTATATTTTAGAAAACAGAAAAGGAACAATAGTCTGGAAACAATCAAATATTTTTCCATGCTTATCTTGACTTAGAAATTACTAAAATCAAATTCCATACTTTTGCATACTGTGTCGGTGCCCTGATGAGAGGACTTGTGTAGATATGAAAGAACTACAACAAAAGAGAATAAAGAGGAGAGGTGAATTACAGCACACAGAAAATGAGATGATTAGGGCGACATTTTAAAAGGCTCTTACGTTCGGTCTCAGTGACAGAGGAGGAAGAGGTGATGGTGCTGAGGGAGGAGCTGCCAGGGAAGGCGGGGTAGGCTCCGGTCATAGCCACAGAGTGGCTCACCCACGCTGCTGGGTCAATGGGTCGGATCGGTTCATCTGCACAGGTGGAGAAGAGAAACTATTACTGACCCTGACATCAGTGGTTCATCAACAAAGGGGTAAACTAAAAAGCTGATAGGCCAGTGGGAGTGAGGCAGTCCTGCACTTACTGCGAGGCAGAGTGAAGTAGCCCTGAGGAGAAGGGTCCCAGCACTTCGCCACTGTGAGGATGATGGGCCTGAAAAATTAATAAGAAATCATCATAATCATTATTGACCACTTGTGTGAAGACAAAAAGTTAATATAAAGTATAACTCACCCTGGCTTGTGTACAATCTCCCTCAGTACCCGCACTGCATCGTCGTTACTCATGTTCTCAAAGTTGATGTCGTTCACCTTGGAGGGTATTGAAGCATAAGAGGATTGTTTTAGTTAGACTGACACACACTGTAGGTGCAGCTGAAATGACACAAACACTTTGATGATCAATTAAACGTTTAAGTTATTTGTTGTTTCAGTTTTTCAATCTTCCGGATTTGCTGCTTTACTGTCTCATGTTGAAATAACTGAATATCTTTAGGGTTCAGATTGTTGGTGGGACATAACAACGATTTGATAACATCACCTTTAGCTTTAGGAAATGTTGATGGTTTTTTTCACCTCTTTCAACCATTTTATAGAGCATATTATTAATCAATTAATCGAGAAAATAATTGTTGCAGTCATACACATAAGCACCGATTTCATTTTCTGCATTAAAAAAGGAAATATGTAATCTAAATCAATGTTTTTTTATATTCATTCAGTTTTAATGAAAAACTAAACACATTAAACAGATCAGTTCATATATCAGCACAACAAAAGGAATTAATTAAAACTCCACAACTGAACACACACTGAGTTGTACCTAAGCTGGAAAACCCACAGGGGAAAAGATCCAGAAATGGGCCTCAAAATATCTAAAAAACAAGTATTTCTTCAGCAAAACATTCATCTATAACAGTGAGAAAATAAAAACACTTTAAATTTACTACTAAGTCGTTATTCTTTCTCACCTGCAGCAGCATGTCACCAGGTTCAATGCGTCCGTCTGCGGCCACAGCTCCTCCCTTCATGATGGAGCCGATGTAGATTCCTCCATCCCCCCTTTCGTTGCTCTGGCCCACAATGCTGATGCCCAAGAAATTGTACTTCTCTGTATCGTTGAAGAATCAGAACAGTGTCAACAGTCAGCATACATCTGACCAAAAAAGCGTAGCATTTGAGGCTCAAAAACGAGGATAAAGTTTACAGACCCATGTTGAGAGTGACGGTGATGATGTTCAGGGACATTGTGGAGTCTGTCACACTGCTGAAGGACGAGGCCTGAAAACCACAAATTTACTATCAGACAATAATACTTTCTCAGAGTAAACGATTTCAATGGCTCTCCCCTCAACAAACTATTGATTCAACATAGAACAGCAGACAGCAATCACACAACACATCAGCAGAAAACACAAGTAGTACAAGAGTACATACCCTCTCCAAACGTGGTGGGCGCTGTTTCCTGCGCCTGCGGTGGCGTTTAAGAAGCCTAGAGGCTGTGCTCTGCTCTGTTGCACTGCTGAACCTACGAGTTCAAGGGTCAGCAAAAAGGGGAAAGGTCAGAAGAGAAACATGCTGTTACAAAGCTTTAATAGGGCTGTGCTTCTGTCTCCTCTTTTGTGTTGCTTTTTGTGTCTGAAACCCACAAAAATAATGGGGGATGCTCAACAGGGATTCTTGAGTGAATATTTTCCATTCTCTTTAATCTGTGGCTCCGATTTCATCTAACGAAAATCAAACAAACTACAGTACAAATAAAAAAAGTACATATCAATCCATATATACCTCAACCCAAACATTAACCCACTTATTTCTACAACATCCTGAACACTCTTTTTTTTAATCAAATCTGGCCAAAATAGACATCGGTATCAGCCGATAATAAGATGGCATTCTCAGATGTCAGTGGCGGACGTTTATCTGTTGTGCTCCATCAATTATGTGCTCACTAAATGTCGTGTTGGTTATTTCCAACTTGGATATCAGAGAAGTCGCCTCCATTTTCCTGCACTGGCACAAATTGCATGCAAACACTTATGTGACTAGATATGTGAATAAATAGACTGAGCTGCAACAAGGCAGAGATGATTATATTTGTTTCCCAGAACAAACAAGCAAATAAATAACAAAAGAATATGTAAGTATATTAGTCCAGAATTGTCCAAAACATGTACAATTTAATGATAGTTGAAGTGCGGGAGAGCATTTTTAAAGCAGAATTATAAGTGCAAATAATTGGAGACAAAGGGTTAAATTACTATTACTATACATAACTATATACTTTAATATATAGTATAGTAGTGGGAAAGTAGTAACAACTGATTTTAACATCATATACTCTAAAATGCTTTTTTTTTTTTAAATTGGATGTTTTGTGATGTATTGTGGGATACATAAAATCTAGGTGTCTGAATTCCTCAGGAACCTCCCACAATCTTCCTCAGGTAACCCTCCTCTCTGTCCTCAACCTCTCACCTGCTCATGGTGTCGTCGTCCTCGGAGTCACAGAAGCTGGTGGTTTCCAGCTCGCTGCTCATCACTGTACTGGAGCTCTCATATCCTGCCAGGTGGCGCTCCAGTCGAGTCTGGCCGTTCATACGAGGCCCTGGGACGCCACAGGAGAAGCCCGAAAGACAAAAGGGGAAATATTCACCATGAATTTTCATGTTTGCTCAAGTCTGTGTTTGCCTTTTCTTCTATAGATCGCAAACATTCCTCACTTCGACATTCTTTGATTATATCACGATCTTTTCATTGTTTGGAACATGCCAAATCTCGATGGCACGTCGTCACAAAAGAGCATTTTTCATCAGTGCTGTGATCTGGTTTTTTCTCACCGTGTTGCTCCATGCTCTCTCTGTGCCGAGGTCTCTCTCTCCTGAATGAAACTACAGACTCTGTTTCAGTCTGGTCGTCCAAAGTCTCCACACTGCCTGTAGCATTGGGGCTGTAAAAGAAGAAGCAGGAGCAAAGGAGGAATTAAAGCACGACTGACTTTCAACACTTAATTTAAATGTTTCATTAAAACAATTTGGCCAAAGTGAGAAGCTTGGCTGTTTTTTCACCAGACATGGTATTCACAATAATTACCTATAAAGATGTTTTATGACTTAAAAAGGATTACTCTAAAGGTTTAGCATTGCACTTCATTGTTGTAGTCACGATGGACCAGTTCAGAAAAAAGGGGATCTAAATTGATGCAGCAAATATTTATCTTTTTTATTCCAAAAACTTCTGGTGGCCCTTTAAACCAATCACATTATTCAGTAATGCCAGAATTTGACGAGACCAATAAAACTCTAGACTGAGATTGTAATTAATGATTTGGCAGCTCGACGCTTTGGGAATAGGTTAAAAGAAAATGTTGTTTTACCTTTTGCAAACTGCAAACTTTAATGAATACATTTAGCAGGCTGTGTTTATCTTTTCAAATAACTATTTATCCCCAGTGAGCACACACACACACACACACACACACACACACACACACACACACACACACACACACTGGATAAAATAATATAGTTTAAATTCCTTTAAAAAAAAAGAAAAAGGATAAAAGTGTACAGTACACTATTGTTATAAACATTATGGTCCACTTACACTTGTCACCTCAATTTAGTTCTTGACATAAGATCTGATATTATGAGATCACATTACATTGTTTCCAGAAACTGTCTGAAATGTTCATCTCCCACAGCTCTACTTAAGATCAGATGACAGAAGATTTACCGGCCCGTCATGTATAAGCACGGTTTCAGGAAGGGAAAATGTTTCATCGTACTGTATTCAGTGGCCTGTTACATTTATGCTATAGCTGTATGTTTATATGTTGGAAGTATCTTTACTACATCATGGACCACAATGGTCTCGGATATCCCCGTGTCATCAATGACATTCCTGTAGTTGTGTGTGATTTAATTTCCTCCTTCTTATGTCAAACAGACTAAACTAAATCAACTAAAAATACAAAATTCTTGAATCTCTTCAATGTGTTACCCAGCAGATTGTGTTGTAGAGATACAACCAACATTTTTCATTCACGGTGTCCAGTGCTAAAGTCACTTCTGTGTTTGCTCTTCAGAAGAATGTAGAAAATATTCCAAAGTCAGATTTTTAGAAAATGTGTGCAGTCTTTTATATACACGTGTAGAAATCCACTGATGAATTGAGTGGAGCCTTAATGCCCCCTTTAGGCAGTTTAGTCTAAAGACAATGAAATATAAATATAAAGAAGTACACAAGTGAATGGTACAGCCAGACAGATACTGGATTCTTATATGAACTTTAACCATCTCAATATGGAAGCCTTATATAGAAGATTGTGTAGGCCCGGTGTAGCATCATATCCTAACCTGACGTGCACCTCCTCAGAAATGTAACATCACAGCAACTTAGACTGCAACAGAGACTTGGTGTGTGTGTGTGTGTGTGTGTGTGTGTGTGTGTGTGTGTGTGTGTGTGTGTGTGTGTGTGTGTGTGTGTGTGTGTGCATTGACTGAGAATAAGAAGTGACTCATGCAAAACCCAGATGAGTTAGCATGGCTGTTTGAGAATCCCTCTTCAAAACACACTTCTCAAACGAGTATATCCTTCCACACACACATACACACACACGCACACAAACAGACAAACAGGCACATGTGGGACCCTGACTCGGTGCATGACATACTCATCTGTTCCCCCGTCCTTTTGTTTCACAGGGAGGGAGAAAAAAACAAAATGAGGAAAACACAAGACAGATTTAGGAGAGAGTGGGAAAAGTTTCAGTCGCCATAGTTTGAAGTACACGAAGATAAACAACACAGCTAACTAGCATTATTTGTAGAGCAATGCAGACACACCAGCGCACAAGTATAAATACTCAAAACGGCATAGAACTACATACAACTATAAATCAGCCTTAAGCCTACATGGGGCAGCAGACTTCAGTGCCACACACATACCAACCATTGTGCTGATTACATAGGTGCACACAGAAAGTCTATGGTTCATGATTAAAGCGAGACAAAACAGTTACAGAGACCCTACAATATGAGTTACATTTAATTTTCCAGTATGAGCAATGGTGGTGATCCAGCTCCAAATGCAAACCGCACATTTAGTGAAGTTAAAAAGAAAATTGTTTCATTTGAAACTGGATTCAAAAGCCATCAAGCCACCTCCCTGCAGCCACAGCAGACAGACAGGACGAGGTCCAAACATAAGAAATGAATGAGAACACTGCAGCCGTAATGGGAGGTTTTACTGACGGGTGTGAACTCAATTTGACCCCTAAACCAAACTTTAAGAGCTCCAGACGTCTCAAGGAGAAGAATGATGGTAAGAAGCTATTAAAATTATAGATACTTTGTTTATTTTGGACACCACAGGCTGTACTCAAATTACAGTAATGGTTTCCTCACATTTTAGTAGGATAACATGGATACAGAAAGGATGATTATTTAGAGGATCTTTATTTCATTCTGAAAATGTCTCTGACTAGAGTGCCTTGTGGTTTCACACTCTTTAAAGCCGCCATAATCACTATTTTTGTATTAAAACTGGATCAAATGACCAAGTGCAATGTGAAATGGATAGTTTGTCCCACAGAGAATTATCCTCCAACTCTGCAGCTACCTTTAGCTCAGAGAGTTTTTAGCCTCTTTCAGCTCATTGTTTTGGTTTTACATCCGACAACATGACTGTTATTGTTCAGTTTCATTAGAGTCAATCCACTATACGATACCTGCCAGGCGCTTAACGGCAGTCAGATAAAGTTAGCGACTAGCTGGTGAACATAGTGGGACATTTAGTAGCTAAAGAGAGACATTTCCCTCAGGAGTTGGTGAAAAGCAAAACAGAGCTAAACAGAGAGTGAATTTAGGAGTTACATTCATCAGGTTACCTGAAACACGACTCTAAATGAATGCTAATGTCGCTCCGTGTCTGCTGGATGTGTAAACAGTTGTGTAAACAGTCAAATGTTTGCCAACACGTCATGCCATACAAATTAAATAAGATTAGGATAACTAAGTTAATGCTGTTTCAACTATAAAAACACTTTAACACGTCTGTGTGCATGTTTAATGTACTTAAAGCTTCACCTAGAACTGGTCATGTTAATAACAAGGGCGGCTCCAAGTAAGATCAGGTTCAAATGAGCTGTAATATTCTTGCTATTCTTGTTGTAACTTGATACTGGGAGTGTATGACATATTCAGGAAACGATACGGTATCTACATTAAAGCCAGAAGTAGAATAGGTCGCTTTTGAGAAGGTTTCTGGCTTTGTGATGCCCCTCTCTGGGTAAATATACAGCACAGTAAATCAAATGGGTGCCCCTGCTTTGCTTACTGGAAGGAGGGCGGTCTGGAGTCCCCGATGCCCCCGGTCCTCTCTGCAGGTGGGGGTGGGAGGGGCGGAGGAGGGGGCGAAGGCTGGGTCGTCGTTTCCACAGGGGGGACCACTGCCACTGGTGGCTCTGCTGCTGGAGTGTCTGAAGATACCAACTGGAGAAAAAAAAGGGAGAAAGAAAAGACAGATTAAGAAACAATAAAAGGTAAGAAGGTAGAGAGGCAGGATGAAAAAGAAACAAAATATGCAGAGTGGAGAGGAATTGGCACAAAATGAGAGGTACAAATTGAGAGAGAGCAGCAAGAAGAGAGGGTGAGAAAACGAGAGGACTGAAAGGGGGAGTAGGAAGGATGTGGAGGGTAGAGGGAGGAAAAACGGGTAAGATGTCAATTACTTTGACACACAAACACTGTACTCTTTTCAGATGGACGTCTCAAGGGCATACTGAAATGCTATCCTACACTTAACCTGTCTCTCTTCATTATATAACAAAAGTGCCCACACACACACACACACACACACACACACACACACACACACACACACACACACACACACACACACACACACACACACACACACACACACACACACACACACACACACACACACACACACACACACACACACACACACCATACAGCATCCAATTACCTGAACAATTACACACACACATACACAGAAAGGGAATGGGATGTAGTTAAGTAAGACCAGTTTAACACCAGCGCACTTTGTTCCATAGCTTTTAGATGCTTGGTGCATTCAACAAATCCAGATAAATAAGCTTTGCATTCAACCAAATGGAGTCTATCAGCCTGTACAGACTGACGTTCACCCTCTTTACTGAGTCACTCCCTGCTCTTCCCTCCCAACTAATGGCTATGAAACACTCGTCTTCTGGGATCTCTCCATCCGTCTTGGCTTGCAGATCACATATCAGTCCCTCTGGTCTCTGAGCTTTGTTCCCCCTCTTTTAATGCCTCCCCTCGTTCTTATGCACTTAACAGATGCTTCGGCCTCAAACCTGCTTATCTGGGCCTCGTCCCGATGTTTTGTCTCTATTCAAATGCAACCTGCAGGGTGGGGTGCAACAACTGGGCCGTCTCCTAGAGAAACGGAAAGTATGAAAACTGTACCTGGCAAATCACTGTACTGTAGCCAGTAACACGCTGTGTTGCTTGTAACTCGCAGGCTTGAGCATGGATTAGCACAATGACAGAAACATCTGCTTTCCTCATGATTTCCTCTCTTTTGGCTCCACATGTTGCATCGTCAAATATTCATTATAATGTGCAGATTTGCTGCATCTGCAGACTTTCGACACCAATACAATGACTGAGTGGCTTTCAAATGCTTAACACAGCAAAACTGACTATATTGTCCTCACTTGAGTCTTCCAAGACAAGGTTCTTCTCATACCGAGAACTCAAGAAGAAGAAAAGATATTTCTTTTTCACCATTTTAGTTCTTTTAGGAATATTAATTCAAGAAATATCGTAATCAGAAAAGCTGCGACCACGTACACACACACCCCCATAACCACCGTGCCAAATTTCATCCTCTTAGAGGAAAAACTGAAGCCACAAAAGGGTACATTTTTTGTAGACCGACAAGTTACAAATAACGTTACAAACAAAACTTTGATGTGAGAAATTAGTAGCTATGCTTGCTTGGGTAATGTTAGCTGACCAACAGCTAGCTAGCCAGCTAGGTCAATGTTGCGTTCCATGTTCGATCTATGTGGTAAACAGCTAATAAAACACATAGCTGGCTGGCCACAAGGCGCCTCCAGCCCCTGTTGTTAGCAGTTCTTGGTTCTAGACCAGCCAAGTGTTGGTGCCGCAGTGGAACCAGTTTTCCTGGCCAACAGCCAGATGTTTGGCTGTTGAAACGCAAAAGAACTGGTTTGAAATTAGGCACCAAGACTCAAAGAGCAAGTTATAGAGCTGGTGTTGGTTTAAAAAGGGTAACTGGTATAAAAAGAAATCTCCAACAGCTAAAAAAAAAAATGGACTGGCATAATATGAGAAATATTTGTGATTGGGTTAACTTTCTCAGAGAGTGAAAGTAAAGTATTGGCTTCACTGCAACAAACGTGAATGGATCAATCTAAGGACCATGTGGATAAAAGGACAGGAGCGTAAGAAATGTACCCTACAGAGCTACTTTTTGTTTTTCTCCCTTTCCTTTGTAAAATGTATTTAAATGGTACGAAGAAAAACTGGGGGGAAAAAAATGCAATAAGACTAGTATCCAGAAACTAAACAAAAAGACCAGCCAATAGATTTAATGGATGCAAAGATGAACAGTTTTATAGTCTAAACTACCACGACATGCTATTGGCTACAGTGACTCAGACTGTGGCTATCGCACCAAGAAGATTTTTCTCATAGATCTTGTGAGACTGTTTCCTCCCGTTTAACCTGGCTGGACAGTTAGTCTGGTTCAGGTTTCCCACTCTTTCCAGGAGATTTTCTCCAAGATGTTTGTTCACCAAAGCCTAAACTACAAAAGAGTCTGTGCATGTTGCAATATGATCGACAATTGCGCAAAATAACGACTCAATTTTTAAATTTAATTACTTTATTTTACTGCTGCTTGTTGGAAAAGATCATTAGTCTGAGGGAGGTCTGGGGGGAATGTGCAGGAAAGGGAAAAGTGGTTTCTGAAAACAGCCTCTGGCAGATGATGTTGGCTGACTTTTGAGATAAAAGCCAAGTCTGAACATTTTCATAGGAGCCTCAGTGGGAAATTATTGAAATTACGTCATTTATAGATCAGTGGTCACCAGTGAGATCTGGATAGCTCCCACTCCCACTTTTATTACAAATATGCAACAGGTTTATTATTTCTTACCCATGACACCACTCTGCCGTTGAAACATGGCAACTTGGCGCTGTCGTCGGAAATCTCTTCCTTCACCACCCTGAAAAAACAGAGAGACAGTGTGAAGCTCAGGAGGTATAAATTGTTCTACCTTCATAACATTGGGGCATGGTATGTGGTATCTGGTGCAGCAGGGTGAGGGAATGAGCTCTGAACACCACATGAAGGTTTTAGTCCAGTCATAAAGAATAAAGCTAAGCTGCCAGGGGAATTAAATAGTTTACATTGCTGACGCATTACATTAAATATATTAGGCTATGACAACAACATGGCTGAACTAAATCAAACGCTTGGCTTAAGTCGAAAATATTACTAAAATATGTCTCGACAAGCTGCTCTTGTTCGCTTGCCATATTCCTTTAACATGTGTTACCATGTGTTTTATAGATCAGTCTCTGGCTAACATAACTCACTTTAGCTTGTATGACATCAACACAACAGCTGTAAATTCCCTTCAGATTCAATACTGATTTCACCAGAAAGTCATGTTGAAGTGACATTAAAAGTATGGTTGTCTAGCAATGTGTAGCGATGCCCCGAAGCTTCAACTGTTGCTGCGGTAATCAGAGTCCAAATCAGCATTTGCATGTTTTGTTGTCGCTGTATTTAAAGCCTGATCCCTCAGTGGTTCCCACATAGAATTTACTTTGGTCGGCCCATTTTAGCATTTTGCAGAGAAACATGGAGAGAGACATTAACTGGTATTACGTTAAAAGACTCGAATACGGTGGATATTTTACAAGCACAGAGCAGGAAAAACATTCGGTACCACATTGGTTTCAATCAGCTACGTCATTAACAACAAGCCTCCTCCACACACGGTCACCAACTTTATAAAACAAACTACTTAAACTGCTGAGAGAGGCAGAGAGATGCAAGACAAGGGCATGCCAGTGTGTGTAAAACAGGAGGTCCTTCTGCAAATTGATTTAGTTTTTATACACTTAAATTGAAAAAACTTGATGAGACACAATCCGCTAGAGATGAAATGCTCTAGACTGTACAGTGATTACAGAGGTTACATCAGCCAAATGTATACGTTTAATTTTGGTCTGTCGTCCACTCCTGGAATCAACCTTAAAGAGATAGTCCGGGCTGTCTGACGGCAAGGTAAAGCAGTGAAAATGTTCTAAATATAGTGTACACTTAAACTGATATGGATTGTTATGCTGACCCCGTATTCAGCAGTGCATTGTTCTGCTTTGGTGCCAGGACTCCTGTCTGCTTCTCCAAACTATGGGCGTGCTGACCTTCGTCTACTGCAGGTAATACACTGACTGCGGATAAGTACCTCATACAACCCCTCTTCAAAAAAAAACTAAACTATCCCTTTAATTAGTGACAGCTGAAACGACCTGCCACAGACAATGTTTGTCATTTTAACCAACGAAAAAGACTGCTACTTGAATGATTTGAACACTGAGCTTTGCTAATTAGAGAGAGAGAGAGAGAGAGAGAGAGAGAGAGAGAGAGAGAGAGAGAGAGAGAGAGAGAGAGAGAGAGAGAGATAACAGATTTGTTTGCGTCAGAGTGAGTCGCATCAATGTGTACAAATACATTAACACGGTAATGTGCTGTCGAGCTCCAGTAAAGGAGAGCAGCGGTGCAACACAAGCAGGCTGAAGTGGACAAAAACACAGCCGAGTAAAGAAAGGATCTGATTGTGATGGGCTTTAGTGTAGTTGATACTGATCCATTAAAATATAAATAAAAGAAGCATTCAGTAAATCATCAAAACAAAATCCTCTTGTAAATCAATGTACAATTATATCACTGCTAATGGGACTAATCTTATTACCAAAAGCCACCTAAGCCATGAAGCTATGAATTAGCAAAGAAAGGAACAAACAATCTTAATTTGCTTCCTGCGGTAAGTGACAGACGCTATGGAATTTCTTCTGTCACAGCAATGAGCTAAAACACACACACAAACACAGTATTACTGTTCTTCTGCCTCCTTGCAAGTGACACAGCCCGGTCAGCTAAAACATGCATGCAAATCCAATACACACAGCAACAATAACCTCTCAGTAAAAGTCACAGCGAGAGCCCAGTGTCCACATGGCCAAAGCTCCTTAAAGGCAACACATCCGTCTGGCTCTTCTTCCCTCCTCCGTGCTCTTCCTCCATGATTGTCGGAAAGGCAAACACTCGGCTTCAGCTGTGTAATTTCCCCCCCCCAGCAGCCTCCCACTATGTTATTACAGTAGTTTACTGGGACAGGGACTGGGCACAAGTGCTACAGAGAGGACACTTGACTGCTCCAACTCCTCCAAAAAAAGTTCTCTTTTCCCCGGCTTCATCTTTCCAGCCAATGTGCCTCCTCTTATGTGTGTGAGACTTGGTCAGGCTCCACTGGGCTTTCGTAAGCAGCTGTTGAGAGCTGGTTTTGTGGCTGAGTGTCAGCATACGGCCAGATTGTTGTGGGCACTGGTGGGGAACTGTTGCAGGAAGACTTAGCTGTGTGTGTGGCTACTGAATGTTAGTTAACAAACAAAGTTTTCCTCCATCTGATTTATCTAATGTTTCCCTTCTCACGCGCTGCAGAAACTTTATCTAGACGACAGCAGATGAACAGATGCAACATTCTTCTCGGGAGGTTGTAATTGTCTTCATTCCTCGGCCCTCCAAACAAACAAGCGACAGCGGTCGAAGTCATTTCGCGCACACTCTAAAATGCCTCAAATAACGCACAAACAGCCATAAAATATAGTCCTGTCTAATTTAATACAACCTGAAGTTTTTCACCCCCACGTCCCTCTTTTCCAGTCCCTCACTGCCATTAAATTCCTCAAAATCAACACTGCATCTCCTTACCAGCAGAGGTACATGGAAGAATATCTAATAACCACCCCACTCTGTCTCCCCTTTCTACTCCCCGTGGACACCCCAGACACCCAGCAAATGGCCTCCATCCAGCCCCAGGTTTCCAGGACCGGCCCTGGCCTGCTCTGCCCCATGGATCTCCCCCCACTGCCACACACACAGCTCTGGCCGACAGCTGGCCTCGTACCAGGGCAAATGAAAACACACACTATTACACACTTCTCTCCTGGGTCGGGGAGAGAGAGAGGGGGGGAGGCGTCCCTGCTTTGATTGGACAGCTGACTAAGAGCTATGTTTGAAATTTTTCATCTGAACTCAGTCGGAGATATTCAAATGAGGGAGTATGATGCCAGGCTGCGCAATTTAAGTGAGGAACTGCCATTTTCTCTTTAAAAAGACTTCCTTGCTCTGTTGAGAAGGTTTGGCGTGAGTGGCTCCTTTGAGATGTGGACTATTTGCTTTTGGAAAAACTCTTAACATTGTGTGCTCACTTACAAGCACACAGGGTCTAAATGTAATCATGTCCTGTCCAGTAACACCGGGACCGGCTCTTAATCTGACAGCTAGCTTTGGTGATTGTGGGAAGTCAAGTTAAAATAGTTAATGAAGATCATTAGAGTGTAAAAAGAAGGGCTGTGCACACATTGCTGCGCCCATAACAATTGCAGATAATTGCTTTTCACAGTTATTAGGTGTACATTTAACAGTTTATTGGGTACATCTAGCTAAAAGTAATGCAGTCTAACACATCAGTCCTGCAATAAATCCAACCTTCGTGAATGTTGTAATGTTCAGTTTTTGTTTAAACGGTTTCAGAGGTGTTGATTTAACGTTGTGATCAGTTTGGAGGCTGTAGTTGAACGTTACTGCATCATACTGAGAAGTGTAATAGTCTAATATTTATCCTTCCCTCGTTGATATGTATGTGGTGTCAACGGCTATACATTAAAATAATATTGAATCAACTAGTCAAACAACATTTTTTAGCTTCTCACGTGGGAGAATTTGCTGCTTTCTTCTGTGTTATGTTATTGTAAACTCATTATATTTGTGTTTTGGAAAACAAAGACATCTGAGGACGTCACTTGTGGCACCGGGAACTTGAAAGGATTTACCAATAATCAATAGTCTAATTGTGAATGAAAATAATGAGTTACAACACTAAAGAACATTTCTGGGCAATGTAATCACAGTGGACAATTTAATCCATCTACACAAGAACTTGGGTTAAAGGTTATTTTTTAAATGATACTCAGACTATTAGACCTTATTAGGGTTACATATGATTATTTTCATTATTAATAGTCTACAATGGTGCAAACCTGATAATCACAAGTTCACATTGCTTACATAGTTCACCCGAGCATCATTTGTAGTGATTTCAATGATAAAAAGCAGACCGCCACATTTCGGGAAGCTGCATTTTTACTTACAAATAGCTAAAATGATCCAAATGCACTTTGATTACTCAACTAATGAGTTCAACAACCCAACAACAGATGTTGAGTATTTATAAAAGGGCCCTTAGCACAGATTTACTCAAAGCAATATCTCTACAAGTCAGTTATTGATGTTGTTGTTATTGGTATTCAAAAGATCTGCATCCAAGAGACACTTCCACCCTGCCAGCTCTGTCGGAGGCCTAATAAAAAGTCATGTCATCCATTTCATCGTCCTGTTTGAGTTGATACTGCAGCTCCCTTGGCACAGGCTCTGATGGTGCCATCCAAAGAGGGAAAAAAGAGGCAAATAATACTCATCCAAGACTACAATGCATTTAACAGAAGCCCTTAAGGGTCTCACTGGGTGAATAAACCACAAACATGCATTCCTCTGCAGGAAAATGCACAGCAGCCACACCGAGAGAAAAAAAAAAAAAGATTAATTGATAGAGGAGAGGAGACAGCTCTTTCTGGAGGAGTGGGGTTGGGAGAAAAAGGGGGAGAGAGCAAGAGAGGAAGCCAGGGAATGAAAGGATGGCTGGCAGGCCAAAGTGTTAAAGAGGGGAGACAAAACCCTGGCTTCAGTCCCGAAAGAAAGAAAAGGCGAGGATTTCACAAGATGATGGACTGAAGGAGGGGAGGGAGGGATGAGGATTAGGGCAAAGAAAGGCAGCAGGGACAGGGAATGCCTCCCATTGTAATGATGATGTTTTCTGAGAAATGTCCCCCAGCCTACATACCCATAGTATTTATAGAACCACTTGGAAATTCATCACCAGTCATTATAACTCTGCAGTTTTCTGATTAGGGATGTGTTGGCTCAATGGCGACCTTCATTCAAGTTTATTATCCCTCTAACGTAAGTTATTCCTTGTGACGAATAACACGACAGCCGGTCACAAGTTAGGATTTTTGCAAACAGGCATGAATTTCATTAAAAAATTGATTTTCTTTATGAGTTTTTTTCCTTTTATAAATGAGCTAAGTTAATGCTCCTCCACTCAGACAACAATGGCACACTATGGGATTGTTCTCCCCAAGGTTTACAACTATTTGTCCCATTTTTAAAACTTATCTTTGGATATTTACTCGCCTTTTAGCAGCTTTTTCTGGGGTTAAATCTCAACTCATTTTACACAAAACACCACAAAAGGAGAAATAAAAAAAACCCTGCAGCTCACCCGAAGTCCTGGTCCATAGACTTGAAGAAGAATTTGTAGTTTGGCTTGTTCAAGACCTGTTTAAAATCCAGCAATGTGATATTTTCGGCAGCAATGGGTATCTTCACTAAATACGGCGTCTCCTCTTCGTCGATGTGATATATTATTTTGGTTTCCGCCATGTTTTAACCGTTGCTTTTCTCTTTCTTTCTTTTTTTTTTTTAATTCTCCTTTTCCTTTCTTCCAAGCTGGAAGTGACCACAAGAAACAAACACTATGAGGCGAGGTAGCGTTTAACTTTGTTGGGGGGGTAGGGGGGTTTAAGTTAGCTTTCCAGCTAGCGGCGGAGCTAAGGTGGCTAACGAGACGGCAGAGGTGAAACGATGATGGCCACTGAGATTTTCAGTCCGAGCCAGAGGACGTAAAAAGCGCCGCAACCTCTGCTCGAAAGCTCGCTGTCCGACTTCAGAGACGTAGAAAACTCGCATTCCCCCGCTGTTACCGAGGGGCGAAAGAAAACCGACGGACACGCCACATTCACACGACCTAACTACCAACAACTTTTTTTTTTTCCCCCAACAAAAACATACAGGGGAGGGGGTCTGAAAACTTTTCACCACTTTTTTTTTGCGAGCCAACGCGGCGTGTGACGTAAACACGTATCCCCCCCCCTTTTTTTTTTCTTTACGTACGCACGCTCTCTCCCAACCATCCAACATTTTTATTATATTATAGAGAAATAAATGTTTGTATGATGTTTTATATATATATATATAAGTGACAGTGCTTTAGTTAATACATATTTATACAATACCTAGTTGTTATGCTGATGTTATTACCCCCCCTTGTAATAGTTTTATTAAGTTAATATAGTTAATTATTAATATAGGTTTAGAAAGTTATATCTGTGTGATGATTTTAAAACCATAATATTCACATAAAAAAATTAAATCATCATGAAAAAACAACAGTGCTTCAGCTAATACACATTTACACAATACCTAGTTGTTATGCTGCTGTTATTACGCCCCCCCCTAATATATAATTAGAATATAGGTTTAGAAATTTTAAGTTTTTGTGATGATTATGTGAATATTATGGTTTTATTTCAATATATTAAAGTAAAACCATAATATTCACATTAAAAAACTTTAATCATCATGAGAAAATAAATAATAAAAATATTATACGCACTGCTTTCGTGTATTTATTAGAAGTAAAATTAGTGTTTTCTGTCAAACTGTTAGTAGATGTATTAACTTTTTTTTCTTCTTTTTTTTCATGCAATGGGACATAGTACAATATTAGACAAATTAAACAGACATAGTCACAAAATATACAGACGAAACAGTAAATAAATGGAGGCTTTGAATTTGGTGCAGGTTTTTTGTTTTGTTAGTGGAAAAACTATGTATAGATATTTCAGATTGTTATGTGTTTCTGTATGAAAAGTGTGTATATAAAACGTTTGTTGTGTATGACCAGAGCAATGTGCAGGTATATGTGCAAAGAGTAGGAGGAGGAGAGAAGAAGTAGGGGAGAAAAAGTATAATAATTATTATAAATTGATCAATTCAAGTAGTAATTAAGTAAAATAAAGGCAAATAACTTCCATCAAACTTCATCAAACCTTTAAAACAACATAATTTTAAATAAATACAGTTTATAAATGCATAAGTTCAGTGTAGTCAGGTAAAAGTCTTACTCCCCCCATAGCCTCAGGACAAAGTACAAACAATGAACGAGTGCATACATTTCTTAATTTCCTCTTTTTGTATGTGATTGTACACTAATACACAAATATTAGTTCTATAATGAATAAGATGTGTTGTAGTTTCCTAAAAGTATCTGATAGTGGGGCATGGGGTTAAATCGATTATTCCATCCCCATTAACAAGAACAAAAAAGATCTAAACAACCCAATAAAGAAGAAAGGAGATACATTAGGAAAGCCTTGCAATCACTTTTCTATCATTATACTATTAAATAGCATCATTACAGCCATTAAATTATCCAATCTGACCTATTGACTCCTCTCAGTCAGTCTCATCATCTCAGTCTGCCAAGTTATCCACATAAGACGCTATTGTGTTGAACGAGAACTTCTGGAGGTAATTCAATTCTTTACCCTATAAACAGATAAGAAAATGAAATTCCTTATCCTAGAAATAGCTTCTAAATATCCAAACGCACTAATTTATTTATTTTCAAAATGTACATCTGTTATATAAGGCAGCTTTGTTCAGTTCATGGCATTTGGAGAGACATTCAGAGAAAATCTTATGAAACCTGGGAGAAAGAAAGCACATTTCCTTTTAAAATCCTTTTAATCTCAGTTCTTACATCTCCAAATAAACCACTAGAGGGAACTCTTCATCAGTCTATCTTTAACAAAAGAGCAACAAACACATACAGTACAGTGAGGACAGATTGGTGTGAGTGGTGGTACTGATGGTGGTGGTGAGTTGGCCCTAAAACTACAGGGTGAATAACAACCACAGGGGTCAAAAATATCTTCATAAAATAAATAATAATGTATATTCTCTAAACTGTCCACCTACTTTTTCACAGTGCTTTCCTGCAGCCTACATCATGATTTTCTATCAATAACTATATCTGCTATTATAAAAAGTAGATAAAATCCAGTTTCCTCTCACAGTTTCCTGTTTAAGAAATGTGGCCCAAACACCACCCCGACCACACAGGTGATCACAAACAGCACCCAGAAGATGACGGCCAGCAGCTGCACACAGAACAGCGTCTTCTTGCTCTGCTGTATGACTTCCTCTTCCCCCACCAGGCCTGGCGCTGTGCCGTATAGCCTGTCCGGGTGCATCTGCTGCACCCGCAGGCTCACGGTGGGCAGGATGATGAAGCGGGTGTCCCTGCTCTCGCCCTCCAGGGAGAGCACCACTCTCTGGGTGACCGTGGCCAGGCGATTGGCCATGGCCACAGGCAGGCGGAAGGCCACTTGGGGCAGCCTGGCCAGGATGCGGGAGTTGCAGGGTAAGGAGAGGGCGTCCCCGGCCTCCAGAGGGGTGAGGTGGCGGCACAGGGGGCAGGGGATTGCTGGAGGGCCGTGGGGATTGGGGGGGTCGCAGGGGCAGAGCTGGATCCTCTGGAGGCATTCAGTGCAAAAAACATGGAGGCACTCCAGCATCCGAGGGCATTTATTGTACTGGTTATACTCCTGGTAGCAGATGGGACATTCTACATCCATGGGCTCCCCGGGGGTGGTGCTGGGGCCGGGTGCTGCAGCAGCCTGGTCCCCCTGCTGGGGAGCTGGGATAACATCCCCTGTCATGGTGTGGGAGGGAGGGTGAGTGGATGGAGTTGGGAGCTCAGTGCTACAACTTGTGGAAGAATATTTAGCAGAAGATGGTGAAATCTGTAAAGAGAAAACAACTTGAAGTGTACTTCTGTAAGACAGCTCCAGGAGAGGTTTAAATGATCTGCTCTGCTCTGGGATGCTGCTTTGTTTCTTCTAAGTTTTTTGAACAGATTCCTCAGCCCATGAGTCACAGCATTCATCCACTTAACCACTCGTAGTGTGTGTTGGCCTGCTCCACTCAGAGCGTCAAGGAGGTTAGGAAATTACTGACGAGAAAAAGTACAAAAAAGCTGTATAAGGAAGTAATAAGTCACTGCTGATACTTTCTGCATGCATACATGTGTTTGTGCACGTCCATTTTTCTCCACTCAGATTTGTTTTCTTTGAGTCATTTAAAGCGGATGTTTTGGTTTGACCTATACCTGAGACTGAAACTTCGATTTAAATGTGTTTCTTGTAAGTCTGCCAACTTTATGGAAGTGTGATAATAAATTGTTGGAGGAATATTTGAAAGGCACATTGACTAAATGTCAACTGTTGAGCCTGGCAGACAAAGATTTTGAAGGTATAGTTTGACATTTTTGGAAAAAGGTTTACATTTCCTTTCTCTGCCAAGACTTAGATGAGAATATTGATACCACTATTGTGTATTTGTGTTCAATATAAGGATACAGCCAGCAGCCACTTAGCATAAAGACTGGAAACAGGAGAAAACATCTTGCATGGCTCTCTCTGAAAGTAAAAAGAAGTGTAAAAGTTGTGGCTTTACAGAGGTTTATTAGTGAGCTTTTGAGGTGCAGGTTGGCAGATTTTATTACCTTTGGACAGAGCTAAACTAGCTGTCTCCCCCTGTTTCCAGTCTTTATGCTAAGCTAAGCTATCTGTCTCCAGCTTCATACTAAAAGGAGCCACATGAAAGAAGCAAGTGTCTAACTCGTATTTCCCACAATGTTAAATCATTTCCTTTAAAAGGTATGAAGTCCCCTGATCTGATCCATTCATGCTGTTATTAATCTTCAAACCACATTTGAAGGTTTTTCTGATGTATAACAGCTGTGATTTATGAAACAAAGCATTGACTTTTTTTTTTTTCGGTCTCTGTTTGTTGCTCACATGGGACAACCACAGGGCAACCTAAGCTCACTCATGAGGGGATTGTTGCTTAGCAGATGGGGTCTCCTTTGAATTGGTTCAAGGCAACACACAGCCTGAGACCTTTTCTTAGAAAATCACAGAACCAGAGCAAAATAATAGGGGTTAAAATATAAATTACACCAACAATAAACACTTTAATTCCCTTCAAAATCACAATATATGTAATAACAAACAGGTTGTGGAAGGGAAGTGTTGAAGCCAGCACTGAAGGCTTGTTCTGTATGAATCTATGTAGGCCACCAGGTTCAGTGAGATTATACTGAGAGAGAAACTGGCAGCGATCCATCATCACACACTAAGAAACAGATAAGAAAGCCACTTACCCACCACACACTCCTTTGATCAGAGCACACTTTGATGCCCCCCTCCGACCCAGGTACTTCCCCTCACACAGTTCATACTCCTTCTCATGTTGGTACAGATCTCATCCTGGCAGAGTGTCTTCCTCCCCTCTCTTGCGGGCACACTAACCACTCAAGTTTCTGTCTTAATATTCTGCAGCTACGTGTCTGAGATTGGCTCACTGGCAGGCTCCTGTTTTTCGCTCCGTCTCACCTGATTTTACTCATCCTCGTCTCTCTGTCTAGTCCCCCATGAGGCATCTCTGTGGTTTGCTCAGCAGTAATTAAACCCTTGGTGATGTGAAGGTAACCAGGACACACAAGGCAGAAAATGACAGATTGGAGTGTCTTGATCCCGACTTACTCTACTCTACTTACATATTATGTTATTATGCTTCCACACAGTCAGCATGTAGAGGTTTGTAAATGGCAACTTGTGGATTAGGGTGTAATTATTAACATCCTTTCATTTTTTTTCTACATTAAAAGTGGACACAGTTACAAAAAAAAAATCACTTTTTTAAATTCTAGTGGGCGTCACAATCTAGTAAAAGTAAATGAGTTTTAGGGACAGAACAGTTGTGTGCGTTCAGAGTACATGATGTTCTCATGAGGTGTAAACAGGTGAATTATTGACATGTAAATTAAGTCACATAACCTGTACTACAGTATCTGTTACACCCTGATGAACAATTTCCTTGTTACCAGCTTGTCCTGTACAGATGTTGTAGATGCCAACTGTGCTATTTTTAGTCTGAATAAACTAAGTGATTAAAACCAATAAGACCTTCACTATGAAAAACCAATTAATGGGATAATTGGTTAACTTGAGTTCCTCTAATGCCTGAAACTAAACAATCAAGTTTTAAAGATTTTACCAAAAAGTTGAGAAAGTTGCAAAGTAACAACCAGACTTAAAGTGGCCAGGCCCTTAATTATGCATACATTTAAGCCTGAATATAATTTAAGACAATTAGCTTAAGAGACCAAAACTGTTTTAGTACCATCCTGTAAACATGTTTATTTCCGCTGTAAAGTTGGACGTTTTAATACGTATACTTCTGATGACAGCCTCAAGTGGCCATTCGAGGAACTGCAGTTTTTGAATGGTGCCACAAAAGGAGCGAAAAATAGTGTCTCAACTCAGGTTTTATGTTTCCGTCACTGCAGGAGCCGATAAATACCTGACTACATGACTACAGAAGAGTGAAGACAAGAGGCAGATGTTAGTGGGGTTTTTTTGTCCAGGGGTTTAAGATGATGGGGTCAAATTCCACAGTGACTCCAGATTCTGTCCCATTATAAACAGGAGGAAAAATTACAGCAACCAAAAAACTGTTTTATTGTACATTTGAGCACCTCGGTGTTGTTTAAAGATAAACTTGAAAACTGTGAACCCGTATCCTTTAAGTGTTCATTTTGGAGCAATCTAAAATATTGACTTGACTTCATAAGTCCCTTTACTATAACAGAATATACTATAAATGATTAAAAGAATGGCTCAGACATACTCCTGACCTTGCAGAGCCAAGTGATTTTCCTCCTTTTTTCTTACATGACTTTACACACTTACAGTAAGTTAAATGCTGGATGAGAAAGCGGGAAGGCCTGCAAGGAAAACATTAACGAAAGACTGTAACTCACAACTCACTCATCACACACACACACACACACACTCTGTTTCTCTCTCTCTCTCTCTCTCTCTCTCTCTCTCTCTCTCTCTCTATCAGAGAGAGAGTCTGGTTGTTGGCCAACGTTTCAGCGGAAATCACCATGAAAGGAGAAACAACTGATAGGAAGAGGGTTGTCTGGGGATTACCACCATGGAGTGGGAAGGGCTGACATGACATGACATGACATCACTTCACACACACACACACACACACACACACACACACACACACACACACTGGAGTATCAGTGAGGGCATGTTAGATTAAATAGGGGAACTCTTAAATTAGGTTTTTTTAAACCTTAACAGGGACACTTCATGTCTAATGAATAGAACATTTTATAATGTCTTGCTTCAGCTTGCACCTGGCAGTAATACGTTTAAAAAAATAAATAAAATAAAAAATCCTATCCAATAAGCTTTATTGACATTTGCCATGTGTTGCCATAGCACAATTACAATACTAACACTGTTGATTGTGTACGTGGAGGAGGTGTGTGTGTGTGTGTGTGTGTGTGTGTGTGTGTAATAGTGGGTTGGTCCAACTGGTTTCTATTGCATCACGTGTATTTTGGGCTTAGTGACTCATAGGTTATGTTTATTTGTCTCTAATCTACTACTTTTCTCCCCTCAGAAGTCCCTCCTACTCCCACTCACTTCCTCACACCCCTCCTGTATAAAATAGCCCACTTAGTCACAGGCAGATTCATTCATTCAAATAAAAAAAACCCTGAAAGGTAAATCAGTGAGGAGCAGCTCAGATCAGAGAAACCAGGATGTATTCAGAGCTTGAGTGCGGAATTTGTTACCGGACCTATAACGCAGGTCGGCGGTGTCCCCGGGAGCTCCAGTGCAAACACAGCTTCTGTGAGAGCTGCCTGCTGGCCCTCTCACGACCCCTGGGACCCGAAGAGGCTCATCCGGGAGCGGACAGGTCCATCGTCTGCCCGCTGTGCCGACACACCACTTCCATCTCCGGAGAGGGGACGGTGAGAGCCGGGCTGAGGGTGGCTGAGTGCGTCCTGGAGCGGCTGTTGGCAGAGGGGGTCCTCGACCAGGAGGAGGAAGACCCGGAGGAAGAGGAGGAGGACGGTCACGTTCAAGGCGGCTGTGGCGACTGCGAGGAGGCGACGCTTCCCGACAGTCAGGCCGAGGAGAGCGACTCGTTCGCGGACTCCAGGAGTGGGAGAATCCGGCGGGGTTGGAGGAAAGTTTGGCAGAAGATTAGCGGGAAGAGCTCACGGCAGAGGAGCGAAGAGAGTAAGTAGACACCGGACTGTGGTTCATAACTAGGGGTTTTAACTTGTCAGGGAGTATCTTAAATCAGGGAGTTCTTAAAATGACCAGTTTGAGAATGAAGTTTGGTGGTGATCATAGCAACAGCTAATAATACAGGGTGTTGTTTTAAGGCAATTAAAGAGACAGATTAGGCCACACCTTCACAGTTAAGTACACAGTTTAGTTTTGATTGAGTGTCAGGTTTAGCTTCAGTGTAAACTCATAAAATCATCCATTATGTTTACATATTCTTGTCCATCTATCCATTATTCACACAAGTAGTCCTCCTGAAATAATCTAGAGCAGAATACAACACACCTTTTTATGTGTAATTTTAACTGTTTAGTATCCATAGTAAGAAAACAGAAAGCTTTATTTAAAAATGCACATACTGGCTATATCAATAGTTCTAATGTGTCCTGTCTTTCTTTAACAGACTGTATGACCGGTGATGACATGAGGAACCTCGCCATGATGTCCTGCTACATGTTTTAAGACTGGATAACTTCAGATACCCTGGATAATGTGATGCTGTATTTATTTTCAACGCTTCTCTTGGCAACATGGACTTGATGAGGATGACGATGACGATGACGACAGCAATGATGAAACCTTGCTGGCGAGACTCTTAGCTTTTCAGCTTTCTGATAGCTTGTGTAAACCATGACCACTATGTAGCTTCTCTAATGAGGAAAAATGAAAACTTGTGAATTCCCAAAGCGGCCAATTTTAGGCCTATTAATGCACTAATATGTTATATTTATTCTTTTCATAAGTGTATATTTATTTTGATATGTTTGTTACATATTTAAGGAAAAATAAATGAGCTCTGGTTTCATTTCACTTTGTTCTTTGTCCTCATTTTGAATTTTGGGTGGATGTTTGAGTGAGTGAGTCAGTCAAAAAAAAAAAAAAAAACTGAACACAATGGCCAAGCTGTGTGTGTGCAAAACACAGTCAAAATAACTGCATCAAGTCCAAACTAGTGGCTGGATTTTGGAGGGGAGTTTGGGTGTGTCAGTGTACATTATTAAAAAAATAAACATGTTACATCAAGTCTACAACAAAGAAAAAGCACTTTACAAAGTAAAATTCAAAGATAAGGCATAAACATCAAAGCAAATTAAAGATAATTACATCAAAGAAGATCAAATATTTGAACAAATTTTAGAGAATTCTTCATGAAATGAGTTTAAAAAAGGAAGACTACCCTTCACAGACGGCTTCAGGAAGTGGGTTACTCTAGACCAGGTGAACAGCATTACCTCCAATCAGACTCACAACCAGCAGCAGAGCGTCAGTGACTCATGTTTGACAAGTGAAACACACGGACTGACAATACTACTACAACTTATTTTACAACTTTTTCTGACAATCATAAAAACTTGGAAGAAGCTGGTCCATCATGTTAGAAATCCTTACTCTCTACTCAAGGTAAATATCATATTTTATGGGCTTTTGGACATGTGGTCATAACATTAGAAAAGGGTTGATGGTCATTTTTAACTGACAGAATTATGATTCCCATAAATTCTCCTCTCTTTCTCTCTCTCTGCAGACTCTTGTTTGTCTTTGCGCTGGTCTGTGCAGCTGTCATGTCGTTTATCATGCGTTCAGATGCTGCAAGAGGTGAGCGCAAACAGGCCAGTATCTGCCAGGAGGCAAAACTGCAGCGTCTGCAGTTCCAGTGAGCTAATGCTCATCTTAATGGCTGTCTGAAAAATGTCATGAGGCATGCGTTGGCTTATTGGGTCAGACTGGTTGCTGACATATTTGTTTCCTTAAAGCTGCAGCTGATTGTTTTAACAATAACAAAGAATATTTTCTCATGCACGTCTTTAACTTGGCACACCAGGATTAAGGTTTGTCTTGGCGATGTAACAAAAAATGTGTGGCGACAATGATTTTATTTTTATGAGATTTATAGCAACTTATGTAAACAAATCTGGAAATGTATTTGATCTTGAGGCATTTCAGCCTATATTTATCTAAAATGAGGGTATAAAATTAGCATTAAATATCAAAGTGATGTACCAAAGACTATTTAACTAATTAACGCATGGTATTTTTATTTTATTTTTATATGTGTCACGTTAATTATTTGCCTGTATAACAGCATTAGAAAGAACTAATCATTATTTCTTATGTCCCCATCCTTTTTCACCTTCAGCCATTCCCATAATAACCCAAGTGGACAAGGGAGTGAAGCACAATGTCTTGAGACGGTTGTACACTCCTTACAGTCAACATCTTCCCCTTTTTACTGGTCTGCTATCAACCGCAACTGGACTCCAACGTGAAACTAATAGTGAAACTGAGACAAGCAGCAATTATAGAGAAGCCCTGTCAATCACTGACCATCAGTCAAACCTTCCACAGTTTACAGAAGGTAGCTTTAGTTACCATCAGAACATCCCAGATAACAAACAGGCCCAAGCAGGAATTAGTAGAGTGTGGAGTGGAGTGAGGCCAGCAAGCAGTCTTGAGAAACGTCAATCCAGAGTAAATCACCCACTCTCTCAGAAAGTTGCCCAAAATGGAAATTCCTATAATTCAGTGATTATTAGAAAACCATCTCACAAAGAAGCTGCCAGTCCCTTTTATCAGAGCTCCAGTCCTTCACACGTTTGGGAGCCCAAAGATGCTCAGAAATCCTACAACAGAGAAAAAGTTCCTAGAAATTACTCTCCAAAGGTGGCTCAAGATGAAACTGTTTGGCAACCTTCTGACTCTTCTCTTTTTTCATCCCAGACGGGTAGATATTGGAGTACTTCACTGCCAAACTCAAGAGGGCATTACAGCAGCTATAAAGAGACAAATGAGCTCACTGCGGCCAGGCCGCGGAGTACATCTACTGGGATTCAATCAAGCAAATTTCTCGGCTTTGCAAGTCAAACTGCCCCTCGTGCACCATCAATCAGCAATAGCCCAGACGCCTCTGTTATTAAAAGCAATCCAAGCCCAGAAAAACTGACATCATCCATCACAGATTTCTACCACGGGCTGCACTCGGTGAGAAGCAGTGAGACACCAAGACACAAAAAGCTCAAGTCGTATCTGTTCAAGGACTCCCAGACCTCTCACGTTGGACACAAGGCCGTTAATACAGTCACTGGTGATGGACACAGAGCTCTGTCCACAACAGCACATAAGCAAAGGCCCTCTAATCCACAAGTTTACAGCAGGTTTTCTTCCAATTTTAAACAATTAGAGCAACCACAGAGAGAAGACCCCACAAACAGAGTACAACATCTGTCTGATAACACCAATCCACTACATCAAAATATTAATGAGGCCCAGTATGGTGCTCAGACAGATAGAGCAGGAACTCAAATCTCTGTATATCCTGCTCCACCGAAAGACATCACCATGGAAAGCTTTGTCCCGATACGTCATGCAGATTTCCAGAGTAACTATGCCACTGGCAGCGATAAATCTGTAGTGAGTAGCCTGGTTATTACAACCCCAAGAGGATCAATGCAAGCTCACAGACCTGAACGAACATCAAAAAACATCTACAGCTTGAGAGGTTTTAAGAGTCCTACATGGAGAGCTGTGAAGGAGTCACCTGCTCTCTCCTCCAGTCGCTCTAATGAAAGGTTCAACTCTCAGAGGAACGGCTTTGACAAAGGAAAGTTTAAAATCGCAAATGTGTACCCCTTTTTGTCACCAAAGTATAGCTTTGGCCAGAGAGGAGCATCTACTGCTACAGCGAAACCTGACTGGGCACCCACAGATTATTCCTCACCTTCTCCTGGTACTTTAGACAGCATCCAAACCAGGACCACACCAAGGCCGTTCACATCAGGATTTAAGGAGGCCCGGCCTCTGCTGCCTGAAAGTGATGCTGGTATGGGCAGGGATCCAGATCGCACACAGTTCAGAATCAACAGAAGAATATTTGGTCTCAAAGGGTTTAGCACTCGACCACTTGAGGGAGCCAAACCTTTAGTTAGTGTACCAGACAAGTCTGCCATAGTCCAGCAGGGTTTTGAAGGTTTTAAACTTAGAAGCTGGCAACCGAAGAGCAGCAGGAGTCACTGGTGGTACAATAAAACAGAGCCGGGTAGCAGCCGTGTATCCACAAAGAGTCAAAATGAGCAAAGCAGTGAAGAGCTGAAACCACTTTTAAAGATAGCAGGAAGCACTGTTACCAGATTTACACCTGACACATACAAAACGACCCCCAAAATCAATACTCAGGGATTTCACCCTATGAATGCTCACAACAAAACACACTGGAGTTACAAAGAACAAAACATATCTACAGCATCTGCAAGTCACATAACCTCCTCAGCTTATCTCAGAACAGCGGGGGACCTCGAGGTCGAATCCAGCCAAAAGTCTGAGCCAAGACCACCCAACAAAACCAAACTACCTGCAATGAAGGCAAGGCTGCTCAGCAATTCCACCAGCAGCACGGTGAGAGGCAAACGCGTGAAAGAAAAACACACTAATGGCAAAAAGCTCAATGAATCTACGTCTCTGAGCAATGGAAACGTAGCCATAGTCAGGCTTCCCAAGCGGCCTGTTAGAATCAAAGCTGTCACGTACTCTGATATTGTTGGAAGTGCTTCGTTCAGCGGCGTCAGGGCTACAACTCAGACACCAACGGCTGATTATTTTCCAAACGCTACAGCTGCCACCAAGCAAAAAGCAGGGGCAGGTCATTGGACCTTAAACTCAGAGGATGCAGTGTATAGTAGAAGTAACACCAGCAGAGGCCCTAAAGCACACGAGGAAGGTGAGGAAGAAGATTGGAGCAGCATTGAGGAAAACAAGCAGAGAAGTGAAGAAGTTGACAGTGACGTGAAAACTTCAGGTTTGTTCCTGGATGACGAAGGAAGTGGAAGTGGGAGCTTTAATGTGTCTTCTTCAACCAATATCACAAAGAGTCAGGGACTTAGTGAAGATTTGTTCGAACTAGATTATCTACGAATATCAACCGGAAACATCTCCTTCAAGTCAATGTAACTGTCCCATATGAAACCTGTTTAGTTGTTCCAATAAAAGTGGGAAAAGTACTTATGATTTTTTTCTTGTAAACAATGGATATTAAGAATTACTTAGTAAATTATAAAGAATTATTAGATATTTTTATGAATATCAATTTCTCAATATAGTTCTGTGGGGGAAAAAAATATTTTGGTGTTTTGTAACAAATGTGAAACTCATCCAAATCTCTCTCAAAAAACATTCCTAATTGTTTTTAATGGGTTTACAGGAATAGTTTGACATCAGTAACTTCCTGGAGTTTCCGCTGCCTGGCAACTGGTCCTGGCCAGCAAACGACCAGTAAAACATTATTTGACGTTTCTGTTTTTGTAACACATGAGATGTGTTAGTCAGCTTTAAGAGGAGCTTGTAGACAGATTTCTTACCTTTGGAGAGAGCCTGTTAAGCCGTTTCCTCCATTTCTGTTCTTCATTCTAAATAACTGTGGGTGCTACAGAAATTTCCTAAAATGTCAAACTGTGGACACAATAACAAGAACAGATGTAGCCTACAATATAGTGTGTTATAAATAAAGCCTAAAAAAATACCATTGAAACATATATGAACATATATTGTCACCAGAGTTTATTAGAGCTAAAGTTGATGAATTGATTATTCAATCATAAGAACTATTTCGAGTCACGTTTGAAGCCAAAACGTCAAATATTTGAGTGTTTTTCTGCTTTCCTTTTTCTTGTATGATAGTAAACTCTATATCTTTGGATTTTGGAGTGTTTGTGGGACAAAATAAGACATTTTCATTATTTCATGTCTTACAGAAAAAAATCTAAATTGAGAAAAATAAATCACCACTTTAATCAATACTGAAAATATTAGTTAATTACAGCCCTGTCCATCCTGATCATTATCAGCTTAAGGCACGTAGTCTATTTATTTGTGAAAATATATTAACTGGCTTTTTCATGGGTTTTACCAACATTGCCTCAGCTTTCTCAGATCCCCATTGTTTCATTCACTGTGGTTAAAAAACCCACTCTTCTGGCTTTACACAAAGATTACGAATAATACTGAGAATTATTTGAAAATACTATGTACTGCAAATCATGTCTGGTAATACAGCATGTTTATTAAATTACATCCATCCCAACCTCAAGTCTTCTCTCCAAGGAGAAACGGAAACCTTAGGATGAGTGGAAAATCGACAGAGGTCAAACGTGGATTTCTGAGCATAACTTTTGCCTCATTTGGCAAATTATTTGCATAATAATGTCAAGTATGAAGAGGGAAAACAAAGGAAGGTCATACTTGAGGCTTTTTATAAATTGATTGTATTCCCATTCCTTGTGTCCTCATTTTCCAGGCAGGCAGTGGCTATTCAGCGTGCTGACACAGATTTTCCGTCTCCTCTTTCGAGCTTACGAGGAAGGTTTCAGCATGCTGGTCTCTGGGTTAACACGCTGTGAGATGGAAAAACTTGTTCCTCCCCTTTGGGAGAAGGTCTTTTTCTGACTTTGCCAAGCCATTAATAAGAACACAGAGAGTAATTGAATAAAACAAGTCATTATGTGGTTTGTTCTTATTGATTTAGGCCATAAAGGGAATACAGACTGTAATGGAATTTGTTTGTCAGCTGCAATCACAAGAATCATGCTGCTATAATCTTATCTATATTGTTAGTGGCAACTGAAATGAATGAATTATACCTATAGTGTGACTCGATCTGCATTTACAGCAACAGCAGATACCAGGTGTTCCACTAGATGGCGATACTCATCCATTTTTATTATCCCACGTGTGACCTCAAGGGCTGGATGTTGTAGGTCTCATGCTGTGGAGTCTTGTTGGGCTACTAACAAAACAAATTATAACATAAACTGCAGAATATGTGTGATTTTTGGTCTTTACAAGATTAAGAAAAGCTGACAGTTGCAAAATGTACGTCCATGCTTCCATGCTTATCAATCAGCCAACCGAGCACACTGTTTCAGGGGCATTGGGTCCACGCTAAGCCCACATCACAGCTCCTAACGGATCCATTCACACCACCTGACCGTTCTCTTTTTCCCAGTCAGCCAATTCCACCTAAATACCAGTTTGTCCTCAATCTACAAGCTCAAAGGGGCCCCACGGCGAGGAGAGGGTGGGAGGGTTTGAGGGATCTGCCAGTCAAAGTTAACCACATTGTACATTGGATTAACACCCCCCCCCACACACACACACACACACCCTCATCCCACTACCACCACCACCACCATACCAATACCCATGGAAAGTGGGATCGTCCGCTTTCTCATAGAGCTGAGAGGTATGTAGGTGATATGATGTTATGAGGTTTTCCGCGTGCTGGCATGTCGAGGCGTTGGCCTGTCGGCTCCTTCAAAGTTCCCCTCTTTCTGCGCTGCCTTTTTGTGTAGCAGAGTGTCTGGTTCACACACTGCCTTCCTTTCCAAGTGTGAGTGTGTACTCGCCTGTAATATTGTGTGTGTGTTTATCACAGACAGTGTGGTGTTCTTTTGCAAAGCCGGCCCTCCCCCCTCTCCCACTGCGAGGGGAATTCTGTACCATGTGTCTGCGGTTTTCAGGGAGCTTTCAAGGAAAATAAAGCACAGAGGCCTCACAGTCCCCCTCCCCACCACTACCACCACCACTCTCCCAAAACGCCCTCCTCAACTCCCTCCTCCTTCTCCTCCTCCTCCTCCTCCTCCTCCTTCTTCTTCCCCTTCTCGTTTTCACTCACTCACTCACTCACTCACTCACTCCATGTGGCACTTTTTTTTACGATTTCAACCTACCCTCTTCTCAGACCAGCCAGCAGCTTTGGAGTGACAGAGCTAATTTCGTATGCAGCCTGTAATAGAGACAAATCCACATTCATGGCAAACATTCTCTTATGAGGCGAGAGGGAGAGAGGGTGAGCGTTAGCTGATTGTGGTGGGAGGTGGTGGAGGGGGGGAGCAAGGGGAGGGAGGAAAAGACAGAGAAAGGCTTTTTGTTTGGCTAAGTACACTATGTGAAAGAGGGGGCGGTGAGGAAAAGAGAGCTGGAAATACATTAGAAAATGGTTGCGTCTGCTTTGGCATTTGTGGATCAGATTACCTCACATGCCAGACAGTGGACGGACCCTGGTTTGACCATGACGACGTGTGTGTAAACTAACTTTATTGAGTCTAAAGTGTTTAACTTTGTCCTAAAACCTACATGGAAGGACCAGGGAGGAGGAGGGGGGGAAGAGTGAAAGTTGGGAGGATTAGCAGCTTGCAGTGTACAGACTGTTGGTAATCCAGGGCTTTATTGGCTCTGTCAACATACAGTAGGTTTACCTAAGCTAAAACACCTGTATTGTGGCAACCTGCCCGGTGAAAAAACACAAAATCTGGCCCTCCACACGTCTCAGTCGCTGTATAGGTGCATTTTCTGTAACCTCAACCTTAAACTTCTAATATACACTTGAATAAAAGTGAATGACGGGAAGGAAGCAATTTAGGAGCATGGAATCGCGCCTGCATTAACATTCCCACATTGCTATGGGAGCAAAAGCTATTTCCGTGTCCTACATCCAGCGAGCTTCCTGAGGTCTGCGCCGTGGAGGAAGTCATAAAGACAGGAAGACTTCCTGTATTGTTGCCAACATGCAGTATGGACTGTACATGCTCCGAGAGGCCGGGAACCGATGATGTAAACCCCTTAATAATAGCACTCTCAACTCTATCAAAGAGGCCAAGACATACATCTGACTGGAGATTTATACCCCTCCTTTATACCAGTTCTTTACACAGGTTTAAGACTTGTTTTCATTGCGTGTGTAAAGGATCTCGCTTTAAAATAAATCTCATGTAGATGTTCAGTGACTGTCTCATGCATAATGTAATCCAGTACGGTATATCTGCAGATCATATTTAATGCTCAGCTTGATCAATTAATTAAGTCACTGTTAATGACTTAAATCATCACAAGGTTTCCTGTGGTTTTAAAGCAGAGACAGACGACTTGCTCTTAGAACAAAAAAAAGAACAAAAATTACTAAGGAAGAGGGTGTCAAAAATGGGGAGGGATACGGTCATTTTTAGTTGACTGAAGATAGTGGAGTCTGATGATTTCACCCCTAAATTTAAATGAATAGTTGCACCAGAAAGACATCTTTTACTTGTGCCGTAGTTCATAAAGGTGCACTTTGCCATATGAGAGCAACAGTATCTGTATCTGTATGAGTTTTATTATGGTGATGCACATTGGAAGTTCTGTGCTATTATTTTGACAATGGCAATTTTTCATGTCAAGTGATCAAAGAACACATTATGAACCCTGGGGAATGCCTTGCTTTTGTTTTCTAAGCCCCTCACCACCCAAACAATTTTTGTACAGTCCCTTAGATCTTTTGAAATTAATTATAAAATGTATATATATAAATTATTTAAGAAAAGAGGTCTATTTCACACAACAAATGGCATATATTTAATGAGCATGACCGTTGCTCCGTTCATCACAAGACAAGATGCATCGGGATCTGGGTGGCCCACCACCCTCAGCTAAACAATATCCTGGGGGAAATGTTTATGCCCACAGTGTGAGCAGTTCAACATGTGATGTTTCCTTCTCAAATGTGTTTAATCTGGAGGATTCTTAGAGGCTCGAAGAGGGAAATATGTTCGGTATTATACAAGAGAAAAAGCAACATTTCGAGAAAAGCCTGGTAAAATAAACAAACTAATTTTCTTCCCTTGGGAGGTCCTATTGTAGAGTGCTGACCCCCTGTACGTTAGAATATAACTCTCACTGAGTTGAATCAACCTGTCTCATATGGTCTTAAAATATGACTGTATGTTCAGGTTCAAAGCTCATTCTCTTAGTAGCAAATCTGGAGCTTTCAACCACATCACATGATCTTCATCAGCAGATAGAGTTTGCCCCGTTATCACAGAGTTGAGGTTTTTCTGTATTGGATTAAGACTGTACCAGTATCCACCCTGCAGTGTGTAAACAAGTGAGGTTATTGAGTCCATTTCTGCCGCCGTGTGCCAAAAGGTGCACGTAGGTGTGTTTGAGCCAGAATACGACGATACAGTATCACAGTATCACACATCTCACACTCACAATGGGGAGATGATACATCCCCTCCGCTCAGACACAACAGGTCCACCTGTTGGCCTCCATCCAGCGCACCTCCCTGCGACTGAACTCCGTGTCCTCTCGCTTTGGCTTCCATCCAGTATGCTCCTCCTCCTCCCTCTTTCACTCTCTTGTCTTGACCGGAGATGTTGCCACCACAGCCGAGGCAGTCATTGTCACTGACTGTCGCCACGACAACCAGATGGCAGCTGTGCCCATTCGCCCGCCTCTGCTCCTCCTTTCTCTCCTTATCCAAGACTGATACTTAACATTTCCGTCTTGCTTTGTTTGTCCACGCAACCATCACCGGGAACGAGGGTCAGATCTGACTTGATCTGACTTCTCACATGAACAAAAGAATTAAAGATTAACCGTAACTGAAGTGGATTTAAATCTTTGCCGTCACCTAAGGGTGCATCACAAGGGTGAAGAAAAAGTTGGCATGATCAGTTCATCCATTCATAAAACCATGACTTTCTTGAGAATCAGATCATGAGGAACATTCCTGCAAAGAGCGGTAAAAGTCAACCACTGAATCAGGAGCTCTACTTAATGCAAGTGCATTATAGGAAAAGGGAAATGTCTCTGCAGAAGCAAATCTGAAGTAGGGCTTGAAATCCCCTTGTGCTTCACTTTGTTTAAGGAGTAAGTGAACAAAAGTTGAGGGAACATACACCGTAAAAGAGCGTAGGTTTCAGCAAGCCTTCAGGAGGGAGCTTCTTCTTTCATACAGGTGCGACGAAGCTTTTTATTATCCACACTAACCTTATTTTTATTCAGTGAGGGAAGTGAGAGGATCTGCAGGTGCAGGACTGATCTGTGTGTGTTCTCATGTCTATTAATTCCTACGGTGCCTCAGTCTGGGCTGAGTTAAATGGCCATCTGTGGACAAGGATGACACCAGATCCCATACATGTTAACAATTAGAACAGTAAGAAGCACAGATTTATCGAGCCTAAAAAAGCTTATTTAATTAAACCAAGTGTCGAGTGAGAGGGGTAGTATCACATAAGACAGAGGGAGAGAAAGAGTTCTTTGAGCTCACCCAGCAAACACCATGTTGGTCAAATTACCAGTAAGATGAGTGCTTAACTCCGCTGGCACCTCGCCAACTTTGAGTGCAAATGATCTTATCAATGGGAGTGGTGGATGTGACTAACACAGCTAAAAAGGCTTTGCAGATAACAATCAGGCTGTTTTCCACGCTGCAGTGTGACATCTGCGCTGTGGTCGCAGCCTTTACGAGCGTAAGTCAAAGACGGCGAGTGTGCGAGGGGGCATGAGGCCGCCCGCGTCTGTGGCATTTCATGCAGATGTTCACATTTGTCTCAGCCTGTAAATTGTACCGTCTTCCGCCCTTCTGCCTCCCCCCCCCTCCCCCGTATGCACAGTGGCACTGTTGTTTTTGTGTCTTAAGCCTGTCACTTTTTAACAATCACCATCATTACATCACTCAAAAGGAAACTTAGCAGCCAGTCACAAAACAAAAGAAACCACAAGTCCTTTTCTTGTTTGACTTTTTTTTTCCTTTTAGTCACATTTTTTTTTCTCAAGCAACAGAAGTAAAACTGTCTACATCAATGGCAAATCTCACAATATACCCATTCAGTACCATCCCTCGGGGGAACAGGAGGAAGAGATAAAACAATTTAGAACAGCAGCAGCACTTTCCTGCACATTTTATGAACATCGCCCAACTCCCTAAGAATGCAGTGAATGAAATCATACAGCCACTCTTCAAACCCACGTTCATCTGAGCTTTCCCCAATGAACTTTTATCCATGTGGCCGTGACCATCGAGCACTTCGACACAAAAAAAAACACTCATTCAGAAGATGCTCAGAGCTCAAACAGGGCTCTAAATGGCGGGATGATAATGTTTGCTCGTCAGGACTGAAAGCAAGTCTGTTTGTTGTGCGCTTTCTTTCTTTCTTTCTAAGCTACAAGTATCTTCAAAGCGTTTATGTTTGTTGCTGAAAACTGCTGAGTTTCAATACGAGAACATCTCCAAAAGACATTAGAAACATTCCAAATAATCATCATGTGTTTGCCTGCGAGTCTGCATGAAAGCGTGGATTAGTGCACCGAATCTGGTTTGAAGTCCAATTGTTGTTGTTTTTTTCTCCACGTCTGCATTAACAACCGCTATTAGAGGCAATTCCAACCACAGATCCCAATCTGCTCATAATAAAGCTGCATGGTTATGCTCGAGCCCCCCCCCCGACAGTCATGTGACCAGAAAGGAGAAAGTTCATGAACTTCCCATTGCAGGCAGACAAACACATGAGTACAATTTGGAGCTACATAGATGCACATGTGTTTAGACATTAGGTATTTGTTGTTGTGTGTGTGTGTGTGTGTGTTTTTTTTTCTTCCCCTTGGTGGCCTTTTTCTTTCTCCTCATGCATTTCTTTTTAATCCTCTGGTCAAAGTCGTAGGCAAATTCAAGGTTAAAGCATACGCAAGTCTTCACAACGACCTTTATCTCCAAGAGTCACAAAAACAGACTGCGAGGCGAAGATATGTCACAGTTCTTCCCCCCGCTGCAAAAGAAAACAACGGGGGAACACAAAAGGTTACATTTTTAAAACAAAACAAAAGCAATACGTCCAGAGAGAACTGAAGGTTGCTTCTTGAGGTGCTGTCGGAGCTTAGTCTTTTTTTGTGTGTGTGTGGTTGTTGTGGTGTTTTGGCACTGACGGCCCTGCGACGATTAAGTCCTCCATTACCGGCAAAGAGAAACAGTCCAAAACTCCACCGATTAGGGCCATGGCTGTCAGTCAAGTCATCTGATAGATCATTATCACACCAAACAAACATAAACAAGTTATTTTATGAGAACTGTACAGCCAAAAAGAGACAAAAATAGACACAAAAATAGACTTGATATATTCTGCTATGACAGCCCTATTAGTGCTAGCTGCTAAGACGGGGGCAGAGAGACAGACAGATAAAAAGGACAGACAGGCACTTAAGTGCTGATGCATAGCGGAGATTAAAGTAAGAGCCAAGCGAAAAACAAAAGGAGGAAGGTAAGGAGATAGAAAAAGAAAGTCTTAAAGAAGGATTTAGGTTCAAAGCACTTTTAATTCAACAAGTTAAAAATATTTTAAAGTGTAAAATCGTTCTAAAATGTTTGGTACCTTAACGTATAAAATAACTGAGAACTTATTTCATACTGACAGCACTGAAATAAAAACTGACCCCCTCTCCGGTGCTAACAGCAGTGTGCTGACCGCTATAAAGCTAGCATTACCATGGCTATTGATAGGGTCTCTATCCTCCACCGTATGTACCGTATGTCGTTTAGCATCCTGAGACGAAGGGGATTAAGTGGGACATAAGTGTCTGAAGCTAATAGCACTAATGGGATTGCTTGGCTCTATATCAGGGGTCTTGCCTTCAGCTGTAGTCAGCAGGATGGTCAATTTACGTCCTGGCACAATGCTAATATCTTAATCTGGCCTAGCTGGCTTTAGCTAACGAGCTAGCTACCTACCCGCTGCTACAAGTGCTTTTTTTTTTGTTTCAAGCCTGCGTTGTTTAATACTTTAGGTGTATGGCTCTGTTAAAAACAAAAGGGAAGAAAAAGAGTGGGAGAAAAAAGACGAGAGACGGAATAAAAGCAGCACAAGTTATAATGAGCAGAATGCTAACAGCAGCTACGCTAATATTTCTCACAGTAGACAGGAAGGCCAGCTGATTGCTAGCACCATTATCATTATCAGTGTTAGCGAAAATGCTGCATTCATGTCATATCGGATTTATCGGGATTTCCAGCCTCTGACTTGGTATTATTATTATTCTTATCAACATCCAAGTTGTATTATGATCAAATGCCGCCACTTCCCGTATCGTTAAAAAGCCCTTTTTCAAATTAAAAGCCCTCTAGCATTTCATACTAGCTACATAGAGCAAGATTTGGATCTAGTTTGTGTATTTTCAAAATACACAATTACTCCACTCCAAAGTGTTTTGTTACAAATTAGATTTGAATGTTTGAATTCCTGTCAAATACCAATTAAAATAATCAAAATACTTATTTCAAAGTAACAGATAGTGTCCATCTCTATGGATGCCCCATGTCAGGGGTGAATAAACCCACATTTCATGCCTGTAGTGTTTTATTGATCATTGATCATGCACAGTATTTTTAAACTCCACATGACCAAATCTGTAATCATCAAACTGTTGTAAACACTGGAATATCTGATTTCATCCCATATGACATGAATGCAGCAAAAGCTCACACCAGCGCTACCCACTTTATGCTGCATTTTTTTTTTTTAACTACATCAAATCAAGCACAAAAAAAAAAAAAAACCCAAAAACCCAAAGCTTCAGTTAGTCGAGGCTAAGTTGAAGTTCTTTGTAAAATGGCTACAATCTGAAAGTGAGGCACTTTTTGAGCTGATATATAATTCTATTTTTGTTTTTCATACACTAAATAGTCAGCCACCATTATACTCCTTTTCTCTCAGAAAAAACAAAAACAAAACACAGAATCTCCATTTTTTTTGTACCCTTCTCTGATTGGCTTTCACTCAAGGAATGAGAGCAGCAAATGGCTTTTCAAGAGTGTCATTTGGCACACATCCTCATTGGTTTCTGCAACCAACAAGACGAAAGCGAAGGAAAAAAACAAAACAAAAAAGAGAAAAGTTTGCCATCAGTATCTGTCAAAGTGCTTCGGGGGCGTATCCGATCCAGCTGTTCTCTCGATGTGACTGGCTGTCACAAAAGAAACAGGCGGAGCTTTGAAGCTCTCTGAGTGGTACCAGATTGTTTCCCCAAGGACGACGCACTGACATCAGCACTCTGGAAGAAAAAACAGACACACACAGAGAAAGAGGAAATGGTTTGGTTAGATTCAGAATAAACAATAACGCAGATATAAGGAAGAAATAAATATTATGACATGTATATACAGTGTTGCTTGCTTATCAAGTTAATTATAAAATCTAATGTAAGATATCAGTGCCTGCTTATCGGCCCGGGAACACAGTGACCCTAAAGCGAACAACGGGAATAAACAATACAGCCAAATAAGCTGGAAAAAGGCTCACAGATTCAGACAGGAAGAAAGTGATAAAAGGGAACAGCAGGGAAGGAGAAAGTGAGGACACCTATTGCTGCAGGCACGGACTCAAGTGTGTGTGTGTGTGTGTGTGTGTGTGTGTGTGTGCCAGCACGAGGGAAAACAGAGATCCAGAAACGATGTCTGGGGTTTTTTTTATGGCAATTTCAGCTCCTCACACAGGTGTTTAGCGTCAGGAAAATGTCACTACTGTGATAATTCAAAGGGTGGAGTCTCACCAGCAGATACAAGTCTTTCCTGGCCTTGTTTGCACAGTTGATAGGATTATACAGGAATGCCGACATAATGATAATTCTGCTCCGGAGTAGCGAGAGCAGACGAATCACATGGCGTCAAACAGCCATCTGCCTGTTTTTAAGGCCCTTATGCGCTCTTTGATTTGAGGCTGTTGCAGGAAAAAGTTGACAATCGTGAGAGAAACCTGGTGAAAACTTTAGCATCATCAATCGCAAATGGTTGTTTTTAATGGCGGCACTGTGAGACAAGTCCACCGTAGGTGGCTGTTGGATCACTGAAAGATGGCTGAAACCGTCGCCACAAATGGAAACAATCAATCAGTCTTTACGGGCCCTCTGAACTGTGATATTCTGAACTATAAAATGTTGAATATTGTGAGACACATTGTGAAATGTTTGGTCATAAATTCAAAATAGCAAACCGAGATTGCATATTGAGATCCGTCCACCAACGGCTCATTTTCTGCTGGGATAAAATGACGATATTTTCTCCGATAATGGCCCGACACAACAGGCGTTGAGGTTTTGGAAACAGGAATGAGGGCTGGGAGCCAACAATTTCCTCCGTTTATGTCAGGTAGTGTATCATCGTGGAGGACAAATGCCACAGCCTCACGACATCCTGACAAAAACACAAGCATGAGTTGTTGTTTTTTTTGCCTCTCTCTCACCTGAACTTCTATAACATGTCCCACAATGTTAACCCACAAGAGCGCTCTCCCACGCTCAGCAGTGAACATGACATTGTTGGTGTTGGCAACTCCACCCGGATCACCTATGTGAGCCATGCAAGGTTGTGAAAGTCTGCCTTGTTTCTCAGCAAGAATTTATGACTCTATGATCGACACAGTGACGACGCAGGCAAAAAGATTGTGTAGTCTGATCCCAGCATTAGTGTTTAGGTGACCAAAATTCTCTCCATAAGACAATCAGAATACAAAATAAAATAATGCACTTGTTGACCCGACACTGTGCAAAGTCTGACATGCCTCCAGACTGATATCGTACAGTCTGACACAGATTCTATTAGACCTATCTCACCCAGCGTGCTTTATCACACCCTTTACACCAATGACAATCTTATGCTGCTATTCAGATCAGGACATTGTTGAGAATGATGACTGAATACAGAGTAATTGCTTTGTCCCACTCGTAAAAGGTCTCGTCGTGTACATTACGACGTCTTAATGAAAGAGTGAGTTTCTAGAGTTTGCAGTGAAAGCAGGATCTCGACTATAAAGATCAGTCAATGCCCTTTAAACTGGGTTACTCTCTGTCAGATGTGATGACTCACACCAAAGGCACTCAGGCTGCCGTCAGCCAAAATAACAAATGCACAAAGCTAGTAAAGAGAAGAGGCTGAGAGAGAGTTCCCCGTGTCTCTTTCCCTAAAATTTCCCAGCAGTGCTTGACTCTCTAATTGCACGAGGGTACTCTATATTTACGCCCCTCCCTCCTCTCCCCCCCCTCCTCTCTCCAGTTAGTCTTCTTCCTGGTGCAGTGAGCTATATTTAGTCCCCCCTCAGCACAGACGGTGCCCGCCAGCCAGCCAAGCCATGACGGCCTAAAGCAGAGCGGAGCAGCTCCCTCATTCAGCTCGAAAAAAACAGCAACACAAACAATCAAGCCAGCCAACCAAAGGGACCAGAGGAGACAGGCTGGACACGCACTGGTGCACTGCCATGGACACACACGTGAAACCACACACACACACACACACACACACACAAGAGGGACACAGAGGAAGACACTATAATTATGCGGATGACATTCACTTAATGATGACCTTTCCCCAAACACAGACACGGGAAATTATATGCTGAAACATGCTAAACAACTCTCCAGTGCCTCATCCTAAAGCACATACACTCACATACACTCTTATATATCCAGCTACACAGGAAATGTTTCCACTCTAATCAAATATTGCCTTCTTATTTTCCCCCACGCTGCCCCTTCCATCAGTCTGACCCTCCCTTGGCGGTTTGTCTATCGATCTCATTCATTTCCTTGCATCGTTTCTCCATCTGTGGGCAAATCGATGTAATAATGACCGCGGTAGCGATTGTGTGAGTGTATGTGTGCTTCTCTTCTCCTTTCTCTGCCAGACTGTTTAAATCAAGAGGTTAGACAAGGCTATCTGCCTCCACAGTCCGTGTCTAGCCAATAACTGTTCTCTAGCCGCCTGTGTGTGTGTGTGTGTGCGTATGTGTGTGTAATTAGGAGAGTCTGGGTCTATGTGATGTCTCAATCGAGGGCAGCCTAAAATTGAAAGCCACCCTGTTCTCTGGTCGTAAATCGAGTGTGTCAGTCTGTCATTTTCATGCCGCCCCGACTCCCACCAGATGGTCTGCAACGTGATGTGAGTCACTGAGTCCACTGGTCAACTCAGTCGGTTTGGGTTAAATCTTATTTTATTCTAAAGGAAACTACACCAGAGCTATAAGACTACATCATATGGTTGCAATAACTGAAAACAGAAGCTGGAGACTAAACAGCAGTAACATGGGAACAAAAAGCATCAGCAGTGGTTGGTTCTAGATGCTTTACATGGGAAAAGATGCATGAAAATCACTGGAAATCTCCAGTTTATCGCTATATCTCATCCTTTTTACAAGCCCCGGGGCAGATAATGTGCTTCTTCTTGGGAAGAGTCAATCTGTGCTTTGCATTCAGGCAAAAAAACAAACAAATAATTTGTGTTTTTAAGAAATTTCTCTTCAAACACAGGACTAATAATGGTTCAAGTGACCTGCAGAGATTCTTTGTGCACGATACCAAATTCCTTCCAGCTCCAACGAGTGCAGCCAACCCTGACTTTTGACCTACACGTTAAAGTGGAAGAACTTTCCCCTCTAAATCATTAAGGAATTAAACTATTATAAGGATGTAAAAATCCCAAACTGTTTTTCCACGATAGCAGCAATTTTGGTGCCAGCGACTTTAGCCCCTGCAATCCTCCAGTACTGTTATTATACTTGATTCCATTAAATCATCTATCTTGCAAGTGGCTAGGAGGTACAACAGCGCAACATGAGCCGGGATTCAGCGTCAAGACAGCTGCAGATACAAGGAATGAACACTGGCAGACTGAAGCAGCGGGATAGCTCCTGTGTCACCTCATTTAATTTCTTCCAGTGACGCCAGAAAGTCTGTCAGTTATGAAGATATAATGCTCGCAGTGCGACCACAGCGTGTGTGATTTCACAGTATTTATTTGTTAGTCATGAATCTGGCACGTCCGTGGATGACAATTTGGTTAAAAGTGATACTCCACCCATAATCTATATGTGAGTATCAAACACGTGCCTTCTGTGGGCTCCAAATGTGGTCGTACAGTTTTAAAATCACAATGAGTTGCAATGACCCAGTTTAACAGTGAAACTAAAGCTTCAAAACATCCATAGTAACTTGTAAAACGACCCTTGAAGCCTAAGGCACTAAAACTCGTGTTGCACATATTCACCAAAAAAAACTAAATATACTAAATACGTCATGCGTAGAGGTTGTGACCGCTTCCTGCTCCTCCATTGGTTGGACCGGATCAAAATATCCTCATTGGTTAGTGGAAGATTAGAAAGGTACTTTATCAAAATGGAAGCAGTCTTGGTTCATTGTAAAACTTGGTCTCCATTAGAATTAGAGTAAAGTAATCAATTAGTCAACTATTGATAATGGAATAATAGTTTGGCATTTTCTTAAGATACCAACATTTGCTGGTTCCAGCTTCTCAAATCTGAGCATTTGCTGTGTTTCTCTCTTTTATATCATAACTGTAAACTGAATATCTTCTGAAGGCGTCACCTCGGGCTGAGGGAAATTATAACAGACATTTTTCACAATTTTCTGAGATTTTATGGACAAGATGACTCATCGAATAATGGAGAAAATGATGTGCATGAAAAAGAGAGAAAGATGAAAATGCAGTTAGTTGTAGCTACAAACTCTTGTAGCTACAAACTCTTGACTGTCAAGGACACTGACTCAGAGAAAATGTTTTCAACTAGCTTTTATGGAATTAAACCGATGATATAACAGATCTGAAGACAGCTGTAGGAGAATAAAAAGCAGGAGCAACTAAATTGTGAGAATAATTAAAACAATATGTAAATGACACCCTTTTATTTCTCTTTATGAGACTAGAAAAGACCAAAGAGCTGGAGCTCCAGTTCTGATTGAAGGTCTGGTCTGTGCGGTTCAGTCCTGGGTTTCCTCAAACTAGACCGACTATAATACGATACGATGATGAACGATAATCAGCCGAACAGTAAACGCTGCAGTTATGCATTTGTGTACCTCTGTGCTTTTAGAGTAACAGGAATACTGCCACTTCCGAGCAGACTATTTGTATATATATGTCAGGTCTGGAGGGTATCTTTAATGATGTCCTAAACAGGCACGGAAGCAGACCCGTCTTTCCAGGGAATAGTCTTCTGGGACACAGGAATCCTTTTATGTTTAAAGAAACACCAAGCAGCCGTTTG